TGTTGTTCCCAAACTTTTGGACTCAATCCGATATCGATTGGTCCATGAAATCGGACAATTCAGGTTCGTTCTGTAATGGAGTGGTTGGTGTATTGCATAGTTTTAGCCATTGGATTTCTCTAAAACCAAATGACTCCTCCCACCATATTATAATGTTCCCCAAGTTTTGGACTCAATCCTAATATCGATTGGTCCATGAAATCGGATAATTCAGGTTCGTACGAAGTTCGTTCTGAAATGGATTAGTTGGTGTATTGCATAGTTTTAGAGATTGGATTTCACTCAAAACCAACCAAATGACTCCTCCCACCACATTATGATGTTCTCCCAAGTTTTGTACTCAATCCGATATCGATTGGTCCATGAAATCGAACAATTCAGGTTCGTACGAAGTTGCTTCTCAAATGGAGTGGTTGGTGTATTGCATAGTTTTAGCCATTGGGTTTCACTCAAAACCACCAAATGAAATGGAATAATTCAGGTTGGTATGAAGTTCGTTCAGAAAACGAGTCGTTGGTGTACTGCATAGTTCTAGGGATTGGATTTTTCTCAAAAAACCAAAAGACTCCTCCCACCATATTACGATGTTCCCCAAGTGTTGGACTCAATCCGATATCGATTGGTACATGAAATTAGACAATTCAGGTTCGTACGAAGTTCGTTCAGAAATGGAGTCGTTCGTGTATTGCATAGTTCTACACATTGGACTTCAGTCAAAACTCACCAAATGACTCCTCCAACTATATTATGATGTTCCCCAAGTTTTGGACTCAATCCGATATCGATGGGTCCATGAAATCGGACAATTCAGGTTCGTACGAAGTTGCTTCTCAAATGGAGTGGTTGGTGTATTGCATAGTTTTAGCCATTGGGTTTCACTCAAAACTCACCAAATGAAACAGAATAATTCAGGTTGGTATGAAGTTCGTTCAGAAAACGAGTCGTTGGTGTACTGCATAGTTCTAGGGATTGGATTTTTCTCAAAAATGACCAAAAGACACCTCCCACCGTATTACGATGTTCCCCAAGTTTTGGACTCAATCCGATATTGATTGGTCCATGAAATCGAACAAATCAAGTTCGTACGAAGTGCGTTCAGAAATGGAGTGGTTGGTGTATTGCATAGTTTTAAAAATTGGATTCACTCAAAACTCAGCAAATCACTCCTCCCACCACATTATGATGTTCCCCAAGTTTTGGACTCAATCCGGTATTGATTGGTCCACGAAATCAGACAAATCAGGTTCGTTCTGAAATGGAGTGGCTAGTGTATTTCTAGACATTGGATTTCGCTCCAAACCCTCGAAAAGGCTCCTCCGACCATATTATGATGTTACCCAAGTTTTGGACTCAGTCCGATATCAATTGATCCCTGAAATCGGACAATTCAAGTTCATTCTGAAAAGGAGTGGTTAGTGTGCTGCATAGTTTTCGCCGTTGGATTTCACTTAAAACTCACCAAATGAATCCACCCATCGTATTATGTTGTTCCCCATGTTTTGAACTCAATCCGATATCGATTGGTCCGAGAAATTGTACAATTCAGGTTCGTACAAAGTATCTTCTAAAATGGTGTGGTTGGTGAATTGCATACTTTTAGCCATTGGATTTCACTCAAAACATACCGGATTTCACCCCAAAACCCATCGTATTATGACGTTCCCCAAGTGTTGGATTCAATCCAATATTGATTAGTCCTTGAAATTAGACAATTCAGGTTCGTACGAAGTTCGTTCAAAAACCAACAAAATCCACAAAATGGCTCCTCCCACCATATTATAATTTTCACCATGTTTTGGACTCAATCCGATATCGATTTGTCCGTGAAATCGGACAATTCAGGTTCGTACGAAGTTCGTTCAAAAATGGAGTCGCAGGTGTATTGCATAGTTCTAGACATTGGATGTCGGTCAAAACCCACCAAATGACTCTTCCCACCATATTATGATGTTCCCCAAGTTTTGGACCAAATCCAATATCAATTGGTCCATGAAATCGGACAATTCAGGTTGGTACGAAGTTCCTTATGAAATGGAGTGGTTGGTGTATTGCATAGTTTTAGCCATTGGATTTCACTCAAAACTCACCAAATGACTCTTCCCACCATATTATGACGTTCCCCATGTTTTGGAGTCAATCCCATATCGATTGGTCCATGAAATTAGACAATTCAGGTTCGTACGAATTTCCTTCAGAAATGGAGTGGTTGGTGTATTGCATAGTTTTAGCCATTGGATTTGACTCAAAACTCACCAAATGACTCCCACCATATTATGGCGTTCCCCAAATTTTGGGCTCAATCCGATATCGATTGGTCCATGAAATTAGACAATTCAGGTTCGTACCAAGTTCCTTCTGAAATGGAGTGGTTGGTGTATTGCATAGTTTTAGCCATTGGATTGCACTCAAAACTCACCAAATGACTCCTCCCACCATATTTTGACGTTCCCCAAGTTTTGGACTCAATGTGATATCGATTGGTCCATGAAATCAGACAATTCAGGTTCGTACGAAGTTGCTTCAGAAATTGAGTGGTTGGTGTATTGCATAGTTTTAGCCATTGGATTTCACTCAAAACTCACTAAATGACTCCTTCCGCCATATTCTGATGTTCCCCAAGTTTTGGACTGAATCCGATATCGATTGGTCCATGAAATCGAACAATTCTGGGTCGTACGAAGTTCGTTCCGAAGGGGAGTCGCTGGTGTATTGCATAGTTCTAGACAATCGATTTCGATCAAACCCCACAAAATGACTCCTCCCACCATATTATGTTGTTCCCCAAGTTTTGGACTCAATCCGGTGTCATTTGGTCCACGAAATCGGACAATTCCGGTTCGTACGAAGTTGCTTCTGAAATGGAGTGGTTAGTGTATTCCATAGTTTTTGCCTTTGGATTTCACTGAAAACTCACCAAATGACTCCTCCAGCCACATTATGATGTTCCCCAAGTTTTGGACTCAATCCGATATTGATTGGTCCTTGAAATCGGACAATTCAGGTTCGTACGAAGTTCTCTCAGAAATGGGGTCGTTGGTGTATTGTATAGTTTTAGGCATTGGATTTCACTCAAAACTCACCAAAAGACTCCTCCCAACATATTATGACGTTCCCCAAGTTTTGGACTTGTTGAGGCCCAAAAAATCCATGGTTGGGCCCGAATAAATTATCAGGCCAAAACGACACTCTACTAAGGAAAAGCGTAAAGCGGAGTACACGAGAACCCACCACATGCGAGTTGTAGTTCACGTGCCATGCTAAATAAATTAGCCATGCTAGGGGTTGAGATAAAATATACCGACTCTACAAGCCCATGCCAAACTTAAACATCGCAGTCCTTCCCAAGGACGATAAAATTAAAACATGCCAAGCAACATGCCATGCCAAGCACAAAATCGTTATCTCACACCTAACCACGCTACAAGCCTAAGTGGGCCCAAGCCACAAAATTAACCGGGGCTTACTGAGAAGGTTGTGGTATGGAAGGAAATAAGCAATTACGGGGCCCATTGAGGGTTCAAGGAACGTAAGTTTCAAGCCACTTGGGGGCTTTGAAACTCAAGCCCGTTCCTAGAACCCAAGCACATGGGTTAGCATGAGAGAGAAGAGAAAAATTGCCCCATGCTCTAGGAAGACACCAAAAAACCTACCAAAATATTTAGCCCAGCCCACATCAATAGAGTTAAAAACCCTTTCCAGCAGTTTGACGAAAATTCACTAGAAATAATAGGCCAGCAGCCCAAAAGTCACGCACAAGCCCAGTCCAGCAGCTTGTACAAAAGCTGTCATCGTGTTCCACCTCTGATAAGACTCCAAACAAGTCAGACAAAGGGTCAAGGCAAGAACCAGCAGAAATTCATGGGTAAATGGCAAATACCCATCGGACAAAAGGCTCCATCCATCTCTTTCCCCATTACAAGCTTTGTTTTGAAAACGCAGAGAGAAAGCAAAGTGGCGCCTCACCTTTGTAGGGAGGTCCAGCTGCGTCAAACTTGTTGGAACCACAATGGTTCCTTTCCCATACGCCTTGATAAGAGAATTGCACGAAAATAGGGCTAAGTAGGAGCTGCCAAGGAAAAAGGAAGAGGAAGACCAGACAAAATTAGAGCTCTTAATGCCTATAAAAGGAGACTTTTGCTACCCAGAAAAATCAACCATCCAGAGCCTGACCAAGCTTTGTCAAGCAACCTGGAATTTACTCAAGCCACCCAATCCTCTTTCTCCGTTGTTTTCTTCTTTCCCTGAGATAAAGCCTTGCTAAGTTTTCCTTCGTTCCCAGTTTAGATTTTATCCTCTGTAAGAAATTCATGCTTCTCTCTCTCTCTCTCTCTCTCTCAAACTGCTAAACTCGTGAAAGCTTAGCTCCCATGCCACATGCTCCTCAGGCTAAGTCATTAGTGAAATCATCATGCTTATTTGGGTGTTAGTAAAGTGATCCTGAGAGTGTTCTTTTAAAATCTCATCAGATTTTCTAAAAACTCTCTTGGGAGCTTGGTTTCGAACTCAGGCATTTGGGGGATTTTACTCGTTGTCTTCTTACAGCAGCCCAGGCCCATTCGTCAGGCTGCTGGAACAAAAAACCCCCTACATAAATTGGCGACTCTGCTGGGGACCAAGCTGTCATTTTACTGATGCCTCCAAGGAAGAAAGCCAGAAGCAACAACATGACCTCTCAAGACGGGCCAAGCCATGGTGACTCGGAATCAAGGCAATATGCCTCCTCAAGAGAAGAAGAATGTGCTAGTGAGGGAGCTTTCACTCTCACAGACCTTGTTGCAGCCATCCATGCTATGGGAGAGACTCAGAAGGAAATGGCAGAAACAATCAAGGAGCTGAAAAGTTCAATTGCTAAGCCAAGTGAAGAAAACGAGAGACACACCAAGCATTAAGCCATAGATGACAAGCCCTCCAACAAGTACAACTCGCGCAAACGAAAGGATAGGGATACATATCCGCCACTCCCATGCAAAGATGAAGAATTTCATGCTATCCTTGACACGATGATTGCTGATGGTGTAATCAAGCCTCTCAGATCCTACAAAATTCCTACCCGAGAGGGGAAGAATGATCCTAGGTACTGCCGTTATCATCAATTTGTGGGACATCCAACTATTGTCTGTCAGAGTCTAAGGAAGATTTTACATGCTAAAATATATGAGGGAGTCCTTGAGCATCCCTCTAGGAAGCAAACAATAGATGAAGACCCCTTACCAAAATGAAGGGGAAAAGAGGTAGCTGGTGTCATTACATGTTTCGATGATTTGCTTGATGATGATGGATTGTGTCACCCACGGAGGAACAACCCAAAGCCGTTGGAAGCTATGTGGGAACCTTGGGAAAACATGGAGAAGACATATTGGTGTAAATATTTGAAGCCTGCAAGCTACAACATGCCATGCCCGCTCGCTGATGGATGGGGTGACGACTCAAGCAATGAAGTTTTCGTCCTGGACATGCCGGGAGAATGCTACTCGGGGGCTTCATTGGGACAACATGAAACAGCTGCTGTAACATTTCATAACCTTACAGAGGCTGAAACAGGTGTGATGAAACGATATGTAAGTCTGAAACAGGGGCCCACAGCTTCGCAGGTCCTCCAAAGAAACCTGAAATTCAAGTCACTCTTTGACCAACTTGGCTTTGGGCCTCAAGCTAGAAAGGTAGCTGCTGTAGCTCTCATGAACATCTATGCATAATCCGATCCTCATTGCTTCACCACTCAACCACAAAGGTCATTTTTAGGAAATGACAATGCTATCGTCTTCACGGACGAGGGCATGGAAGTTCCATACCCGGACCAAAGGAGGCCACTTTATTTGGAGGGACAAATGAACGATGTGTTTATAAGAAGAGCTTTGGTAGACACGGGCTCCTCTATCAATATACTACCTCTGTCTGTGCTTATGGCAGCTGGTATTCCATTATCCAAAATCGTGCAATCTCAAACAAGCATCAGCGGTTTCAGGAATATGAGTAAGATCACGGTCGGACACATGCAAGTAAACTTGAAGGTAGGGCCAATCCGGTCACTTACCAAGTTCTATGTGGTGGACATAGACGTGGCTTATCATGCTTTGCTGGGAAGGCCATGGCTCAACAAGCATAAACTTGTGGTCTCTACTTACCATCAATGTGTAAAAGGAAGAATCGGGCTAAGACCACTTCGTATACCGGGGAACCAAGCACCGTTCAATCAAAGCGAAGCTCACTACTCCGAGGCAGAATTCTACACTGAGTGCACAGGCGTTGGAAGCAACCCATCCAAGAATTCTGGGACTTACCTACCATCGTGGACCGAAATTCGTGATCTGAGCAACGAGGAGCTCATAACCATCATTGATCGAGAAAGAAAAAGACACTCGAAGGCCAACAACCATGCCTATGATCGTCCTCAATGCTCAAAGGTTACACTGCTAGATGGGCGCACTGTGTACCGCTTATGACGGGATTGGGGGCTTGACCGTATCTTACGGGAAAGCCCCGAGTATGGTGGAGAAGCTATGCAAGCAGACAGCCGTGAGAGTCTAGAAGGCAAGACACCCCTGCCTTGTCCTTTCCAAGAACCAATGACAGCACCCAAGCACATGCAAGATGGCTCAACGGCAGTAGCTGAGCAGTTGGAAACAATTGATTTGAGTAATGACCCCTCTGTCCCAAGACCCATCTCTGTCAGTGTTCATTTAACGGGGGAAGAGAAGGAAGCTTTGGTGTCTTTGTTGAAAGAATTTCGAGATGTGTTTGCTTGGAGTTACGAAGAGATGCCCGGCCTTAATTCAAATTTGGTAAGTCATACGCTAAATATTGAGCTCGGTACAAGACCTGTTGTACAACCAAGAAGGAATTTTCATCCTGAAATTGAGAATTAAATCAAGGTGGAAATTGAAAAACTGTTAGCTGCTAGATTCATCAAGCCAATCAAACACCCGACGTGGCTAGCAAATGTTGTGCCCGTGAAGAAGAAAACTGGGGTAATTAGGATATGCACAGACTACCGTGATCTCAATCGAGCTTGCTCAAATGATGAATTCCCGCTACCCAACATGGATATCTTGATCGATTCAACCTCAGGTCAAGGCTTCCTGTCATTCATGGATGTGTTCAGTGGCTATAATCAAATCAAGATGTCACCCAAGGATGCTAAGAAGACAGCCTTTCGAACGCCCTATGAAAATTTCTACTCCAAGGTCATGTTGTTCGGTCTCAAGAACGCCGGTGCTACCTACCAACGGGCCATGATGGCAGTGTTTCATGATATGATGGGAAAAGAGGTGGAAGACTACGTGGATGATCTTGTAGTAAAATCCAAAACCAGAGGAAGTCATTAGGAAGTTCTGAGGCGGGTGCCGGAAAGGTGCCGGCTGTACGGGTTAAAATGAACCCAAAGAAATGTGCATTCGGAGTCTCATCTGGCAAGTTCCTGGGCTTTCAGGTACACCAGCGTGGTATAGATGTGGATTCTGAGAAAACCCAAAGCCATATGCTCTCTTGCACCACCTAAGAATCCAAAGGAGTTGAAAAGTTTTATGGGAAGATTGTCATACATTCGGCGTTTTATTCCAGGCCTTGTTGCCATGATGAGTGTTTTCACTCCTCTACTCAAAAAGGGAAGCCATATATATGGAGCCAAGAATGCCAAGAAGCTTACCAACGGGTACAACAACTGATCACCAAGCTACCCACAATGAGGGCACCTATTTCGGGACTTCCACTCAAAATTTATTTGGCTGCGACGAACACAGCGGTTGGGGCTTTGCTTGCCCAAGATGATCATGGTGGGGAAGAGAATCCCATTTATTATGTGAGTAGGCAATTAAGGGGAGCTGAAACGAGATATCCAAAGACCGAACTCTTGTGCCTTGCTCTTGTCTATGCTGCGCAGCACCTGCGACACTACTTCCTTGCTCACAAGCTACAACTCATAGTAAAGTCTGATCCCGTAAGATACTTGCTCACAAGGCCGGTGTTATCTGGACGTCTTGCATGTTGGTTGCTGCAGCTGTCTGAATTCGATATCACATGCACCACTCCAAAAGCCATCAAAGGATAAGCCGTGATTGACATGCTGGCTTTATTTCCTGAAGTAGAGGAATCAACTCTTTCCAAGGAAGTCCTGGGAGAACTGCCGAAAATGGTTGCTATTGTTACCGAGGAGGAGTCATGGACCCTCTACTTTGATGGGTCTTCCACATCAAAAGGTGGAGGGGCAGGTGTCGTGCTCATTAATCCCAATGGGCAAGCTACGGCTCTCTCATTCAAGCTAGAATTTCCAAGCACGAATAATGTGGCGAAGTACGAAGCCTTTATCATGGGATTGTCCATAGCAAAAGAAATGGGTGCAGAAAAGGCGAAGATCATCGGCGATTCGAACCTAGTACTAAGTCAATTGCAAGGAAGCTTTGCTGTGAAGGAAGCAACCCTGGCACCATATCGGACAGCTGCTGAAAGGCTCATTAATTCTTTCAAGCAAATTGTGATGGAACACATTCCAGGAGTCACCAATAGGTACGCTGATGCGTTGGCCACATTGGGATCAAAGCTCTCATTTGTGCAAGAGCAACCCAACATCACCGTGATAAGGACAGGCACACCAATGATCGAAGCAATGGCCCAGGAGGACCTGCTGGAAGACGATGATTGGAGAAAGCCACTGAAGAAAAAATTAGGTGGGGGGAGCAGCATTAAAGACTTGAAGGATTATGTGATTATCTTTGAGGAACTCTACAGACGTCTTCCGGGAGGTGTTCTGACCCGGTGTGTCGGGGTGGAAGAAGCAAGAAGAAGGTTGCAAGAGGTACATGATGCCACTTGCAGCTTGGAACCAGTGATCAGCCTGTACCGGCGTTTGCAACGCAAAGGTTATTATTGGCCAGAGATGAAGAGGCAAGCAGCTGAACTACAATCCAATTGTCCCACATGTTCTACGATACTCTCCACAGAGGAGTCGTTCACTATTGGAGGGCTCCATACTTGGCATTCTTTGTTGGAGGAACTTTGCCATCCAACTCCAAGCTTGCCTACAAGCTCAAAAAGACCATAAAGAGGTATTTTGTTGATGGGTCAACTCTCTATTGAAAGGGGTTTAATGGTGAGCCATTAAAATGCTTGGGAGAATAGGAGGCACGTCAAGCCATGCAAGAAATACATGCTGGAGAGTGCGGAGAGCACCAAGGAATGAAGAAGCTTCACCGGCAGCTACTAAGCATTGGGTATTATTGGCCTACCATGAAGAAGGATGCACATGACTTTGTTAAGAGATGCCACACAGGCCAAGTCCATGCCAATCTAAGTCACAAGCCTCCTACATTTCTATAAGACATGAGCACTCCCTGGCCTTTCCATACTTGGGGGCTTTATTTAAACGAGACAATCCATCCCCCTTCCGATGGCTACATATGGATCCTTACCACTACGGAGTATTTCACAAAATGGGTTGAGGAAATTCCCCTTCGAAAGGCCACAGGAGCTGCTGTCTCGAATTTCATTCGGGAATACATTGTGCGTAGGTTCGGAATCCCATACAAGATGGTCACCGACAATGGCACGCCTTTTGTTAACAAGCAAGTGAGTTCAACCCTTAGTGGGTACGGTATCAATCATCGTCGCTCTACGCCTTATTACTCGCAAGGAAACGGTCAAGCGGAGGCTACCAATAAGACGATATTAAGGATTCTAAGCAAGATGGTATATGAGTATCAAGGAGGCTGGAGTGTTCACCTGCCGGATGCTTTGGGTTTACCGCACCTCACCAAGGAGCGCTACAGGTTTTTCACCTTACTCACTTGTGTACGGGTCTGAGGCTATTTCACCCGTGGAAATCACCATCCCGACAGCCAGAGTATCAGCTGTTAATCACCTGGAATGGGATACAAAGTCATGCTCGGATTGGCGCCTGCTGGACCTCGAAGTTTTGGATGAAAAAAGAGCAGAAGCCGAAATGAGGACATCGTTGTACCACAAAACTGTAGCCCAAGCTTACAACAGGACAGTCAAACCTCGATCCTTCAAGCAAGGAGACCTCGTGCTAAAAGTCGTGGAGCATGTAAGAAGACAAGTGTCGGGACCTTCCAAGTTTGACCCGCAATGGGAAGGCCCATTCACAGTCAAAGAGGCTTACAGCAGCGGCTATTATCGCTTGGTCTCTGTCAGAGAAGGCACGCTGACGGATCCCATCAACGGGAAGTGCCTCAAACCTTACTACTGCTAAGTTAATTTTATGCCCAGCAAATATCATGCAAATAACATGCACTTAGCAGTAGAACATGCCAAGCTACTTGAACGGGATCCCAAATTGTCAACAAATAGCATGCCCAAGCAAATAATATAAGAAAGGCAAAGCCAAGCTGTTACAAAAAAATCATGCACACGCTAGTCTAATCCTTCTTAGACATAACAAGGAAGTGCTTTTTCAAGGCCAGTGGTTATACAAAATTTTGGGCAGCATATACCTTGTTTTTAAGGGTATCCAACCTGTCAGAAAATTTCAAACAGTTCACAAAGACGAATTTTGCCAACCAAGCAATATATATATATATATATATATAAGACATGCAACATGCCTCAAGCATTTAGAAATTAATACAAGCTTCAGTGGTTCAATACCAAATTACAAAGTCATAACAACGAAAGAATTCTCCCAATCTCGACAAAACATGTTTCTCTCAGATAAATGCCCTATAGAGGTGACAGCATCACTGTTCTTGTGGCTGTAATCAATAATCTCACCACGAGGTAGCACTGCCGAAAGCTGTGAAGAGGTGCCGGAAGCTATGTTGGGTGTGCCCAAGCTAGAAGGAGTAAGAGGTAGCCCTGCTGGAAACTATGGAGAAGTGTTGGCGGCTGTGTCGGGTGTGCCCAAGCAAGGAGTATGAGGTAGCGCTGCTGGAAACTGTGGAGAGGTGCCGACAGTTGTGTCGGGTGTGCCCAAGCAAGGAGTAGGAGGTTGCACTGCTGGAAACTGTGGAGAAGTGTCGGTAACTGTGTCGGGTATGCCCAAGCAAGAAGAAGGAGGAGGTAGCACTGCTGGAAACTATGGAGAAGTGTCGGCGGCTGTGTCACGTGTGCCCAAGCAAGAAGAAGTAGGAGGTAGCACTGCTGGAAACTGTGGAGAAGTGTCGGCGGCTGTGTCACGTGTGCCCAAGCAAGAAGGAGTAGGAGGCAGCACTGCTGGAAGCTATGGGGCAGTGCCGGCAGCTGTGTCGGATGTCCCTAAGAGAGGAGGAGCATGAGGCTGCATTACTGGAAGGCGCATGACAGTGTCGGCAGCTACGCTGAACATCCCAGGAGTAGGAGTAGGAAGTGTATTCTCCGCACCTTGTGAGATGCTCTCAACCTGAGAAAGAGGAGAAATACAGGGTATGAGTTGCAAGTCACAACAGGCAGCACGCAATGTGTATATACCAAGTAAAACAAGCAAGAAGGTTATTGGATACTGGTTCAATGTCAACATGCCGCTCATGGTCACTAACAAATTCGGAGGCATGCCTGAGGCATCCAGTTCCTCCAAACGAGTGTTGGAATTTGGTTTCTACAGCCATGGTTCATGCCAACCCTTTCTCAAAAAGCTGAACTTGGTCAAGCAAGCAGTATAGGTGCCCCAAGAACATGGGGGCTAGAGGAAGCACACTGCCACGTGCTATCACAAAGGCCAAAGGAAACACCCACTCATGCAAATGATCATAAAAAATAAAAACAAATAAAATAAAAATAAAAATCACAGGAGAGAAATCTCCCAAGCCATAACGATGCAAGCGCTGCAAGACGACATGGCTCATTCTTGTTAGCATCTTCGAAAAACTGTATCCAATTGCTAAACCGCAGAGAAGTGCTAGGAGAAGTCAGGGCACCCTTCCGTAAAGCCTCATGCTTTAGTTCATATTCCGGAGACAACGCAATGTGGAAAGCATCTTGGCTGCCGCAAAGTGGAAGGTGGAAAATATTGGCTACATCCTCAAGTGTGGGAGTAAACTCTCCCCATGAACAGGTAAATGTGTGTCTCGGTATTCCATTGCCTAACCACATGCCGGAGCATCTTGGCTTAAATATGGATGTCGCAAGCTTTAGAAATAAAGATAGCGTCCAGCAACCCTACCTGATTTAAGATGTCACAGGAGGATGGGTCCTTCAATTCGCAGTCAACCCATTCTGACCAACCATTGCTGATGCCATATGGATATTGGAAGAACAAGGGGACTGCCAGAAATATGACCCTCTTTATGCAGGATCAACCACTGGAGCTGTTTCAGGCGCTGGCTCTCCATTAAATGAATACGTCTTCACCATCGCTCTTAAGCAAAGGAGGAGGCCTCACTCTTTTTAATCTGTCATCTAGGGGATAAATGGGTCCCTAATAATGGGCAACAGATCAGCGGATGCCATGACCAGTTTTGGCAAAATGGCAAATCTCTGCATACGAGAAAGAAAAAAAAAGGGGTTCAAGCATGCCAAGAAAATTCTCTCTCAAAACAAAAATCAAGCATTGCAAGACATGCGTTCTGTCAACTTCTACTTCTCACGGCTGAGAACAAACTCTACAATTAATCAAGCATATGTTCGCAAGGGGAGTAAGCCTAGGCCAAGCACCAGTCTATGCTTATTCCTAGAATATTCAAATTGGCAGAGCTATTTACCAAAAGATTAAAACGGAAGCCCCAAATATCCAAGTTAGAAGGCTGGAGGATTTGAAGGTTCCAGTGGCAGAAACGTCAAAGGCTTCCAGAACCTGCCCCACCTATGCCTGAGGCGTATGCACCTGCACAGAAATAAACAAAAGAGAAAGCACATCATGCCAAGTTCAGCATTTTCATATACAAAGAAGAGGTCAGATAAAAGTAAAGAAGAGGAAAAGGGGGACAAACCCCAAGCTAACGGTTTCTTCTCACAAAATTTGGTACCTTTCCAGCAATTTGAGCAAACCAATGAAAAGAGAACCTGGGAAGATGGATGCAAATCCTTCTTTGCTAGCACCCACGCTGTAAGCACCCACGTTGCTGCAATAACAAAATAGGTCAAGAGAGGGTTTGGTGTTTCACAGCCATAACAAAAGGGCAACATTCATGGATGAAAGGAACCCAACAAATTTCCCAAATAAATTCAAGAGAAAACAAGGGAAAAAGCATACCTTGTTGAATTCCCCAAAGAAGGATCTTGAATAAACCAAGAAAAGGAGAGAAATCGGGGATTTTTGGAAGAAAATCGCACAAGGAGGCCCCTTTAGCAGCCACGAACGGAGCCCTTCGAATAAGGGAGGGGCGGCGGAGTCGAACTTGGCATGGGCTTCTTCACAACGATTGGAGGCAGATGACTTCTGCCCAATCTCACTCTCTCACTCAGTCTGAGTCTGTTGGAGAAGGGGAAGGGAATGAAGAAAAGAAAATTGGAAGAAGGTTGGGTCTGGTGAGAGAAACGAGGGAGAAAGGAAGAAAAGGAAGAAAATAATAATAAAAGAAGAAGAAGGCGGTTGGCGTTGGGAAACTGCAAATAACCGCTGGAACCAATCATGATGCGCCGTCATTTGCACCCGGGAAGAGAAGAAGTTCTCTACAAATACAAATTTTTTTTTTTTTTTTTTTTTTTTTTTTTTTTTTTGGTTTGGTTATTTTTTTTAATTTATTAATTATTTCCAGCCCACCCTGTCCATGGCCCTATATAATTAAGAGGGCTAATGTTGAGGCCCAAAAAATCCATGGTTGGGCCTGAATCCATGGTTGGACTAATGTTTTCTTCTTTCCCTGAGATAAAGCCATGCTAAGTTTTCCTTCGTTCCCAGTTTAGATTTTATCCTCTGTAAGAAATTCATGCTTCTCTCTCTCTCTCTCTCTCTCAAACTGCTAAACTCGTGAAAGCTTAGCTCCCATGCCACATGCTCCTCAGGCTAAGTCATTAGTGAAATCATCATGCTTATTTGGGTGTTAGTAAAGTGATCCTGAGAGTGTTCTTTTAAAATCTCATCAGATTTTCTAAAAACTCTCTTGGGAGCTTGGTTTCGAACTTAGGCATTTGGGGGATTTTACTCGTTGTCTTCTTACAGCAGCCCAGGCCCATTCGTCAGGCTGCTGGAACAAAAAACCCCCTACATAAATTGGCGACACTGCTGGGGACCAAGCTGTCATTTTACTGATGCCTCCAAGGAAGAAAGCCATAAGCAACAACATGACCTCTCAAGACGGGCCAAGCCATGGTGACTCGGAATCAAGGCAACATGCCTCCTCAAGAGAAGAAGAATGTGCTAGTGAGGGAGCTTTCACTCTCACAGACCTTGTTGCAGCCATCCATGCTATGGGAGAGACTCAGAAGGAAATGGCAGAAACAATCAAGGAGCTGAAAAGTTCAATTGCTATGCCAAGTGAAGAAAACGAGAGACACACCAAGCATTAAGCCATAGATGACAAGCCCTCCAACAAGTACAACTCGCGCAAACGAAAGGATAGGGATACATATCCGCCACTCCCATGCAAAGATGAAGAATTTCATGCTATCCTTGACACGATGATTGCTGATGGTGCAATCAAGTCTGTCAGATCCTACAAAATTCCTACCCGAGAGGAGAAGAATAATCCTAGGTACTGCCGTTATCATCAATTTGTGGGACATCCAACTATTGTCTGTCAGAGCCAAAACTCACCAGATGAATCCTCCCACCATATTATGATGTTCCCCAAGTTTTGGACTCAATCTGATATCGACAGGTCTTTGAAATTGGACAATTCAGGTTTGTACGAAGTTCTTTCATAAATGGAGTGGTTGGGGTATTGTCTAGCTCAAAACTCACCAAATGACTCCTCCCACAAAATTACGATGTTCCGCAAGTTTTGCACTCAGTCCGATATCTATTGGTCCTTGAAATCGGACAATTCTGGTCTGAACGAAGTTCGTTCAGAAATGGAGTCGCTGGTGTATTGCATAGTTCTAGCCATTGGATTTCACTCAAAACTCACCAAATGACTCCTCCCACCATATTATGTATTTCCCCAAGTCTTGGACTAAATCCGGTATCTATTGGTCCTTGAAATCAGACAATTCAGGTCCGTACCAAGTTCTTTCTGAAATGGAGTGGTTGGTGTATTGCATAGTTTTAGCCATTGGATTTCACTCAAACCTCACCAAATGACTCCTCCCACCATATTATGTTGTTCCCGAAGTCTTAGACTTAATCCGGTATCGATTGGTTCTTGAAATCGGACAATTCAGGTTCGTACCAAGTTCCTTCTGAAATGGAGTGCTTGGTTTATTGCATAGTTTTAGGAATTGGATTTCACTCAAAACGCACCAAATGACTCCTCCTACCATATTATTTGTTCCCCTAGTTTTGGAGTCAATCCGATATCGATTGGTCCTTGAAATCAGACAATTCAGGTTCGTACCAAGTTCCTTCCGAAATGGAGTGGTTGGGGTATTGCATAGTTTTTGCCATTGGATTTCCCTCAACACTCACCAAATGAACGCTCCAACCATATTATGATGTTTCCCAAGTTTTGGACTCAATCCGATATCGATTGGTCCTTGAAATAGGACAATTCAGGTTCGTACGAAGTTCTTTCAGAAATGAAGTGGTTGGGTATTGCATAGTTTTAGACATTGGATTTCACTCAAAACAACCAAATGACTCCTCCCACCATATTATGATGTTCCCCAAGTTTTGGACTCAATCCGATATCGATTGGTCCTTGAAATCGGAAATTCAGGTTCGAACGAAGTTTGTTCAGAAATGGAGTGGTTGGTGTATTGCATAGTTCTAGCCATGGGATTACACTCGAAACTCACCAAATGACTCCTCCCACCATATTATGATGTACCCCAAGTTTTGGACTCAATCCGATATCGATTGGTCCTTGAAATCGGACAATTCAGGTTCGTACCAAGTTCCTTCTTAAAAGGAGTGGTTGGTGTATTGCGTAGTTTTAGCCATTGGATTTCACTCAAAACTAACCAAATGACTCCTCCCATCATATTATGATGTTCCCCAAGTTTTGCACTCAGTGCGATATCGATTGGTCCTTGAAATCGGAAAATTCAGGTTCGAACGAAGTTCGTTTGAAATGGAGTGGTGTATTGCATAGTTTTAGCCATTGGATTTCACTCAAACCACACCAAATAACTCCTCCCACCATATTATGATGTGCCCCAAGTTTTGGACTCAATCCGATATCGATTGGTCCTTGAAATCAGACAATTCAGGTTCGTACCAAGTTCCTTTTGAATGGAGTGGTTGGGGTATTGCAAAGTTTTAGCCATTGTATAATGTTCCCCAAGTTTTGGACTCAATCCAATATCGATTGGTCCTTGAAATTGGACAATTCAGGTTCGTACGAAGTTCTTTCTAAATGGAGTGGTTGGGGTATTGCCTAGTTTTATCCATTGGATTTCACTCAAAACACACCAAATGACTCCTCCCACCATATTATGATGTTCCCCAAGTTTTGGACTCAATCCGATATCGATTGGTCCCTGAAATTGGACAATTCAGGTTCGTACGAAGGCCTTTCTGAAAAATGGAGTGGTTGGGGTATTGCCAGTTTTATCCATTGGATTTCACTCAAAACACACCAAATGACTCCTCCCACCATATTATGATGTTCCCCAAGTTTTGGACTCAATCCGATATCGATTGGTCCTGAAATTGGACGATTCAGGTTCGTACGAAGTTCGCTTCTGAAATGGAGTGGTTGGTGTATTGCATAGTTTTATCCATTGGATTTCACTCAAAACACACCAAATGACTCCTCCCACCATATTATGATGTTCCCCAAGTTTTGGACTCAATCCGATATCGATTGGTCCTTGAAATTGGACAATTCAGGTTCGTACGAAGTTCGTTGAAATGGAGTGGTTGGTGTATTGCATAGTTTTAGCCATTGGATTTCACTCAAAACACACCAAATGACTCCTCCCACCATATTATGATGTTCCCCAAGTTTTGGACTCAATCCGATATCGATTGGTCCTTGAAATCGGACAATTCAGGTTCGTACGAAGTTCGTTCTGAAATGGAGTGGTTGGTGTATTGCATAGTTTTAGCCATTGGATTTCACTCAAAACCACCAAATGACTCCTCCCACCATATTATGATGTTCCCCAAGTTTTGGACTCAATCCGATATCGATTGGTCCTTGAAATCGGACAATTCAGGTTCGTACGAAGTTCCTTCTGAAATGGAGTGGTTGGTGTATTCCATAGTTTTAGCCATTGGATTTCACTCAAAACACACCAAATGACTCCTCCCACCATATTATGATGTTCCCCAAGTTTTGGACTCAATCCGATATCGATTGGTCCTTGAAATCGCACAATTCAGGTTCGTACGAAGTTCGTTCTGAAATGGAGTGGTTGGTGTATTGCATAGTTTTATCCATTGGATTTCACTCAAAACACACCAAATGACTCCTCCCACCATATTATGATGTTCCCCAAGTTTTGGACTCAATCCGATATCGATTGGTCCTTGAAATTGGACGATTCAGGTTCGTACGAAGTTCGTTTTGAAATGGAGTGGTTGGTGTATTGCATAGTTTTATCCATTGGATTTCACTCAAAACACACCAAATGACTCCTCCCACCATATTATGATGTTCCCCAAGTTTTGGACTCAATCCGATATCGATTGGTCCTTGAAATTGGACGATTCAGGTTCGTACGAAGTTCGCTCTGAAATGGAGTGGTTGGGGTATTGCATAGTTTTATCCATTGGATTTCACTCAAAACACACCAAATGACTCCTCCCACCATATTATGATGTTCCCCAAGTTTTGGACTCAATCCGATATCGATTGGTCCGTGAAATTGGACGATTCAGGTTCGTACGAAGTTCGCTCTGAAATGGAGTGGTTGGTGTATTGCATAGTTTTATCCATTGGATTTCACTCAAACCACACCAAATGACTCCCTCCCACCATATTATGATGTTCCCCAAGTTTTGGACTCAATCCGATATCGATTGGTCCTGAAATGGACGATTCAGGTTCGTACGAAGTTCGCTCTGAAATGGAGTGGTTGGTGTATTGCATAGTTTTAGCCATTGGATTTCACTCAAAACACACCAAATGACTCCTCCCACCATATTATGATGTTCCCCAAGTTTTGGACTCAATCCGATATCGATTGGTCCTTGAAATTGGACGATTCAGGTTCGTACGAAGTTCGCTCTGAAATGGAGTGGTTGGTGTATTGCATAGTTTTAGTCCATTGGATTTCACTCAAAACACAACAAATGACTCCTCCCACCATATTATGATGTTCCCCAAGTTTTGGACTCAATCCGATATCGATTGGTCCTTGAAATTGGACAATTCAGGTTCGTACGAAGTTCGTTCTGAAATGGAGTGGTTGGGGTATTGCATAGTTTTATCCATTGGATTTCACTCAAAACACACCAAATGACTCCTCCCACCATATTATGATGTTCCCCAAGTTTTGGACTCAATCCGAGATACGATTGGTCCTTGAAATGGACGATTCAGGTTCGTACGAAGTTCGCTTCTGAAATGGAGTGGTTGGTGTATTGCATAGTTTTATCCATTGGATTTCACTCAAAACACACCAAATGACTCCTCCCACCATATTATGATGTTCCCCAAGTTTTGGACTCAATCCGATATCGATTGGTCCGTGAAATTGGACGATTCAGGTTCGTACGAAGTTCGCTTTGAAATGGAGTGGTTGGTGTATTGCATAGTTTTATCCATTGGATTTCACTCAAAACACACCAAATGACTCCTCCCACCATATTATGATGTTCCCCAAGTTTTGGACTCAATCCGATATCGATTGGTCCGTGAAATTGGACGATTCAGGTTTGTACGAAGTTCGCTCTGAAATGGAGTGGTTGGGGTATTGCATAGTTTTATCCATTGGATTTCACTCAAAACACACCAAATGACTCCTCCCACCATATTATGATGTTCCCCAAGTTTTGGACTCAATCCGATATCGATTGGTCCGTCAAATGGACGATTCAGGTTCGTACGAAGTTCGCTCTGAAATGGAGTGGTTGGTGTATTGCATAGTTTTATCCATTGGATTTCACTCAAAACACACCAAATGACTCCTCCCACCATATTATGATGTTCCCCAAGTTTTGGACTCAATCCGATATCGATTGGTCCTTGAAATTGGACGATTCAGGTTCGTACGAAGTTCGTTCTGAAATGGAGTTGTTGGTGTATTGCATAGTTTTATCCATTGGATTTCACTCAAAAACACACCAAATGACTCCTCCCACCATATTATGATGTTCCCCAAGTTTTGGACTCAATCCGATATCGATTGGTCCTTGAAATTGGACGATTCAGGTTTGTACGAAGTTCGCTCTGAAATGGAGTGGTTGGTGTATTGCATAGTTTTATCCATTGGATTTCACTCAAAACACACCAAATGACTCCTCCCACCATATTATGATGTTCCCCAAGTTTTGGACTCAATCCGATATCGATTGGTCCTTGAAATCGGACATTCAGGTTCGTACCAAGTTCCTTGTGAAATGGAGTGGTTGGGGTATTGCATAGTTTTAGCCATTGGATTCCCCTCAAAACTTGGTACCAACCACTCCATTTCAGAAGAACTTCGTACGAACCTGAATTGTCCAATTTCAAGGACCAATCGATATCGGATTGGGTCCAAAACTTGGGGAACATCATAATATGGTGGGAGGAGTCATTTGGTGGGTTTGAGTGAAATCCAATGGATAAAACTATGCAATACACCAACCACTCCATTTCAGAACGAATTCGTACGAACCTGAATTGTCCAATTTCACGGACCAATCGATATCGGATTGAGTCCAAAACTTGGGGAACATCATAATATGGTGGGAGGAGTCATTTGGTGTGTTTTGAGTGAAATCCAATGGATAAAACTATGCAATACACCAACCACTCCATTTCAGAGCGAACTTCGTACGAACCTGAATCGTCCAATTTGAAGGACCAATCGATATCGGATTGAGTCCAAAACTTGGGGAACATCATAATATGGTGGGAGGAGTCATTTGGTGTGTTTTGAGTGAAATCCAATGGATAAAACTATGCAATACACCAACCACTCCATTTCAGAAGGAACTTCGTACGAAACCTGAAGGTCCGATTTCAGGACCAATCGATATCGGATTGAGTCCAAAACTTGGGGAACATCATAATATGGTGGGAGGAGTCATTTGGTGTGTTTTGAGTGAAATCCAATGGATAAAACTATGCAATACACCAACCACTCCATTTCAGAACGAACTTCGTACGAACCTGAATTGTCCAATTTCACGGACCAATCGATATCGGATTGAGTCCAAAACTTGGGGAACATCATAATATGGTGGGAGGAGTCATTTGGTGTGTTTTGAGTGAAATCCAATGGATAAAACTATGCAATACACCAACCACTACATTTCAGAACGAACTTCGTACGAACCTGAATTGTCCAATTTCACGGACCAATCGATATCGGATTGAGTCCAAAACTTGGGGAACATCATAATATGGTGGGAGGAGTCATTTGGTGTTTTGAGTGAAATCCAATGGATAAAACTATGCAATACACCAACCACTCCATTTCAGAACGAACTTCGTACGAACCTGAATTGTCCAATTTCATGGACCAATCGATATCGGATTGAGTCCAAAACTTGGGGAACATCATAATATGGTGGGAGGAGTCATTTGGTGTGTTTTGAGTGAAATCCAATGGCTAAACTATGCAATACACCAACCACTCCATTTCTGAACGAACTTCGTACGAACCTGAATTGTCCAATTTCATGGACCAATCGATATCGGATTGAGTCCAAAACTTGGGGAACATCATAATATGGTGGGAGGAGTCATTTGGTGTGTTTTGAGTGAAATCCAATGGCTAAAACTATGCAATACACCAACCACTCCATTTCAGAACGAACTTCGTACGAACCTGAATTGTCCAATTTCACGGACCAATCGATATCGGATTGAGTCCAAAACTTGGGGAAACATCATAATATGGTGGGAGGAGTCATTTGGTGTGTTTTGAGTGAAATCCAATGGCTAAAACTATGCAATACACCAACCACTCCATTTCAGAACGAACTTCGTACGAACCTGAATTGTCGATTTCATGGACCAATCGATATCGGATTGAGTCCAAAACTTGGGGAACATCATAATATGGTGGGAGGAGTCATTTGGTGGTTTTGAGTGAAATCCAATGGCTAAAACTATGCAATACACCAACCACTCCATTTCAGAACGAACTTCGTACGAACCTGAATTGTCCGATTTCAGGACCAATCGATATCGGATTGAGTCCAAAACTTGGGGAACATCATAATATGGTGGGAGGAGTCATTTGGTGGTTTTGAGTGAAATCCAATGGCTAAAACTATGCAATACACCAACCACTCCATTTCAGAACGAACTTCGTACGAACCTGAATAGTCCGATTTCATGGACCAATCGATATCGGATTGAGTCCAAAACTTGGGGAACAACATAATATGGTGGGAGGAGTCATTTGGTGGTTTTGAGTGAAATCCAATGGCTAAAACTATGCAATACACCAACCACTCCATTTCAGAACGAACTTCGTACGAACCTGAATAGTCCGATTTCAGGACCAATCGATATCGGATTGAGTCCAAAACTTGGGGAACAACATAATATGGTGGGAGGAGTCATTTGGTGGTTTTGAGTGAAATCCAATGGCTAAAACTATGCAATACACCAACCACTCCATTTCAGAACGAACTTCGTACGAACCTGAATAGTCCGATTTCATGGACCAATCGATATCGGATTGAGTCCAAAACTTGGGGAACAACATAATATGGTGGGAGGAGTCATTTGGTGGTTTTGAGTGAAATCCAATGGCTAAAACTATGCAATACACCAACCACTCCATTTCAGAACGAACTTCGTACGAACCTGAATAGTCCGATTTCATGGACCAATCGATATCGGATTGAGTCCAAAACTTGGGGAACATAATATGGTGGGAGGAGTCATTTGGTGGGTTTTGAGTGAAATCCAATGGCTAAAACTATGCAATACACCAACCACTCCATTTCAGAACAAACTTCGTACGAACCTGAATAGTCCGATTTCATGGACCAATCGATATCGGATTGAGTCCAAAACTTGGGGAACAACATAATATGGTGGGAGGAGTCATTTGGTGGTTTTGAGTGAAATCCAATGGCTAAAACTATGCAATACACCAACCACTCCATTTCAGAACGAACTTGTACGAACCTGAATAGTCCGATTTCATGGACCAATCGATATCGGATTGAGTCCAAAACTTGGGGAACATCATAATATGGTGGGAGGAGTCATTTGGTGGTTTTGAGTGAAATCCAATGGCTAAAACTATGCAATACACCAACCACTCCATTTTAGAACGAACTTCGTACGAACCTGAATTGTCCAATTTCACGGACCAATCGATATCGGATTGAGTCCAAAACTTGGGGAACATCATAATATGGGGGGAGGAGTCATTTGGTGTGTTTTGAGTGAAATCCAATGGATAAAACTATGCAATACACCAACCACTCCATTTCAGAACGAACTTCGTACGAACCTGAATCGTCCAATTTCACGGACCAATCGATATCGGATTGAGTCCAAAACTTGGGGAACATCATAATATGGTGGGAGGAGTCATTTGGTGTGTTTTGAGTGAAATCCAATGGATAAAACTATGCAATACACCAACCACTCCATTTCAGAACGAACTTCGTACGAACCTGAATCGTCCAATTTCATGGACCAATCGATATCGGATTGAGTCCAAAACTTGGGGAACATCATAATATGGTGGGAGGAGTCATTTGGTGTGTTTTGAGTGAAATCCAATGGATAAAACTATGCAATACACCAACCACTCCATTTCAGAACGAACTTCGTACGAACCTGAATCGTCCATTTCACGGACCAATCGATATCGGATTGAGTCCAAAACTTGGGGAACATCATAATATGGTGGGAGGAGTCATTTGGTGTGTTTTGAGTGAAATCCAATGGATAAAACTATGCAATACACCAACCACTCCATTTCAGAACGAACTTCGTACGAACCTGAATTGTCCAATTTCACGGACCAATCGATATCGGATTGAGTCCAAAACTTGGGGAACATCATAATATGGTGGGAGGAGTCATTTGGTGTGTTTTGAGTGAAATCCAATGGATAAAACTATGCAATACACCAACCACTCCATTTCAGAAGAACTTCGTACGAACCTGAATGTCCGATTTCATGGACCAATCGATATCGGATTGAGTCCAAAACTTGGGGAACATCATAATATGGTGGGAGGAGTCATTTGGTGGGTTTTGAGCGAAATCCAATGGCTAAAACTATGCAATACACCAACACTCCATTTTCAGAACGAACTTCGTACGAACCTGAATGTCCAATTTCATGGACCAATCGATATCGGATTGAGTCCCAAAACTTGGGGAACATCATAATATGGTGGGAGGAGTCATTTGGTGGTTTTGAGTGAAATCCAATGGCTAAAACTATGCAATACACCAACCACTCCATTTGAAACGAACTTCGTACGAACCTGAATTGTCCGATTTCAGGACCAATCGATATCGGATTGAGTCCAAAACTTGGGAACAACATAATATGGTGGGAGGAGTCATTGGTGGTTTGAGTGAAATCCAATGGCTAAAACTATGCAATACACCAACCACTCATTTCAGAACGAACTTCCTACGAACCTGAATTGTCCCGATTTCACGGACCAATCGATATCGGATTGAGTCCAAAACTTGGGGAACAACAAATAATGGTGGGAGGAGTCATTTGGTTGGTTTTGAGTGAAATCCATTTTTTTTTTTTTTTTTTTTTTTTTTTTTTTTTTTTTTTTTTTTTTTTTTTTTTTTTTTTTTTTTTTTTTTTTTTTTTTTTTTTTTTTTTTTTTTTTTTTTTTTTTTTTTTTTTTTTTTTTTTTTTTTTTTTTTTTTTTTTTTTTTTTTTTTTTTTTTTTTTTTTTTTTTTTTTTTTTTTTTTTTTTTTTTTTTTTTTTTTTTTTTTTTTTTTTTTTTTTTTTTTTTTTTTTTTTTTTTTTTTTTTTTTTTTTTTTTTTTTTTTTTTTTTTTTTTTTTTTTTTTTTTTTTTTTTTTTTTTTTTTAAAAAAAAAAAAAAAAAAAAAAAAAAAAAGGGGGGGGGGGGGGGGGGGGGGGGGGTTTTTTTTTTTTCTCCTACTACAAAAAAGGAAAACCACGACGGGAATTCACCGTCGTGTATTCTGTTTTCAAATGGTCGTGGAATCCACCGACATCTTTTCCATAACCAAACCACGACGGTGAATAACCGTCGTTGTTAAAATAAAAAACGTCATCAAAAAATAAAAACCGACGTCTTTGTGCTGCAAAAGACATAAAAAAACAGTCGAGGATGAGAATAGACGACCAACTCCAACAAAAACAACGTCGTTAAAAAGGAAACAGATGACAAATATAAATACGACGTCTTTACAATCATAATAGACGACGTTATTGACACCTACTACGTCACAACATTTCACACAACCGTCGTAAAATAAATTTTCCACTTCGATTTTTCTATGAATTATGACGTGGAAAGAGATGTCAGGGTCATTACTTACGACGCATGTATTTACAGAGACGACGTTGAATTGATAAATAACGTCGGTTCCAAATAAATGAGAGCCGTATTACAGAATTTATACGTCATATTTTGAAAATAAACGACGTGGAAAAAATGATGGGGTCATTAATTACGACACAGTAATTTATAAGGACGACGTTGTCGTCTATATACAACGTCGGTACCATGAAAAAGACCGTCGTGTTTAATAATTTATACGTCTTCATTAAAAAAATTAACGTCGTCTAGTTCATAAATCTTAACGTCGACAAATTTAATGGACTTCAAATACCGTCGTGAATTCATCCTTTTCCACTTCGTTTATGAAAGAACATGCGACGTGGTAAATTCATGACGACGTCGTCTTTTGTAACGTTCAGGTTAAAGTTCTCGTCTTTTAGACGTCGGTGTTATGGGATTGGAGTCGTGTTATTTTGAATTACATGGCGGTTCTTTATGCTTGTCCGACGTGTTATCCTGGATAACTGTTTCACAATAGCGTCGTGGTTCTTCATTGTTACTTTGCTTTAAGACGTCGGTAAATATATTGCGGTCGTTGAATGCTCCAAAACGTCGTTATTTATTAGAACAGACGTTTGTTTTTCACATTTTTATCAAAACCGTCGTGTTTGTAATCTGGAACCAGTAATTTTTGTACTGATTGTTTTGTGGCCAAAACCTGTATAATGAAAGTGAAGAAATCACATTACAATATATTACAAAATTAATGTCATACACTGCCAATTACATAAAGCATCATTCAACCCATATATCTTCACACCCATCTCGAATATTTTGACTCCCTAACTCAACCACCACTTCATCAAATGTGTCAACATTTGGCATCCCCCTAGTAAATGGCTCACACTCAATTCTCACATCACCTAAGACATCATCACCAATAACATCATTATATTCTCTATTAGGCATTGATAACACTACCGACCAACCACGATGCATCGGGTCGTCAACAAAAAATACTTGTTTGACTTGAGAAGCCAAAACAAATTGGTCATTCCTATGTCCAATTTTACTCAAATCTACAAGGTAAATCCAAGTTCGTCCACTACAAGACCAGAAGTATTATCAATCCAATCACACCTAAAGACTGGGATTGTAAACTTTTGGTAGTCAAGGTCCCAAATTTCTTGAATGACACCATAGAAACCCATATTTGAGAGAATTGGGTTTTTATCCTTGGCCACTAGCAACTTGCATAGTATGTGCAAGTAAATAAACTCCACTATTTTGAGTTGTCCGCACATCATCTTGTGCCTTGATGTTGAATTTAATACCTTTAATGAGATAGCTCCTATATAATGGCACTGCCATGTTTGGACCAGCTGCTAGCCACCTTAAATTTTCTGATACGCCATGATTGTCTTCCTCATTAAGTTCACTTTGAACCTGCAAATTAATCATAACTTATTCAATCTAACATAGAAAGAAGAAAATTAAAAGTCCAATATGTTATTCAATAACATATACCTTGAAGCGTAGCCATTGAATGAAAGTGCTATTGTGCTTATCCTGCAGCCACTTTGTTCTCTTTCTAAATTTTGGATAAGCGGTCTGGTGTGGATCATATGTTGCCTACATGACACACAAAATTCAAGTATTACGGTCCCAAACATATAAGATAAACATAAGAAATAATTTAAAATGGAAACTTAAAGAATAAAACTCATACGTACTCGATATAAGGTAGGACTTCCTCCCGTATTCTCCAAGACATATAGATGTGCTTGGTCAACAGGTCCCGATCAACTACGCTCACTGTGCAACCTGATAATGGCTTTGAAACTCCCATCTTTTGGCTTGAAGGCACTCCAACTGTACTAACATCAGATAAATGCTCGGTACAAAACTCTACAGCTTCTTCAGCTATATACCGCTCAGCAATGCAACCTTCGGGACGAGTACGATTCTGAACATACCCCTTTAGCACTTTCATATATCTTTCAAACGGATACATCCATCTAAAATATACTGGCCCACACAGACGAACTTCTCTGACAAATGTACTACTATATGAACCATGATATCAAAGAATGAAGGGGGAAAGTACTTCTCAAGCAAACACAAAGTAACTACTACATCTTCTTCCAACTTTATCTAGCTTGGAAACATCAACAGTCTTTGCACATATAGCATTGAAGAAGAAGCACAAACGAGTTATTGCATCCTTGCAGGCTTCTCCAAAACAGAACGAATTGCCACAGGGAGCAATTGTTGCATTAAGGTATGACAATCATGTGATTTAAGGCCAAGAAGTCTTGAATCTTGAAAGATACAAGATTTTTTATATTTGAAGAATAACCTTCAGGGACCTTCATACCATAGAAAGAATTGCAAACCTCTCTCTTCTCTGCTCTTGACAAATTCCAAGGCCCGGGAGGCAAAACGAGTACGTCTTTCTCCATACTCGGGTTGCAAATCATTTTTGACCCCCATGTTCAATAAATCTAATCGAGCAGCAATCCCATCTTTATTTTTTCCAGGGATCTCCACAAATGTACCAATGATACTATCGCAAACATTCTTCTCAATGTGCATAACATCTAGGACATGCCTCACAGGAAGGTATTTCCAATACTCGAGATCAAAGAATATTGATTTCTTCTTCCAACAAACTCTGTCACCATCTTCAACCATATGCAGCACTTCTTCTCCGGTTAATGGCTCAGGAGGCGTGCCATATTCAGGTTTCCCATTAAAAGCTGCACGTTGCCTCCTATATGGATGATTGATCGGTAACCATTTTCTATGCCCAATGTAACAAATTTTGTGGCCATTTTTCAACCTGTGACTAGGTGTATCATCGCCGCATATTGGACAAGCTTTATATCCTTTAACAACACAACCAGATAAGTTTCCATAGGCGGGGAAATCATTAATTGTCCACATTAATGCAGCTCTGAGTGTAAAGTATTCTCCATTATGTGCATCATACACTCCTCCAATCCCATCCCACAAAGATTTTAAATCATCAATCAAAGGCTCCAAGTAGACGTCTATATCATTTCCGGGCTGTTTAGGACCGGAAATCAATAAGGTCAACATCATGAACTTTCGTTTCATGCACAGCCATGGAGGGAGATTATATGTAACTAAGATAACTGGCCAGCAACTATATCTGCTACTTAGAGAACTGTGGGGATTGAATCCATCAGATGAAAGAGCCAATCTCAAGTTTCTCGGCTCATTACCAAACTCGGGCCATTTATCATCAAGAAGTTTCCAAGACGGGGAATCCGCTGGATGAGACATATAACCGTCAATTGATTTTCTAGCAGCATGCCAAGTCAAACTCTTAGCGGTCTCATGTGATCGAAACATCCTTTTAAACCTTGGAATTGGAGGAAAATACCACACCACCTTCGCTGGCACACCCTCTTTCAAGATTGAATCTTTGCCTTCCTTCCACCTTGAGATACCACAATTAGGACAATGAGTTAAATCCTCATACTCCTTCCTATACAAGATGCAATCATTGGGGCATGCGTGCATTTTCTCATAACTCAGCCCCAATGCACACAAAGTCTTTTTTGCCTCATACATAGAGGCCGGTATTGTATTTCCTTCTGGAAGCAAATCGCCTTGAAGTATCAATAATTCTGTAAAACAGACATCACTCATCCCATATTTTGCCTTCAAATTATACAACTTCACTAATGCCGATAACTTCGTGTACTTTCTACAACCAGGGTACAATGGTTGATCTCCATCCCCAATCACATTGGCAAACTCATAAGGATCAGATCCAAAATCACCAAAATCATTATCATCCATCTCTATTTCTTCAGACACAAAACTGTACCTACTATGGTCATCATCTTCTTCAACATTTCTACTAGCATTAGTAGCTGCTTCCCAAGGTTCTCCGTGAAATGTCCAATTCTTATAGCTTTGGTCAACTCCATTAAAGTATAAGTGATCCCTTATAATTCCAACCCCAAACAATTTCAAATTAACACATTTAACACATGGACAACGGATATGTGTGGTAGTTAGAAGATTTTCTACAGAAAAGTTCAAAAATGCTTCCACCCCTAACTCATATGCCTTCGATCTTCTATCCGAGTGCATCCATGACTTATCCATCTCCGACACTATACCCTATTATATATAATAAAGTGAAAAGACAAGCAATGACCATCACTATAGCAGATTATATAAAGTCTAATAGCAAGTAATATACAACAGAGACGACGGTTTTTAAACAAAAACAGACGTATTTGACATATATAGACGACGGATTTTACGTCGTCTAATTATAACCACGACGGTAGTTAAATAACACCGTCGTGTATAAGTAATAAAAACGACGGTTTAAAGTAAAAACCGTCGTCGTATGCCTGAAAACGCGTCGATATCCAGTTTATTTTCAAGATCCCAAAACCCTATTAAGAACACAACATAGACATGAAACCAAGCAAGAAACCAACATATACATGAAACCAACATATACTAAGCATGAAAACAATAAATCCATTCCCAATTCAACATAACAGAGAGTGATTAAAAGATCCGACAAAATGAAATCCATTCCATATTCAACATAACAGAGAGTGATCAAGAAAACATTAAACAGAAAATCCATGAACCCATACCTCCAACAACATTATTAACAGATCGCAAAACATATACCTAAAACCCTTTAACAAAACAACGTAATATATCATTCAATGAATTTACAAGGGGAAGAGAGGGTTTGTACTTACAGGTTGGCAGAGCTCACAGATTATGACCAAATTGGATTTGACACAGCCTGGCCCAACTTTGAATTAGAGATGAAGTGAGAGAGCGAAATGTTATGTTGCGCGAAATCAGAAAATTTTAGGGTTCAGGGTTAGAAGTATAAAAATAAGAGCCAAATCTGAAAATTTTAGGTCCCGCGAATATTTTAAGAAAGCGCGCTTTTAAAAACATCGACCGAAAATACAAGCGTCGTTAAAATTTAACATTAAAGATGACGCTTATTACATTAAGGACGTCGTGGTAAAACTATGTACCACGCAAAATCAAAAAAGGCGTTAAAACTATGAAAAACCACGGCGGGGTTTAAGTAACTAACGACGTTGTAAACAATTATTATGAATATTTTGAAGGAAATGAATAAAATATTCCTACAAACACAAAAAACCACGTCCACTTTAGAAAGTAACAACGTTGTAAAATATAATAAACGATTAATTGTTGAAAGGACGTTATTAAAAGCGAAACCATGGCGAAATTTTTACTAAAACGACATCTTATCGACGTACAAACATTATATCACGACTTAAACAAAAAGGTGTCGCCGTGTAATTTAATTACAACGTCATACTGTCGTCTAAATATCCTTTTACGTCGGTTTTGTTTCAAACTGTTTTGGTTATTTTGTTTTTTTTTTTTTTTTTTTTTTTTTTTTTATTAAAGAAAACCTCAACAAATTTTCAGGGAAAAAACAGATGTATATTATAGACAAAATTTGTACATTATATATTATAGACAAAATTTGTACATTATATAAAAATATAAAGTGTTCTAAAAATCCTCTAGTCCACATGAAGGCAAACAAACTCTGCCCATTCATTCCTGACTTCATCAATGGCTGCTTGGGGGTATGGCGCTTGCTCTTTTCCCTTGGCAAACTGCAATCCATAAACAATGATTATTAAGCTTTATAAATAAAAAGAAATTCAATCACAAACGACGCTATTTTCATAACCGACGTAGTATATCGATTCAACGACGGTAATTTTAAAGGACCGTCGTTGATAATGCAAAAAACCACATAAAATGTATCTTAAAATTTTCTTCTTACCGTCTTCTCAAACTCCAGGGAAGGATCCATGATGATGTCTCTCATGAAGCGCATGACATAATACCCGCATTCGATACTGCTGGGTTGCTTTGGTGTGCCTGGCAGAGTTTTCCAAATGGGTGCTTTACGGCCTTGTCTGCCTATGTGGGAATTATAAATTTTTATAGCACTGTTCACCATGTTTTTGGCCTCCTCATTAACCACACGATTTCCAGGCAGAGGATCCAGAAAATAGATGGTTTCCTTCTTTGCTCTCACAATCAGCAAGACCCAATGACGGCTGCACAAAATTAATATAAAACAAATATATATAAAAAAGTCAGCACAAGAAAACAAACGACGGTTATTTATAAAAACGACGTATTATATAGTTTCACACGACGAAATAACGTAGCAATCGACGTCATTATAAATGTATCACGACGGTAATTAACTAACGACGTGGTTAGTTGTTTCAAACGACTCAATAAATAAAGAACTGACATGGTTAGATGTTTCAAACGGCACAAAATTAGTTAAACAGTTTTATACGCAGTGCATCATACAAACAAAATCCTTTAAGGAGACTAACCTTGGATTGTAAGGCATCATGAAAATCTGTTCACCATCTGTCTTCTGAAGTCGACTGGCTACAATTCGTGATCTGTCAATTAGTGACCAAGCGTTGGCATTAACTTGAGCAGGGTCGATAAAGCCAACCATGTTGAGCATATTTGCTACTTTCAAATGATCATATAAGCACCTAAATATATAAACAAAGATATATAAAAAGTCAGCACAAAAAACACACGACGGTTATTTATAAAAAACGACGTATTATACAATTTCACACGACGAAATGAAATAGAAATCGACGTTATACTTAATTTATAACGACAGTACATAACTAACGACGTGGTTAGTAGTTTCAAACGACTCAATAAATAAACCACCGACGTCTTATGCTGTATTATTTTAAAAATAAAGGACAAACCTCATATATACTACAAGCACAGTAGCCCCAATTTCTTCCACGCTTGCTAACTGTGTAATATCTTCAGGCAAGACGAAGGTACTGCGATCTGCACCAAACACCTTCTCCCCAATTGTAAAGATCATGATCTTCTCCTGAGGCTTTAGTGTGGTTTCCACATAACGACAAAGGGATTGTAAGGAAGATGGCACCTCCACCTTTGAATAATCAACTACTTCAATACCCTGTTTAAAGAAATAAAGCAAAATAAAATGACGTGGTAATTCAATAAACACGACGGTTTAAAGAAAACAACGTCGTCTGATAATAATTTAAATGACGGTAACAAAACACCGTCGTGTTGAATAATTTATTACGTCATAGGAAACAAATTACGACGTCTAATTTGAAAACAAACAACGGTTTAAAGAAACTATTGACGTCTGAAATTTGAAAAACAAATAAAAAAGGCAAAGTTATGAGAATATACCTTTTCATCATGCTTTTCTTCATCTTCTTTTTTTTCTTTCTTCTCTTCATCTTCTTTTTCTTCTTTATTTTCTTCATCTTTTTTTTCTTCTTTATTCTCTTCAACTTTTTTTTCTTCTTTCTTCTCTTCATCTTGATTTTCTAAATCCCCAGATTTCTGTTTTAAGTAAAAAAGAAATATATATATATATAAGACAGATTGTACAGAAAGTAAAAAAATTAAATCAAAACGTCGTGGTAAGGCATAACTTAAGACGGTATGTAAAAATTATGGACGTCTTAAAATTATTAAACGATGGTAAATAATAAACGTCGTGGGGATTCATATATTAAGTCGGTAAGGACTAAAACCGTCGTCTAAATCACCACAAAAGTTTTCAAAAATAACGACGTCTAATGGCGTGTAAAACAAGTAAACTAAATACGACGTTGTATTGAAATACAAACGACGGTTTATTAATAAAATTGTCGTGGTATGTATTTCAAATGACGGTTTGCTTCATAATAACGACGTCTAATAGCTCTTTTAAAAAACAGAGAATTCAACGTTCAGATATGTTACCATTTCTTCCTGCTTTTCCCCATTTTTGGCAGTATCATCCTCAAAATGTAGGGATCTCATATCCCCAGAGCAGCTTGCTTTGTCAGACATTGGATTTTTGGGACTTTGCTCTAGACCTTGGTTTTGACAAGGGCTAGTTTTCGGTTTAAGCATGCTTGGATCAAAATTGGGGATGAGTTGGGAAAGCTGACTCAGTAAATGTTCCCTCTTAGCCTCTACCAATTGCTTGGTTCTAGCCTCCATCCTTAAAGTCTCTTCCCTTGATCTAGCTTCCATCTTCTTAGTCTCTTCTTGAAGGACAATTCTTACACTTTCCTTCAATTGATCGGCAAACTTTACCCTCTGTTGTCTAGGTAAATTGAAGTATTTCCTAGGGGAAATCCCAACACCTACCCCTCTTACTCTCCCCGGATGCTCGGGACCCAAAGCCAAGGTCAACACATCATTACTGCCAGATACACTGAGACTGCCTTCAGCCACTTGTTTTTGCAATTCATCCTAAAACAAAGACATATAAAAAAGTCAGCACAAGAAAACACACGACGGTTATTTATAAACAAATGACGTATTATATAATTTCAAACAACGCAATAACATAGAAATCGACGTTATAATATATTTATAACGACGTGGTTAGTTGTTTCAAACGACGCAATAAATAAACCACCGACGTCTTATGCTATAATTACAAAAAACAGAGTAGCGATTCCAAATTCAAACCTGTAACGACGTTTTTAAAACATCTCGACGTAGTAATATATTCAAACGACGCAATAAATAAAACACCGACGTCTTATGCTATAATTACAAAGACAGAGTAGCGATTCCAAATTCAGACTTGTAACGACGTTTTTTAAAACATATCGACGCAGTAATATCATTCACACGACGGTAAATATAACATAAGACGTAATAAGAATTATCAGGGCAATACAGAATTTAATAAAAATTTAAAACAGAGTGAGTAGGCTTACAATTAATTTTGCTTTCTCTGCCACCTTTGGATCAGGGATGTTACCATCTTTGTCTTGTCTAGCTTTCTTCCATAAGGTAGATCGATCAATTTCTACCCTAGGCATTGTTTCCTCCAATTGATCCTCCAAACCAGCATATCCTTTTCGAGACAATCGATGATTGTACTCAAGTTTCTCCCTAATCTTTGAATGTTGAGAATGAACAGACACAAATTCTTGGGATAACCTTGAAGCCACAAAGGCATCCCATTCTGCTTTCTCTATGAATTTATATAATTCAGGGGGTTGGCTTAATTTCTCCCTCTCCTTGATGTATGGAAGGATATAATGCTTGGTTAGTGTAGACTTGAAATCCTTCCATTTCTTGGCAGCAGAAGAGAACACCAGGTTCTTGGCCCCTTGACCTACCACAAAAGCCATGTCAACGGCTTCCCAAATCTACTCCTTTATATCCTTGGGGATTTCAGCCCATTTCTTGTCCACAAGTGGGACTCTGGATCATGCCAACACACCAATGTAAGACTGCATCTCAGTATGTGCAGGGCCACATCCTTTTCCCCTTTTATTGTACTCAACAACTGGCTTGATTTTCTGAAATTTTCTCTTCACAACACGAGGCATTGTGCTTATACCTCGACCTGACTTTGAATCCTCAGAAATTGTTGTCATGCTGGTTGGTTCTGTCTCAGCAGATGAAACAAACTTCATCTTCTTCAAGGACTTGTATAGACGACGGTATCTTATTATTTTTTCCAAGCTCCTGACCTCCATTTTTTTTTCCGTAAAACACGACGTTTAAGATTTTTTTTCGTGAAACCATGGTTACAGACAAATCAAACCTGCAAGTGAAAATATTTTAGGAAGGAATTAAGAACACAAACGACGGTTATTCATAAAACACGACGTATGATAAGATTTTACACGACGCAATAAATGTTTAAAACGATGGTACTTAAACAACGACGAAACAATATAAAAGAAGACGTAATAAGAAGTTATTACGGCGATATTTACACTCCGTCGTTATATTTAAATTCAAACGACGTTAATATTAATATAACGTCGTGGTATTAAAATTAACACGACGTGAATAATAAGATACCGTCGTCTATATAAGATTCCAAACCCTTCTTTCTTTGTCTATGAATGTTTGATTGCAGGTTTGATTTCTCTGAACCATGGTTTTTGTTTTTCCTAATTTGATAAAATACAAAGACAAAGAAAGAAGGTTTTGGAATCTTATATAGACGACGGTATCTTAGTACAACGTCGTGGTATTAACATTCACACAACGTGAATAATAAGATACCGTCGTCTATATAAGATCCCAAACCCTACTTTCTTTTTCTTTGTATTTTATCAAATTAGGAAGAACAAAAACCATGGTTCAGAGAAATCAAACCTGCAATCAAACAAGAAAATAAAAAAACGACGGTCATTTTAAAAACAACTTAGACCAATTTTCAGACGACGCTAGGGCGACTGATGAACCGTCGTGGTCTACATATTTAACCACGTAAATAAGAAGCTATCGTCGTCTTATTTAGTTGAAGTAGTTGTGTTCAAAGTTGGAAACTTTCCCTCTTTGTCTGTATATTTTATCAAACTTGGAAAGAATTAAAATGATTTTGGCCAGAAAAAAGGTAAAAAGATTTTCAAAACAAAAACCGTATGAGCATGCAAAACAGCAACAAAAATAGTGAGAAATGAAAGCTTACCTTTTGCGTGCAATGAAAGCTTCCTCTCGGAGTTTGGTGTTTAAGTTCAGAGAAGACAACGAAGACGAGAGAAGACGATGAGATACACTGACAGTTCTCTGACAAGGAAAAAAGACGAAAAGTTTTCTCTCGGAGATTGAAATTTTTTATCGAGTTTGGAAACAGTGCATGTGTAAGTCAGGTAGACAAAAAGTTGAATATATACACAAACCGTTTCAAAAAATAAGACGGCGGTTTACAGAGAACGACGACGTATAAATAAAAAACTACGACGATAATTTGAACTTAGGACGTGGTAAATAAATACGACAGTAGTGTTGTAGGTACCGTTGTAGTAAACTCAAAATAAAAGTCGATAAATTAATATATTGCGTCATGGTACAAGGATTTAACACGTCGGTTTTTTAATATACCGACGTGGATTTTTATAATATACGACGTATATTAAATAATAACCGACGTTGATTTTAAAATTAAACGGCGGTTTGTGTGTAATGACCGCCGTGGGTTTTAAAAATTTATTGTATAAATTTGTCGCTTTCTTTCAGTTTCAGTTTTCATTTAGGGTTCCAAGTTCTTCCTCTCTCACAGACACTCTCTCTCACCTCTCAAAGAAAATAATTTGGATGTCTTCCTCAAAGAGAAATGGAGCTTACTCTCCAACAAATCTATGTCCACAAGAAGAAGCTTGTCATCTAGACTTCTCACTTCCGTGATCAGGCCTGATAGGAGACTTAGTGCTTCTGAATACTCCTTGCTTTCCATCAAAAGAGATGCAAGCCTGGCCTCCACTCGCTGTCGAGGAAAGTTCGCTTCTCAGCACGGGTCCACTGCGCCATTTCTCTGCTCGATTTTCTTGGCTAAGAAGATCCGTTAGATTTGTGATAGCCTGTTCCTTTATCCGTAGAGCTTCAGAAGAAGAAGATGGGTTTTCAAGAATGCGATAAAGAATAGAAATGGCTTCAGATGGCTTCTAAAGCGTGAGCAATCGAATTTGTAAAGACATTGTCAATGCTTTGAACTATCAAAGTCCTGCAAAAAGAGAACATGCCAAATTTGAAACAACGATGGTTTTTTGTTCTAGCGTTGTCTTTTTTGGTCGTCTTTTTTGTCGTCGAAGTATATTAAAGTAAGATGGCGGTAGGTTTATAATTACCGACGTAGATTATTTTGTTAACGTCGTTAAGTGTAATATAACCGACATGGATTTTATATTTCAATTATAAATAGAGTTTTTTTTCCCGAGTTCTTTCAGTTTTAGTTTTCAATTACAGTGCGTTATAAATAGAGTTTTTTTCCCGAGGAAATTTAAAATGACGGAAATTAATGTTGTAGAATTTGTAAAGTTTCTTGTTTGGGTGACTGATTTAAATTAAATACAAATATAAAAACAACGACGGTTTTTTGTTCTACCGTCGTCTTTTTTGTTGTAAGATGGCGGTAGGTTTATAATTTCCGACGTCTTTAATTTCTACGTTAGTTACTTAATTGATTCTATCGTTGGTTTTTTGCTTTGAGACTAAGACGACGCAATATATTTGTTTCGCGACGTGGATTCTTTTTGTTAAATGTCGTTAGGTGTAATATAACTGACGTGGATTTGATTTTTTAATTATAAATAGAGTTTTTTTTTCCGAGTTCTTTTAGTTTTAGTTTTCAATTACAGTGCGTTATAAATAGAGTTTTTTTTTCCCGAGGAAATTTAAATGACGGAAATTAATGATCTAGAATTTGTAAAGTTTCTTGTTTGGTTGACTGATTTAAATCAAATACGAATATAAAAACAACGACGGTTTTTTGTTCTACCGTCGTCTTTTTTGTCGTAAGATGGCGACAGGTTTATAATTTCCGACGTCTTTAATTTCTACGTCAGTTAATTGATTCTGTCGTTGGTTTTTTGCTCTGAGACTAAGACGACGCTATATATTTGTTTCGCGACGTGGATTCGTTTTGTTAAACGTCGTTATGTGTAATATAACTGCCGTGGATTTGATTTTTTAATTATAAATAGATTTTTTTTCACGAGTTCTTTCAGTTTTAGTTTTCAATTAGGGTTTCAACTTTTTCTTGGCCTTTTCTCTGTCTCACCTCACCTCTTAGGACGCAATTGTTTGGATGTTGGTGTGTGTGTATGTTTGTGTATCTGATTCACAAACATACACACACCAATTTTCAAAAAATTGTCTATCTGATTGCAAATCTGTGACTGCCGTCGTGAAATTTTAGGAGGCAATTGTTTGGATGTTGATGTGTGTGTGCGTTTGTGTAGATACACAAACGCACACACATCATCAACTTCCAAAAAATTGTCTCTCTGATTGCAAATATGAGGCTGCCGTCGTCAAATTTCAGAGGCAATTTTTTGGATGTTAATGTGTATGTGCGTTTGTGTATCTCAAAGACACAAATACACATACATCATTAACCTCTAAAATATTGTCTTTCTGGTAAGATTATGATGAGGAACAGAGTTCCATCTGGTAAGATTTCATAACCCTTGGGATCTCAGAAAAATCTGATTATGTTGGCGGTTTTCTATATAAACCGTCGTGGTTATTTCAATTTTTGTCATTAAGTTGATCTACCGACGTAGGATAACAAAATCCAAGAAATAAATTGCTAAAAAAATTCTTATTAAGACGACGGTTTAAGTATAAGGTATGACGTATAAAGTGAATAAATACGATGTTAAATTTTATAATACGTCGTTAAATGAAAAACCCCAACGTGGTGAAAGTTAAAGATACCGTCGTAGAACTATACGAGAAAGACGTCGATATATTTATCTTTGCCGTAGTTGTACATTAATTTAATACGGCGGTATTTTGTATTATACCGCCGTGGATTTATTTGTAATTATACGGCGCCTTATACAAAAACTTCGTCGTGTTAATTTCTGAGTAAAAACGGCGGCTTTTTTTTGAAATCGTCGTCTATACTTTCTACGTCGGTCTATTCGTAACTTCTGCCGTTCTTTGTTGGCTTAGATTTTAGTCTGCAGAAATCCCATTTCAATAAGACGTCGGTTTTTTAATTAGGTGCGTCGTCTTTCAGGAACAACCATTGGAATCTCCATTTTTTAGGTGTCTAAGGTGTTATTACACGGCGGTTTTATAAAACCGTTGTCTTTTAAAAAACAACGACGGTTTTCCCTTAGACCGTTGTTTTTTTCTGGTCGTCTTTGTCACTTTTTGTAGTAGTGAAAGGATACAGAATCTATAAGGGTTCAGGAGGTTATAGGCTCTCTAAAATCTCATGAACAACGACTGCAAAGGCATAATGAGAGAGTGATTGAGAAGGCATTCTCTAGCCTGAATGTGAGTTCTAAAGACCAATCAAACACAGGGTAAGCAGGTAGTTCCAAGTCTAAAAAGAATTGGAAATCTCAAAAAGGGAAGAAGTGGGACTCAAAGTCTAACAATAATTCCAAGAAGGAAAATCAGACTGAAGAAGCAAAGGTTCCCTACAAAACCTGTGACAAGTTGCACTATGGTGTCTGTTGGTTCAAAGGTAAACCAAAATGTTACAAATGGGAGAGGTTTGGTCATATAGCCAAAGAATGTAGAGGAAAATCTGATCAAACTGCTAACTATGCATCACACAAAGAGGAAGAAGGTATCATGTTCTATGCTTGTCATGCTGCTTCAATAGTAAAGAATAATGGTGTGTGGTATGTGGACAATGCATGTAGCAATCATGTGACCTCACATGCATCTCTCCTAGTCAATATTGATGCTAAGGTTACTACAAAAGTGAAAATGGGCACAGGAGACTTAGTGAAAGCAACTGGTAAGGCACTTTGGTGATTGACACTAAAGCTGGGCCTAGATATATCAAAGAGGTTATGCTTGAACCAGGATTGGATGAAAATTTACTTAATGTAGGTCAAATGGTAGAGCATGGGTACTATCTGGTTTTTGGCAATTTTATGGTAGAGATATTTGATGACAGCTCCATGGAAAATCTGGTGGCAAAAGTTTCCATGACAGGAAACAGATGTTTTCCACTCTCACTAAAATATGCAAACTCTGTGGCTATGAAAGCAATAGTTGAAGAATCCACTTGGTGTTGGTACAAGAGGTTTAGTCATTTGAATATGCAGAGTTTGAAGTTGTTACAACAACAGGAGCTGGTCTATGGATTGCCTGAAATTGGCAATGCATACAGAATTTTCCAAGACTGTGAAATTGGAAAAATCACACAAGGAGGCCTTTGGTAAAGAGAATACTTTGAGAGCTAGTGTACCTCTAGAATTGGTTCATTCAGATGTCTATGGACCAATGTAGACTACAACAATAGGTGGAAACAAATACTTCTTGACTTTCATTGATGACTGCACTAGAATGTGATGGGTGTACTTCATGTAGTTTAAGTCAAAAGTGTTTAACATTTTCAAGAAATTTAAGGCTATGGTGGAATTACGAAGTGGCTACAAAATCAAGAAACTGAAAAGTGACAGAGGTGGAGAATATACTTCCACTGAATTTATTTAGTTTTGTGAAGAAATTGGCTTGGAAGGCCAACTAATTGTGGCCTACTCACCTCAGCAAAACGGAGTTGCTGAGAGAAAGAACATGACCATTGTAGAGATGAGCAAGACAATGATGAAAAAGAACAAACTACCATACAAATTCTGGGGAGAGGCAGTGAATACAGCTATCTATATTCAGAATAGATGCCCCACAAAAGCTTTAGACAATATCACTCCTTTTGAAGCTTTTAGTGGAAGAAAGCCTGGAGTTAAACACTTGAGAGTGTTTGGCTCTATCTATTTCTGTCATGTGCCCAGTAAATTGAGGTCTAAGTTGGAGGATGCAGCTGTAAAATGCATTTTTGTTGGCTATGGAAAATGTGAAAAGGGGTACAGAGTGTACAATTTGTAGATCAACAAGATCACTACATCCAAAAGTGTGACCTTTGATGAGAATTCATTATGGGATTGGGACAAGCAAACTGCTGATTCTATCTCAATTCCAATGAGGTTTGAAGACACTTCTAGAAGCTCTGAAGAGGAATCTGATGAAACAATGATTGACAGCACCTCTAGACCAATTGAGGTGCTTACATATGGTGCTAATGTTGATTCACCAGGTGACTCACCAAGTTCTACACCTGTGAAGCTTAGAGACATCACTGAAATCTATGCTAGATGCAATATGAGCATCATTGAGCCAGAGAATTTTGCAGAAGCTTCAGAGGATAAGGCTTGGCAAAAGGCAATGGAGATAGAAATGGAGATGATTGAGAAGAATGAGATTTGGGAACTAGTTGATAGACCAAGTGATAAACCTGTGATCAGTGTTAAATGGGTTTATAAAACCAAATTGAACCTTGATGGCTCAATACAAAAGCATAAAGCTAGGCTGGTGGTCAAAGGCTATGCACAAAAGCCTGAAATTGACTTCAATGAGACTTTTGCTCCTGTGGCCAGACTTGACCCAATTAGGACTCTCATAGCTTTCGCAACTCAAAAGGGGTGGAAACTATAACAGTTAGATGTCAAGTCTGCATTCCTAAATGATGTGCTTAAGGAGGAAGTTTATGTAGATCAACCTGATAGATTTGTGATCACACACTATGAGGATAAGGTGTACAAGTTGAAGAAAGCCTTGTATGGCTTAAAACAGGCTGCAAGGGCCTAGTATGAGGATATTAATGCCTATCTCATTAGCTATGGTTATGTCAGAAACACAAGTGAGGCTACATTGTACTGCAAGACTAAGGAAGACTCTGGAACTCTAATTGTCTCAATCTATGTTGATGACATTGTGTATACAGGAAGCAGTGGAGAATTAATTATAGAATTCAAGTCTGAAATGATGAGAAGGTATGAAATGACTGACTTAGGTCTGTTATATCACTTTCTTGGTATGGCAGTGATTCAAACTGAAACTTGCATTTTCATAAACCAAAAGAAATATGCACTGGTATTATTGAGCAAGTTTGGTTTGAAACAATGTAAGCCAGTTAGTACTCCTCTCGTGACAAGTGAGAAACTGTGCAAGGATGATGGAAGTGAACCTACAGATGAGAATGAATACAGACATATTGTGGGTAGCTTATTGTATCTAACAGCTACAAGACCTGACATAATGTTTGCAGCTAGCCTATTAGCTCGGTTCATGCATTTTCCAACAAAGAAACACTATGGAACAGCTAAGAGGGTGCTGAGGTATATTCATGGCACCATTGATTTTGGTATTGAATATCAGAAGGGAAAAGAGGCTATCCTAATTGGATATTGTGACAGTGATTAGAGTGGAAGCCAAGATGACATGAGAAGCACTTATGGCTATGCTTTCTCTTTTGGCAGTGGAGTATTTTCTTGGGCATCAGTCAAACAACACAGTGTAGCTCTCTCCATAGCTAAAGCTGAATATGTCAGCAAAAGTGAAGCTACTACACAGGCTATATGGCTGAGGTTTGTGCTAGAAGACTTTGGAGAATTGCAAACTGATGCAACCCCATTAATGGTGGATAATACCTCTGCCATTGCAATAACAAGAAATCCAGTTTTCCATCAGAAAACCAAGCACGTCAACTGCAGGTATCATTTCATCCGAGATGCTTTGCAAGATGAGGTAGTGTACTTGAGGTACTACAAGTCTGAAGAACAAGTGGCTGACATTTTTACTAAAGCTCTGTCTAAAGATCGGTTCAACTATCTGAGAGGATTGCTTGGTGTTAAACCAGTTAACAATTTAGAAGGGAGTGTTGAAGTATAAATTGTTTCCAGGTTTAAATTGTTAGTTAGCCAGGTGTATGGCTCATATGCTATCACATTTTGTTGGACTTATAGGTCCAGATTCATGCCAAGTGTACAGTTCACAGGCTGGTACAACTGTGTATTGGCTGAGTCGTTTTTGTACTGGTTAAAGAATATATATTGATAGTGGAATGAGATCACACCATGAGTGTGTGCATGATTACAATCATTGCCTAATTAACAGACTCTCTCTCTCTCTCTTTCAACGTCTCTCTCTCTTTTCTCTCTGAAACATTCTCTCATCAACTTTCTGTGCAAGTAAACCTGCTACTTTGTAAAACTCCAACAGTTACAGTCAGTTTGGTTTGTGTTAGATCTATTTAAAATTGTTGGGGTACTTCTTTATGGTTTCAATTGTTTCCTATTTAAAGCATTGTATTGTATTTTCTGCATTTGTAGCCTTTTCATCATATCTTCGTCGTCTTCTTCTTTATGTACGTAGTTTTCTTTTTGATTTCATTCAATAAGAATATTGTTTCAGGTTTGTTCTATGGTTCAATAAGATGGCTAAACCCTGTTCTATGTATTTGATCACTGTCTTTCTCAAGGAAAAATTGGTTCTGGAGAGAAGTAGAGGGACACAGTGGGGAGGATGATAAAATTACAAAAATACCCAAAGAAAGGTTCACGGCTGCCTCTTTGCACCAATTTCGATGCCTCTCACCTATGCATTACAGTAATTTAGAATATTGTTTTAAAAAAAAAAAAAAAAAAAAAAAAAAAAAAAAAAAACCCCACTCATTGCTGTTGCATTTATGATAATATTCTTTTTGGTTTACAACTTTTAATCTAGAGCCACTTTTCTTGTTCTTATTTATCAATGAAAAAAAAAAAGGGATTTGTGGTGTTAATTTGGGACTGTCAATGGGCGAGACCCTATGATTCTATGTGCTTTGCTAATGGGACTGTTAATTTGGGACTGTCAACGGGTGTTACAACTTTTAATCTAGCGCTTGAAATGTTGTATGTGCTTTGCTAACCCTTGGTTATACCCTATAGCTACGTTGCAGCGGGACAGGCTTTACCTGACCAGAGATTACCACCAAGGGCTGAGCTGAAGCTAAGGTCTAAGATTTTGAAAATAAAGAATTATAGTGCTAATTTTTAGAAAGCTCACACATCGTCCTAACAAAATTAGTTCTCTCGATCCTAAAGATTTAACTCCATTCACTCCACTTACAAAACATTAACCTACCGACTCCAGCCAACTTTTAGAAAATTTCTGATTCCGTCTTCTTATCACATATGTAATTCAAGATGGGTATTGCAAAAAGAGACAAATTTAAATATGTGAATAGAAAGTGAGCCCTTGGATGAAACCCGGGTTGGGAACATATATACGTAGTTACTAAATATATTTTTTTCTTGGGTTTCTTGATTATCAATACGTATATATGGTTACTGTAATGACCTTTAGTTTAAAATCAATCATTTACAGACCTAGTCAAATGCAATAAATTAGACATGCATTGTACATGGGGTTGTTTGGCACGGCAGACTGTCATGGACTAGATTAAATTCTGGGGCTGTCTCGGATTAAATCGGATTGACCTAAGCTTGATTAAGTACTGACCTATGTTTGGTGCTGCGTCAGACTAAGAAGCTGGATTGTAAAAATAGTGAAGACCTATGTTTGGTGCTATGTCGGACTAAAAAATAATTCTTATAATATTTAAATTTAATTGGGGTTTTTGACCTAAAAGGTAAATAAATGCTACAAAGAAACCCAATTCAAAGATTTATAACAATATCTGGAAAAAAAAAGATTTAAAACAATAATAAAAAGAAAACAAATAATTTTTTTTAATAAAGAATAAAATTATGATATTTATTTTTTGCCTTCTCAAGATTAATCTCAGTTGGTCGAAACATTGTTAAAGGAGCTAAGCTCACTCTATATAATTCTAGGTTTTTTAGGGACCAAGTAAAACAATAATTAAAAATATTATATATATATATATGTATAATTTTTGTATATTTGACTTTTGACTTCGAATTGAAAAATATAATTTCACAAGGTAAAAATTGCTTGCGATAAAGAAAGTATCACATCTTGAATTATTAAACTTGTTTTAATATCAAAAAGATATCAAACATTTGTAAATTACTATAGTTTGATTTTCCAAATGCAATATCTAATAATTATTGTAATATCTAAATTTAATTAAGGATTTTTATCTAAAATAAATAAATACTGCAAAAAAAAAATATGTCCTAACAAAACTATTCACCCGTTTCATGTTTACTCCTGACACTACTACATTTTAGGCTTTGCGCGACGAAGGAATATTCGTCGCGCAAAAATGATTTTAGTCGCACATAATTATGCGCGACAGAAGTTTCGTCGCGCAAAGTTCGTGAAGAAAGGATTTGCGCGACGCATAAATATCATTCGTTGCGCAAAACAGTGCGACGTATTACAACTTCGTTAAAAAAAACATTTCGAGACGACCCTAATGTCCGTCGCACAAATATTTGCGCAACGAAAGGCTTGTCGTCGCAAAAACAATGCGCGACAGAGGTTTCCGTCGCGCGAGATACATGAACTTTGCGCGACGAAATAGTATTCGTTGCGCAATTAGTCTTTGCACGACGAAAAAGTCATCGCGCATACAAATTTCGCGCCACGAGATAATTCGTCGCGCATACACATTTCGCGCAATGAAATTCTTCGTCGCGCATGATTAAAATATATTTGTCAACGGGTTTGTTTACATGATTTTGCGCGACGATTTACGTTTCGTCGCACAAAAGTAATATATATTATTTAAAAAAATTATTATTATTTTAATTTTAATTTTGTAAAAAAATAAATTTGGTTTTTTTTTATAATTAAAATGAAATTACAATAAAAAGATTAATCGCAAAGAAAACATTTATTAAATAAATAAAAGAAATGTATACAAGAGAAATATTGTAAAAGTAATTATAAAAATAAAAAACTAATCAAATAATGTTCCAAAATCTACTTGGTCATCTGCCACATGCGGCTCGGAGGTATGGGCGTCTGCAGGGGCTGTGGTGTGCTGGGGATGCTCGGGGTGGACGGGCTCGGAGGTCGACGAACCAAAATTCGGGATTGGAATGCTGGACCGCGCGAGGGACTGCAGAATCACCGACATCTGACCCTCAAGCTCGGCAACCTGCGATGTCAAAATAGTCACTTGACTGTTTGCTTGCGACGATGACCGCGGTCGAGGTTCCCTCTGTCGGGCATTCCCCATCCCCCTACAATACGTTCCCGGCCTCCTCCCGAGAGTCTGATCCAACGTCTGCGTCAAAATCTGAAATCCAGCATCATGCGAAGGATCCACAGACTCGATCGGAGTCTCGGGAGGAAGTTGGGAGGCGGACTCTTGAAGAACCAACTGGCTCCTCTCCACCATCGTCGTCTGTTTAACATTACATAAAATATAAATTCAAAAATGCATATAAATTGAAAGCGTAACATAAGAATTAAAATTAAATAATACTTACATGAAGGGACTCGGCCAACTCATTCCCAGGTCGAACATAAACGTCACCAAAGACGTCGATCTCTTGGAATTTCGACCCCCCCTTAATTGAACAAGAGAAGGAAAATATTAGTATGAACAAAATAAATTAATAATAATAACGTATTAAAAATTAAATATAAATTATATTATTCTTACCCGACGCCGTGCATCCTTCCTATATGAGAAGGGCCTGGAGCCGGAATGGTGGAGAAGAGTCTTCTTCTTCCTATTGCCCTTATTCACTTGGGCTTTATTCTGTTATACAAAAATAAAACGTAATAGTTGAAATATAAATAAATTAAATAATAATGAGATATAAAAAATAAAATAAACATTAATAAGAAATATGTAATAATTAAACAAATATTATTAAAAAAATACCACATAACCGGGCGCCTGAAAATGAGCGCAGAGCCACGCCCAACTATCCTCCCGCCCCTCAAGCTCCTTTGGGCAACCCTCCTGAAAAGCGACTTGCGGATCATCAAACGCCTGAAAATGGTGGTGCAAGTCGCTCTTCCACTGCTTGTACCTCTCACCGAAGAGTCTGTTGACGTACGCCAAGGTCTCCTCGTTGAGGTCCTCTAAGTGGTAGTTCGTCTGCAATAAATTCATTACATACATTAAGTAATAGAAATATATAAAGTTTGAAAGAAAAATAATTAAAAGATAGGAAACATACCGACAACTGGCCGCGAACTTGCATCTTGATCTCGTCAGGCATGACCTTCCAAGACTTCCATTGCATCGGGCAATGGGTCCGAACGACGTGGCCAATGTCGTGGGCCAAGGAGCTATGCAAGTCCGCTGTCGGTGCAGCCTGATGGCGCTCGTCATATCTGATGCTGATACGACTGTTGGTCACCCGGGTGACCTTCGTCGTCTTCAGCTGCCGACACGGCCCTCGGGTGTTCCTCTTGGCTGCAAAGGGATATGACAATACTGTTAAATAAATAACAAATTGAACCATAAAATTCCCAATTTAAAAAATTTAAAAAACAAAAAAATGAAAGTGGAAGGGTATATATACCTGGAGGTGCCCCCGAGGCACCAGTAAGTCAGTCGATGTGGTGTCGGTGGTGGTAGCAGGCCGGTGTCGCCGCTTAGCGCTAAGAGGCTGCACCACTGAAGAAGATGATGATGCAGCCGCCTGGTATCCCCCAGGACCAGCTAGCACGTGGTCCTGCTCCATCAGTGCTGGAGCAGTGACAGCTGATACCGGCTGAGCCGGGGGCTCCGAACTCGGTGTAGTCGTCACCGCCCTACGACGTCTAATCAAGTCTGACATCTGCACAATTTCATTAATCAAATTTAGCACATACAATGTCATTAAAAAATTGAACTAATTAATTAAAATCATAGTTTGACATAGGGTTTGCGATTTCGGAGTATCCGGGACTCCGATCCACGATCCGTCGAATCCTAAACGATCCTATAAATACATGGTACCACATACGTGAGTTTCAGCTCGATCCAACGGTCCGAACATATCAAACCCGAAAATCGCACAATAGGTTCGATCCATTCGAGACTCAAACGATAACCAAATTCCAATCCGAGCACACCTACGCACTCGTGACAACGAAATGTTTGCACTGGGACCCAATGCCCTATGCCACAGTACCCCACGCGCCACCACACGCGCCAGCAGCGCGTGGGTGCCCAAAGCAATAACAATCACCGGGAAATCCTAAAAATTAAGGGCCAAGGTTCCTACCCTAGGTTCAAAACATGAATTGGAGGCACTTTTGTTCTCGGACCTACCCCGAAAAACGGCCGGAAGTGGCGGCAGGGTCAGCTAAAGCATCAATAGGGTTTCAAATTCACTACCCTATGCACACAATCAATCAAATCCTACCCAACCATCAGCTAAAGCATCAAAAATAGTCCAGAAAGCATACCTCAATTGCCGGATTTGGTGCCCGGAGGAGAGAGAACAACAGCGGCGAAGATTCGGCCTAAACGGAGGAAATCACAGCGGCAGGATGGACGGCGACGGCGGAGAAGCTCCAGGGTTCGACGCTTGTGGCGGCAGGGTCTGAATTGGGGCGGAGTAGGGGCTGAGGTCACGGCGGAGAGAGAGGGAGGTTTTAGGGTTCGAGTTTGAGAAACTGGGGAAGAAGGAGAAGATCGCGATTTTCAGAAAACTTATTCGACTTTGCGCGACGAACAACAAAATGCGCCGCGCAAAATTCATTAAACTTATTCAACTTTCTGTCGCGCAAGGTTCTGAAAATATCACCTTTGCGCGACGTAAAAACATACTTTCGTCGCGCAAAGTTCTGAAAATATCACCTTTGCGTGACGAAACAACTAGTTTCGTCGCGCAAGTTTGTCCAGCCGCCCCAATTTTGGGATTTGATTTTCCACAGGGAAGATAGATGAAATGATTTTGCGCGACGAAGGTACTTGAGTTCGTCACGCAATCTAGATTTTTGCCAAAAAAAATTTCGCTAAGTGTTGGAGCGGAGAAGGGCTAAAATTCTTTCATGGTTTTGCGCGACGAAGGTACTTCAGTTCGTCGCGCAATCTAGATTTTTGCCAAAAAAAATTTCGCTAAGTGTTGGAGCAGCGAAAGGCTAAAATTCTTTCTCACATTGCGCGACGAATGCAAGGTCCATTCGTCGCTAATGTTTGGCGCGACGAATTCAAGGTGATTTCGTCGCGCAAACTCATTCCCTTGTACCATAAACCCTAAAACCTATACCCTAAGCCCTAAACCCGAACTCCTGAACTAGTTTCAATGATCCAACCGGAAATCTTCTTTTTTTATAGTTCAAGATCGTATACGTCAAAAATCATAATGAATGAACATTCAGAGATTGAGCAACGGGACAAAACTTTTCGACGGTTCTAAACAAATTGTCCCGATTCAACGGTGATTTTAACTCCGATGTTGAAAATTTTTACAGCTGCGGTTCTTGACCCTATATGAATACAGAGATGTAATTCGATCTTCAATTTCAGATATTTACAGTACAGGACATCACATAATCTTATGTTATACTGAATGAATGTATAAATAAATTTTTCATTTTTTATGAATATTGTGTTTTGATGGAATACGCATTCTAGGAAACTAGTTTCAGTAATCCAGCCGTCAAATATGTTTGTTTATACTTCGAGATCGTATACGTCGAAAATGAGAAAAAAAAACATTCAGAGATCAAGTAACGGGACAAAACTTTTCGACGGTTATAAACGAAAAGTCATGATTTAACGGTTATTTTGACTCTGATTTTGATGATTTTTTACAGCTACACTGTTTAACCCTATGTGAATACAGTGAACTACTTCGATCGTCAATTTCAAATATATACGTGTGTATATATCAAATATATATATATGTTTGCGCGACGAGGTCTTTTTGTTCGTCGTGCAAAATTTACTTGCGCGACGGAATTATTTGTCGCGCAAAATTTAGAGTATGCGCGACGTGTACATTTCCGTTGCGCAAAATGTGCGCGACAATTATGCCTTCGTCGCGCAAGGTTATTTTCATTCACATATTATTAAGCTGAATTATTCATCATTACATATAATTAATTATATGAAAGTATGATTTATTCTATTTTCTTTTGATTTGAGAATTCAAGGATTGTTGATAATCTTATTTTCTTTGTATTCATTTTTTCGGTTATATGGTTTTCATTTTTTAAAAGTTTTTTGTCAAAATAAATTTGAACTTTATTATTAAAATTACTTGGATATATTTATTTACCAATGGTTTATAACTACATTTATTTTAATAATGTTTCATTTCTGCACATATATAATGTTTGGATATAACAAGTACATATATGAAAACATTTGCATTACACAAAATATGTCCACTAACATAATAAAATTACAAAAAAAATTCATCATTCATCATCTGAACTATAATAACTTTCGTTATCGTCGCTATCATCACTTTCGGTCTCCCAATCCTCTTCCTCCTCCTCCTCCTCCTCCGCCTCCTCTATAACTACATCATCGTCGTTGCTCGGGCCAACTGCAACATCGTATCGCGGAAGATCACCGAGGTCAATTGTAATTGACTGAATCGGTATTTCGATTGAAGACACTCCTTGTATTTGAAATGGCTCTTGTATAACATTAGTATCTCGAAGTGTTTCCGCATCATTTTCCATTGAAGATTCTAAACGTTGGTCAGCCACATTGTCGACGTCGTTGTCAGTTGGGTCTAGTTCTGGTATAGCATACACGTTCCTATGATCCATCTTTTGAACAACGTTCCAACCGCTTCCGGCTTTAGGGTCATCTAGATACACAATTTGTGTTGCCATGTTTGCCAAAATATAAGGGTCGTCATCATACCAAGTTCTGTTCATGTTCACAGATAGTAAGCCATGATCGATTTTAACACTTCCCGGCCTATTTGGGTTGGTGTCAAACCATCGACACTTAAACATGATCACTTGGTATCGATCTTTGTAAAGCAATTGCACGACAGTTGTGAGTTTGCCATAGAAATCAATGTCCGTACTTTCGCCTCCACCTGGGACATGGACACCGCTGTTTTGCGTACACAACTTGTCATCTCGTGCTTCGCCCAAAAATTTGACGCCGTTGACATTACAACCCGAGAACAATTCAGCGCGAATCGGGCCGAACGCCAAGTTATATAACTCATCACTGTAAGTTGGGGAATTCGATGATTTCAACTTATTCACCTAATATTATACAAAACCATTCATATGTTAGTCTGACAAAATTAAAAACTACAATTTATATTTCTCAAATAACAAACACTGATAACTTACAGAATCCAAAAACCATTGTGGAAACAATTCACGTTGTTTCTGGGCAACCAAATGTGATGGATGTTCTCGCTTCATCATCTCTTCATGCTCATATAAGTATCCCATGATCTCATCACAATTGTTCAGTACGAACCAATGCGCTACCTCCATGTCATTTCTAGAAAACGACTCTCCGCGTCCAGGATCTCCAAAGGGTCGTGCGCTTTGGGCAAAAACAGAAAGTTTTTCATTTCTCATACCTCCGTCATGATTGCGCTGAGGACGATTGAAAACCGTCTCCACATCTTTTAAATACATTCCGCAGAAAGTAAGCGACTCATATTGAACCCAAGCCTCTACGATTGATCCTTCGGGCTTCGCCCTGTTGCGTACACTTTTTTTCAGCTCTCCGAGAAGCCTGCCAAAATAAACGATATGATACATACACAAACGATAAGGATTATATACCTTTCTATTGGATACATCCAGCGATAGTTGACAGGACCAGCAAGCAATGCCTCTTCTGGCAAGTGAACCATCACGTGCATCATACTTGTGAAGAAAGCTGGAAATATCATCTCAAACTTGCATAGGACTTGGACAATGTCATGGCGCAACTGAAACATGTCCGTTTTTCGCAAAGTTTTTTGCCGTCAGTTGGGAAAAAAATCTGGACAACAAAATGATTGGCTTCACTACATCTTCCGGCAATAGGTGTCGAATACCAACAGGAAGTAGGCGTTGCATAAACACATGGCAGTCATGGCTCTTAAGTCCAGTAAATTTACCCCCGTCAACATTCACACAACGTGCGATATTAGAAGCATACCCATCGGGAAACTTTACTGACGATACAAACTTTAGAAACTCTTTCTTGTCATTCGGTTTCATAGAAAAGAATGCAAGATCCCTTCTAGCTTTATCATTGTCCCTATTCATCCATAAACCCCTTCGTATGCCCATTCTTTCCAAATCAAGACGAGCTTTGATTGTGTCCTTTGTCTTCCCCTCGATATCTAGAATCGTGCCCACCAATGTGTCGAATACATTTTTCTCAACATGCATCACATCTAGATTGTGCCTCAATTTTAGTTTCGACCAATATGGGAGCTCAAAAAACATAGGCTTGTGCGTCCAGTTCATATGTGTAGAAGGTCTAATACAACTAACTGTTTTCCCGAAGGGAGCAAAATCCAACCGGTTAAGCTGGTCCAATATCTCATCACCGGACCATTCTCTGGGTCTAAGGCGACGCTCTGTGTTCCCATCGAACTCTTTATCTTTTTCCCTCCACTCATGGTCCCATGGTAACCATCTCCGATGACCAAGTGAAAATGGTACTTAGGTGACGAGGGGTAAATTTAATCACACAAACAAGACACAACAACACAACAATCTTCACACACTTTAAACCTTGACTAAATACACAGATGACTAGTCAACTACTAGTCAAGAAACAATCATAGCCAATAGAATACACAGAGCATGCCACAATGTACCTGCAATCCTAGAAGATTACTAGTGGCAACCTAGGCACTCAGAAGGACCCGTCAATCTAGGCATCCCCTGTGCTAGCAACAACTATGGTGAAAGTGTGTGAAATCATCATTATCATGTAAACATCAAACAGCAGATACAGATGACTAGTCAACCACCAAGAACACAAACCCAGAAAAATTACAGATATGCAAAACAGATTTTGTTCACCCAGAAACCCACCATTGGGAAAAACTGGGAGTCATCAACCGACCAGGCATTCCACTAAGTAGAAAAAGATTCTTACAAAGGAAACACAACCAAGCTCAAGAAGCACCTAGGTCTATTTAGGAATATGAGCAATACCTCCTTTGTGCAATCTTCTTCTCCAACTTAGCAAAGCTTGAAGCTCAGTCCTTCATGGCAATGGCAGCTCCTTCTCCAGCTCGTTCATCCCATGGCACTAGCTTGCAAGCTCCAACACAAACCGAAACCAATTTGGATTCAAAGGAGAAAGACCAATTTCTTCAAGAAACCATACTCTTGAAGAAATCAATCTTGAATCTGACCTAGATATAAATGAGAGATGATTTAAGTAGCTAGATGCAGATTCGGGTTTCAAAAGCAGTTTTTCAAAAAGATATCAAATGGAAAAACTCATAGATGAAATATTTGGTTCTCTCTTGAGGAAGAAGAAGAGAAAGATCGTAAGCCAATCTTTCCAAAACTTCCTTCCCAAAAGAGACAACTACCAAATGAGAAATATCGTGGGCTTTACAGACCAACAAATTCCTTAGGTCAGAAAACCCACTTGGCAGCAGAGAGAGAGAAAGAAGAATAGGACAAAACAGTTTGTTATCCAGCTGGAAGCAAGGATGACTAGTCATATGAGAAACGGATGACTAGTCATCATTTTATGAAGACTGTTTTATGTAATGATATGCAATGCTCAATACCTTTGTCAACTTGCTTGAGCCACCATAGAGCAGAGATTAGAGAAGAGCACCAATAAAAGTTTTCCCTAATCTAGACTTGAGCTTGATAAATTACATTACACATCCTATTACAAAGTTGTCAAGGGAAGCCAAAAGAAAATAGTAAAAACCATACATTAACAATCTCCCCCTTTTTGGCTTTCCTTGACAACACACTCTCTAAGAACACTCAACCCAAAACCGAGACTAAGGAGATGATGAAGTGAAGGTACCTGCAAGAACAACCAATCTTCCCAGCACAAAAACAAGCATATTATCACAGAAATTTTAAAACAATATGCAATGTGGGGTTGAGAGTGTTCTCCCCCTTGTTGATAAGGAAAGTGCAAAAAGGCAGAGAGATAGAAACATCAGATAAAAGGGATTAACCCACAAAGTGATAGGCAATAGGAACAAGGTTAACAGCACATGTTCATAGATGGATGACTAGTCAACCAACAATTGTTTGAAAACAGTACAGAACATAGATTTATGACTAGTCAAATACCAGTTGTTCAAAATAGGATAGAACAACTCCCCCTATCACAATGCATAGACTACCCACAATGTGTTTACAAAAATAATCCCCCCTAGCAAAATGCACAGACTACTCACAATGTGATTACAAAACAACTCTCCTTATCAAAATGCACAACCTATCCAGACGTAATCTTCCTATCTAGGACACAGCCAAGAGCAACACCAAGCTAAAAGACCAAAGAGCCACCAGAATCCACAGAGTCATCCGAGTCCTTATCAGTGGCAGGTGCAGGAGTCGAAGTGGATGGAATGAGGCTCAAAAGATGTTGAATATACTCCTCCTTGGCAGCCAGCTGAGCTCTGAGAGAGGCATTCTCAGAGGAAGACGACACAGAAGTAAGAAAGGTTCTGGAAACTTTCTGGCTAAGGGCAGCAGAGGCCTTGCCATAAGGAGCAATGGGGGGATGCCACTGATCGGAATCAAGAAATGCCACCCCATTTTTCTCACAAAGGCGCTGAATCAGACAGGGGAACACAAGAGTCCCCTTGTGCTTGGTACCATGACCAATGGTTTTCCCAAGAATGGCATTATATAGGATATCACCAAGGGGAATTTTATCATGATTCACCATGGATATCATGAGCTGGCAGGCAGCAAGAGTGGGATTAGAATTGTTCCTAGTGGGGAGAACATTATGACAGATAAAATCCCACAAAAATTTATAAAAAGGGGACAGGTAAGACTTGATAGGCAGACCTTTAGAGGTCAAAGGCAAGGATTGATCAGTGTATGCCATGGATTTAAAAAGATCAACAGAGTATTCAGCAGAAGCAAGAGCAAATTTTGCAAAATCAAAACCAGGGCATGATCGAAAACCTAAGACCCGATTGATAACAGATGGTTTCAGAGTAATGGGTACTGACCTAACCAAAATCTGATACTTTGACCCCTTAGGGTCAGCAGGAAAGTTAGAGTAAAACTCTTGAATGACAGGGATGTTAAACTTACCAGAGAGAGAGTTGAGGGCTTGAAGGTGGTAGTGCTCCAAAATCTGATTTGCAGACTCCTGAGCCGCCAAGGGAACAGCATCAAACTGATAAGTCCTCTCATGAATGAATTTTCTCTTTGAGACAACCTCATCAAAGAAGGAGGCAGCCGCAGAAGACACAAAGGGAGAGGAAACTCCAACAGGAACAGAGGAAGAAGAACAGAAAGATCGTAAGCCAATCTTTCCAAAACTTCCTCCCCAAAAGAGACAACTGCCAAATGAGAAATATCGTGGGCTTTACAGACCAACAAATTCCTTAGGTCAGAAAACCCACTTGGCAGCAGAGAGAGAGAAAGAAGAATAGGACAAAACAGTTTGTTATCCAGCTGGAAGCAAGGATGACTAGTCATATGAGAAACGGATGACTAGTCATCATTTTATGAAGACTGTTTTATGTAATGATATGCAATGCTCAATACCTTTGTCAACTTGCTTGAGCCACCATAGAGCAAAGATTAGAGAAGAGCACCAATAAAAGTTTTCCCTAATCTAGACTTGAGCTTGATAAATTACATTACACATCCTATTACAAAGTTGTCAAGGGAAGCCAAAAGAAAATAGTAAAAACCATACATTAACACCAAGGTAACAAACTTTTCCAGCGTGCCAACCAGAAGTTACATCTTCATTGCATACAGGACATGCCATATAACCTTTTGTGCTCCACCCAGAAACCATTGCATATGCTGGGAAATCATTCACAGTCCACATAACTGCTGCCCGCAAAGTGAACATCTTCCCAGTTGATTTATCGTACGTGCGAACACCGTTTGTCATGAAATCTTTCAGCTCATGTATTCTTTTTTTCATGCATTTCCAAGGCGGCAAATTATATGGGAATACGAAAATCGGCCAAGTGCTGTGGTGTTGGTTTAGAACCCCATACGGATTGAATCCGTCATGGCAAGTCCCAATCTAACATTTCGGGGATCAGCAGCAAACTCGGGGAACGTTCGATCGAACTCTTTCCATGCCTCCCCATCTGCAGGATGCCGCATCACATCATCGTCTACCCGTTTTTCCTGATGCCATCTCATGTCTGTGGCAGTATGGGTCGACATATACAATCGCTGCAACCTAGGTTTCAGGGGCAAATAACGCATGACTTTTTGTGGGATCTTAGTCGTCCTATTCTGAGATGTCATCTTGAACCTCGACTCATTGCATATAGGACATGTATCCAACGATTCATGCTCTTTGTAGAATAACATGCAATTGTTTTTGCAAGCATGGATTTTTTCATAACCCAATCCAAGACCATTCAACACCTTCTGCGCCTGTTTATGGTCTTTCGGCAAACAATTGTCCGTCGGAAGCATTCTCTTGAAAACCCCCAAAAAGTAATCGAAACACAGGTTCGACATACGATACTTTATTTTTCCGTGCATTAGCTCCACAATGGCCGTGAGAACGGAAAAGCTCTCGCACCCCGGGTATAACTCTTGGTTGGCATTTTTTTAACAATTTTCTCATATTGTTCAAACTCCGCACTGTCTATTGGTGTAGGCACATCATCTTGCTCTTCTTGATTCATGTTGGTCGATGCAAATGGAAAAACATCCTGTATAATATCCATGACTTGATCATTAGCATCCACAATAGGTTGAACATTGTCCACTCTTGTGGCATTTGAAGACGAAGCATGCTCTAATTGTTCCCCGTGAAGGTTCCAAATGCTATATGTCTCAATCATTCCATTCTTACTAAATGAAATCCAACATTTTCAATTGTCTCCCATAACGTGTTGTTGCACCTCCTACAAGGACAACGGATTCTAGTTGCACCCGGGTTGTGTCTACGTGCAAACTCAATAAAATCCTCGATTCCATCCAAGTATTCGTCTGCGCATCTGTTCGGGTTCTGTATCCACCTTCTGTCCATAATTCCTGAAACCAGAATCACAACACAACAATCACAACAACTTCATACGAAGTTATAATGTCACCTTATGCCTCCGGTAAGGGTCCTATCCCATTCGGGAATGCATACTCCTGCCACGTAACCTACGACTACATGAGATTAGATTTCGACGTGGATGAATTTCGCCAGCATCTCGCTACAGTTCTTGAGGTGGCCATAGGTATAAATACCTACGTACCACCCGAAGAACGTACCGAGATGACAACGAAATATCCACAATCGAAACCTAATCCTGTAGCCATAGATTACGTGACAACACTATGCATTACCAAACTGTCCAAATAATGGGACAATTCAAGAATTAATTGGACCGCAGTCATGCATTACGCATCCATGCACGAAATCCAACTAATCTCGAACGGGAAACTAAGTGTTACTAAACATAAAAATAAAAGCACGAAGTTAATTTCAATTAACTTCGTACATCACAACAGATTGTGCTACGTTACACACATTTACAACATAATATAAATATAACTTCACAAGAAACATTTTAAACATAACAAATTAACATTATATATAAAACGAATAAAATATCTTCTCAATCGTTCTCCACCAATCGAAAACAAAATAAAAAACAAATTAAAAACAAACTTAAATTAATACTTTTAAACTAATTACGAAAAATAATAATACCCAATCAATGTATTGAAATCCCAGCAGCGGCAGAGAGGTTGAGAGAGAGGCAGAGGCAGAATGCTTTGTTTTTGCATTCTGCCTCTGCAATGGCAGAATTCTAATATGAAGAAGAAGGACTTTGCGCGACGAACATATATTTCGTCGCGCAAACTTTCGTCGCAAAAAACCAAAAATCGTCCGTCGCGCAAACCCTTTTTTTCGTCGCGCAATCACCTGCCGACATCTAACTTTTGCGCGACGCTGGTATTTTCTTCCGTCGCGCACCTTTTCTCCCGGCGCATCTTTGCATCTTTGTCGCGCGGGGTTCGCGGGGGGCAAAAAAACAAAACTCAAAACATGACCCCATTCGTCGCGCAAACTGGAACTAAAAAAAAAACGTGGGACTAAAAACTTTTTTTTTACGCCCCGACGATAGACGTACGTCCGCGGAAACAAAAATCCCACCGGTCATTTTGGCGCAAAATAATTTTTTTTTTTTTTTTTTTTTTTTTTTTTTTTTTTTTTTTTTTTTTTTTTTTTTTTTTTTTTTTTTTTTTTTTTTTTTTTTTTTTTTTTTTTTTTTTTTTTTTTTTTTTTTTTTTTTTTTTTTTTTTTTTTTTTTTTTTTTTTTTTTTTTTTTTTTTTTTTTTTTTTTTTTTTTTTTTTTGGGAAAAAAAAAAAAAAAAAATTTTCCCCCCAAAAAAAAAAAAAAAAAAAAAAAAACCCCCCCCCCCGGGGGGGGGGGGGGGGGGGGGGGGGGGGAAAAAAAAAAAAAAAATTTTTTTTTTTCCCCCAAAAAAAAAAAAAAAAAAAAAAAAAAAAAAAAAACCACCAACAAAAAAAAAAAAAAAAATATCCCTCGTTCTCTTAGCGCGACGAAACATCTTCCCGTCGCGCTAAGCGACGAAGAATTTCGTCGCACAAGTTTTTACCGCCAAATAAAGGGACCCACTGGGTTCTGTCCGTTTTTGCGCGACGAATCAGTGTACCGTCGCGCAAGGTTGTCTTCAGCGACGATATTTCTTGTCGCGCAAATGTTTCGCGCCAAAAAAATTTCCCCCACTCTTTTTAACTCTGTTTGCGCGACGACGATTTTTTTGGTCGCGCAAAGACATTTCGTGCGATGAAAAATTTGGTCGCGCAAATTTTCAGTGGATTGCGCGACGAATATTTTCTTTCGTAGCACCAATATGTTTTGCGCGACGAATTATTCTTCGTCGCGCAATCTTTCGTCGCGCAAATGGTGAAACGTAGTAGTGTGAGATGGAAGGGCAAAGTTCCCCACTGCCTTGGAAACCATTGACTGGTCAACAAGTAGCTTTCTTTGGTGTATGAGCGTGCCACTGCTAGCAATAAAGATTCTAGTAGACTTCTTCTAGAATAGATAACTTGCGCCCCAAGTTACTGATTTCTATAACAAGCGATTGTGAATTTGGGTGAGGAATATCTCCCAAGTAAGTTCTTTTCATGCCTCAGACTAGTGAGGACTTTCATAATTTATCTCAGTATAAAAACGGTTGTTCTGGCCAGAATAGTTGATAGAAATTGGACTGTTTTAGGCAAAACTGTCTTTTACAAAACTATAAACATACATATCAACGCTAGAAAGATTAAAAGACAATTGGAACTCCATTTCTGCCTAGATAGAAGGCTCTGTTCTGGGCTGGATTGGATATGTCTGGGCTAGACTGAATTGTCAACAACTTCAACTACTAAACTTCAGCTGTAAATCGATGCCAAAGTTCAATTTTTGGCAGAGCTTTAATCTACTTTAAGCTTTGTGAGGCTTTTGAGTGGGCAGAACTGCGGCTTCTTCAATCTGAAGGAGCAGAAGTGGCTGTTCTTGAGGACTCAGTGTGTTAAGGACTGCACTGTGAAATTTGTTGAGGTTTTCATGTTTGAAAAAAAAAAAAAACTACTCTGTCTTGGCTTTTGCTGAACCAAATTTGTAACGAGATAGATCTCGTTTTAAATGACTTATTTTCTAAGTCTGAGCTTTGGGGATTTTGATCTAAAGCTGGCTTTTCTTGGAGTTTGAGTGAGATTTTTGGTTGATTTCTTGTTGTTTGTTTGATTGATGAATTGAGTGTAAGCCTGATTGTCCTTGCCCTGTTCACTCCCTCTTGTTTTTATAAGAAATGCTTTGGAGTAGGGTTTCTTTCTTTTAAATAATGGGAGGTAATTTCCCAAAAAAGATCTTTCATTTTTCAAATGTAAAGAAATGGGGTTTCATCAATTCTGGAAAATGGGTTCTCAATAGTAAGTTCAGAGGCAATCACTTCCCTGTTTTTCTTGAAAGAGAACATAATCCCTCTTAAATTCCAACTGCCCCTTTGTGAGAACTTTAAACCGTGATGATTAGTTTGATTCCCCATTTGGACAGCTCCCTGTTTCCTGCTTATCTCTTTTTGAGATTGAAGTTTGCTTATCTCTCCTTGGGAGAATCCCCTTCTCTAGAATAGAAGAAATATCTCTGAATATATATATATATGTAAGAAGGATTTGATCTTTTAGCTTTTCAGAGATATCCCTTCCTAGTTTGCCAGCCACTGGCCCTCTCTTATCAATTCTGTGATAGTTGATTTGTTTGACTTTTCAAAGTCTGGGAAAAAGATTTCACGTGGGTTCTTTGAAAGTAGTTCCTTCAAATTGCTGTTGGGCCCCTTTTTGAGAGATGGTAATAAATTGGGCCCAGTCTAATTCTTCTATTTTATCTGCCTAGAACGTAATTGCCTATTTTTCTTTGGCTTTTTTACATTCCTGCCACCTTCTGAAAAAGACGTGGGCTGGGTTCTTTCTTGTTTTGTTAATTTTGAAGCCCAGGTCTTTTATTTCTCTTGTTCTACTGGCCTTTTGAGAAGTGGGCCGGTGCGCGTTTTGCTTTTGGCCCAAACAAAAACTAAAGTTGAAGGACCATGGGAATGATTTTGGAAATTGAGGGAACAAATTGCGAATCATGTCAAAGTTCAAGAACCGTTAAACCTAACAACCCTAAATTTTGACTAATGGGAGCAATAGGCCAGACCAACCTACAAAAATGAAAGGATCCTCAATAGTAACCAGTCATCCATAATATCAAATAAATTATTTTCATCTTCGGGAAATTTACCAAGGGCTATAGTCATAGTGATCCTCCTATTCAACTACTTCAACCATTTTCGAACACCTCATAGCATTTTTACGAACGTTTGAGGCTTCTATCATTTATGTATTATTTGATTTCTCGTACACTGCCCCTTCTTTTGAATGGATTTCGAATAGAAAAATAATTTATTGGTCTGTAACTTGACCTAGTTTAATCCATGAACTCAATTTGATTATCCCTTCCTATTCTTAATAATTGCCCGAACCATGAATTGTTTTATGATCCATCAATCAGATAGATGAATTTTAGTCTCAGATTTGATTTTCATATGCTTTCTTGTAAACCCATCATATTTTGATCTTGGAATAGAGTAGGAATATCTTGTGGTTATGGCGAGAGATTGAAGGAAAATTAAATTGAGTAATGAAGATATGTAGTTTGATGTGAACCATTTCGGTTTTTATTTATAAAACCTAATGGGTGAACCCAGTCTTTTGGTTTGGGATGAAATTTAAATTAGGTGACACTTAAACAACAAAAGTCAAGAACATGGTAGAGAACATCCAAGTAGAGGTTCCAAATTCTGATCCGCCATTAAGATGAATATACTTATTTCTTTTAGTTGTGTTAAGAAGCACATAAAAAATTATGCTAATAATTTCGCACGTAATAACAACTTGAGTTTATAGAAATCAACAATACATGACCAATATTACACCAATATCAATTGAAACTGCTAGAGCCAGACATACCATTTCATGAGTCTTGGCCTTTATTATTTATTACATATATCAATAGTACTCCAAGAGATATTCAATCACCTCTTACAAACAACTCCACGGCCATCCTTCCCACTAGCACAATTCATATACTCAAAGCTCTCTGAAGAGTTGTTCTTAACAAATTCCCCACTAAACCTTGAAACCGCACAATCAGAGGCAAAGATACTAGAGGATCCAAATTCTTTGTCCCCACCCAAAACAGGCATCACCGCACCCATCTTAACCCTACTCACGTAGTTGCTTGCATATGTTTGGCCCAAAACACCATTCACTTCCCCACTTAGGGCATAAAACTTGAAGCGCAAGTCAAGATGAGCAAAGCAATCCTCTTGCGTAACCCCATATTTATGGATCATGGAGTCCTTTTCTGTTATAGGCACCACCACTGCTTTGATCTTGAAGTTCCCTTCAGCTTCGATTTCTATCGAATTTGTGTTTTTCGTCCTTGTGATGCTGAGTGCTCCTGATGATAAGATTGATTGCCAGTTAGCACCTTCGCTGTCCAGGAGGTTTATGGGTTCACCGTCGATGGATAAGGAGAGACGGTCGTTGGAGTCATCCCAAATTGACGTGGTTTTGGCACCGATGAAGAGTTTGTGGTTTCCAAAGAGGATCCCTAGAGACTGCACCCAAGTGAAGTCCCTCTTCATGTTTTGGTTTCTCTTGCCAATGAAGTGGGCGTTGATGTGGAGATTTGAATCAGAAACTATGCAGAAGTCTTGGTCTTTCTTGCCATGGAAGTAGAAGGTTATTCCATCACCACCAATGAATCTGGGGTCTTGACACACAGCCCCTGGCCTGTTGCAGTCTGCAATATTATATTCTCACATATATTAGTGGTGTGTAATTATCAGTTAATTATGTGATCTAAGTTTACTATAAACCCAGATTTATCAAAATCCATTCTAATTATTTCTTCCAGAGTTATGATTTAAATCATTATGACAAAAGAGTAATTTCACAAAAATCATTATAAACTACTTGTGCACACAATAAATAAATAAATTTGTACACAAAATAAATAAATATAAAAGCTTGGCTAGATATGTTTATGAAAAAGAATAAATTTTTTTAAAGGGGTCACATTTTTAGACAACTTTAGCTTATATAGGATGTAGCAATTAACATATTAACTGTAAAGGATGTTCAACTAGTATGGTCGTATAATCGTATTATTGTAGGAAAAAGAAAGGGGTTATTGGAAATCACATTCTAATAAATTACATAAACAATAGGTTTTGTGAACTTACTGCAAACAGGACTGCATGTGACGCAGTCAACTTCACATTGCTCAGGGCAAGCACTAGGACATGTATGCTCTAGGCCATAACAATGAGGGTAGTTCTTGTTCTTGCATTTTCTCTTTTCTCCAGAGGTCTCTGAAGAAGGGGGAGGTGGAGGATATGAGGAAGGTGGTGTAGAAGTAGTGGGTGGTGGAGGTGATGGCGTGGAAGCAGGAGGTGGTGGAGATGAAGGAGTAGAAATAGGGGTGGAAGTGGAGTGGTAGTGGAAGGAGGGGGAGTAGGAACAACTGAAGGTGGAGGTGGTGGTGAGGGGTACGCCTTTGGAGGTGGAGGGGGTGAACGATGATAATACTTTGGAGGCGGAGGAGGGTGCCTACGTCTTGCTGGTGGCGGCGGCGGTGGAGGTGGTGGCGGCGGCGGCGGCGCCTTACAAACAGGTTTGCATTTCTTACAATCCACAACACAAGTGCGGGGGCATGATGCAGGGCAATAGAGGTCTTTGTGGTAACACTTGTAGAACTTTTTGTCTTGGCACTTGACTTTCTTAGGCTTTGGATGAGAAGTTGCTGCCTCTGCCGCAACAAGCATCAAGAGGATGACCAAAAACACACCTATGCGCACCATAGCTTGAGCCATTGGTGCTGATTGTATGTGTGTGTTGGAGCTTTGTGATTATGACTGCTATTGATGCTGGCCTCCCCTTTTATAAGGTCTTGAAAATATCAAACTTTGCATCTTGCTCACACTAAACGCAAAGGTGTTCTTTACTTTCCACTCCACTTGTTCTCTCACACATGGGCACTCAAAAAGTCAGATTTTTGCTAGCCCTAAAATTAATCTAAATATTGGTCGGTATACCTTGGCACATGTGTTAATTCCACCCACACTTATCCTCCTAAAACTTAATATATCAATGCATCTGCCATTTGATAACCCTAGTTAGCAAATTCATGTATTATATGTATGCTTACTTTTATAAAAATAAAAAATAAAAATAAAAATAAAACTTTTGTTTTTAATGCAAATGTATTATTTGCATATTTCATATGTATTTTGCACGTATTATTGAAAAAAAAAAATCAAAATTTAAATTCTTATATAATAGCCGAAATTTTCACCGTGCGTTTTAAAGAAATTTGCCTAATCATTTTTACGTATGTATTATACCCATCCCTTATTTTACTAACTATGTTGATAATTTTAGTTTATAGGAGTAGAGATGTTCCAATTTAAAAAGAGTATTTACAAATCTATTTAATTTATGGTTTCGATGGATTGACCGCCAACAAATTGCAAAGGGTCAATCACGTACACTTGTAATTGAAGGTAGATCCCATATCTAAACGGGTGTGGAATAGGAAATTAATCCCCTTTTAGAGGCAGGCCAATGGCCATGCGTACGTCTTGTAAAGTTTCATCTTTTGGCAATGACCTTACCAACTTGCAAGATTTCTTAGACTCCTTGTACAACTTTAAGAGACATTATATAAATGTTGAGCTACGTTGCAGCTGGTGAGGCTTTACCTGACCAGAGATTACCACCAAGGGCTGAAGCTAAGGTCTAAGATTTTGAAAAATAAAGAATTATAGTGCTAATTTTTAGAAAGCTCACACATCGTCCTAACAAAATTAGCTCACTCCATCCTAAAGATTTAACTCCATCCACTCCACTTAACAAAAATTAGCCTACCGACTCTACTCAACTTTTAGAAAATTATTTCTGGTTCCGCCCTTTTATCACGTATGTAATTCGAGATGTGTATTGCAAAAAGAGAAAAAATTAAATATGTAAATAGAAAGTGAGTACCTTGGATGAAACCTGGGTTGTGTACATATATACGTAGTTACTAAATTTATTTTTTTCTTGGGTTTTCTTGATTATCAATACGTATATATATATGGTTACTGTAATGACCTTTAGTGTATAAATCAATCATTTAAAGACCTAGTCAAATGCAATAAATTAGATATGTACTGTACATGCCTCTTTTACTTGGGCATGCAGTATTTGAGAGAGAGTGGGTTTAGCTTCTTCTAATAGCTATGAATTCTATTTTATTGTTTTTGTTACCTAATAGCTATGAACGTGGACAAACTGAAAGTGAACTCAAACAAAATGTGAGTTGCAAGAGAAAGCAAGGACTTTGAACATTAACTGGGTCTTTGGGGCGGCATAAACGCTTGTTGCAGTAGGCATAATAGATGGACTCAATCGCAAGCCTACGCTAGCCTCAGCCTACGTGGACTCGACTTTACCACTACAAGCCTAAACCCTAGTAAATTTTTTTTTTTTTTAATATAAGCGATAGTCTCTAAACTACAAGAGGTATGAGGATTTCTCACACTACCAAGGTGCCATGTGGATTCAATTCAAACCTTAGACCATTGGTCTGCAAGTCAAGACTCTTTTCCACTGGGTTAGACCATATTGGCAATTCTATTTCTTTTTTATTTATTTATATACGAGCAATATTTTTCTTTTGAAAATAAATTATACTAGTTATTATTGATAAACAAACAAAAGTATGGTGCTGAATATGGGTAAATCTTCTCTAGTGACCAAACACAACAACGTGCTGTTGCTTTGAAGGGAAGGTTTGCCATTGCCTATCCAAAAAAGGGGGAGTAAACATTCTGACTTCAATTTTCACTTACATATTATATTTTTAGTCATACATGCTTTCCATTGGTTATTTTTGGTTGTGCAGAATTCAAGTTACCTCTATTGCAAGGGGTCATGTTTTCTTTCTTTTTTTTTATATATTTTTTTTGTTAGGAATTCTTTTCATTCACTTTTAATTCGTTTAGGGGGACATTGTTATGACCAACTTTTGTAATTGGAGTTTTTGTATAAGAAATGCCAAAGGGGGAGATTGTTAGGACCATTTTTGTATATTGGCAATTTCCTGTTACAAAAATATAGAGTAGGTTTTTTAGTGTAACATATAGTTTTTAAGTGATATTTTGCAATCCTGGATCAATGTGGCTCAGAGACAATGCCAAGGTAGGTTTTGCATCCATGCATTCATATTTGCACATTCGGAAGTTCATCAAAAGTGGTTGTCATATGTATAGGGCTTATATATGGTTTCAGTCCTACATAATCTAGTGCCAGACATTAATGAGTTTTGAACGATTGTTTAATTCGATTTAGTTGGTGTTTATTTATGCACGACTTTGTGCCGATAAAAGGTTATTTTGTCTTTTCAGCTAGGTATTTAGTTAAGTGGCTTTATTTGTTTTAAAGAAAGACTATTTGTGCAAAAGCCCATTTTTGCTTAAGGTCTTTTTTTCTTTGACCTAGTCTTGAGCATGAAAAATAAGAAAGTAACTTCAGCCACTTTGTTCTCTGCGACTTTGAAAAGAAAATCACGAGAGAATATATATATATTTTTTTTTCAGAGAACTTTTGACCGTTCATATTGAAAACTCAAATGGTTATTCCTTGTTGGCCTCCATGAGTGATCAAATCATCATCTTTTCATATATTTGTGAGTCCATGAGCATTATGCATGTTGGTGATCAATAATTGTGCCGTGAGGTGTGAGCAGCCGAGACCAGGGTTGTGTCATCTCTTGTTAAAAAGTATTTTATCATTTGATATAATAATTATGAATAAAAAAAATACGAGTGTAACCTAAAAACCCCAAAATTGATTGTGTTATCAAACCATCAAAGCACCACCATATCCCCAACCATCTAATCTCCAGGCTCATGGGCATCTCATCATGCATAATGGAATTGGAGATGGGCTAGCTCAGTTTTCATTCCTACTACGCCACCAGGTTGCTAATATGCCTATATTATTTAGGCTTAAGTGCTACAGTGCCCTTTGAAACATTGGTCAATTCTCACTTTACCCTCTGAAAGTTAAAGTGACCCACTTTGCCCCATTGACCAAGGTTTGATGTTCCACATTGCCTCTTCCGTTAACTCTATCTAAAAGTCTGTTAAGTTTGATGACGTGGTAGGGGTATTTTAGCAATTTTGTGCACCTAGGTTTTTAATTACTTTAAAAAAATAAAAATAAAAACATAAAATTGAAAATAAAATATATTTTAGAAAGGGAAAAAAACAAAAAACAAAAACCAACCACCATCCCCCCCCCCCCCCCCCCCCACACCAACCCAAAGCTCCCCCCAACCTGCAACCCACCCTTTTCCCTGTGCAGAACTTGGAAAGCCATCACCCCCCCACCCGCAAACCCATCCCTCCCTGCGCATAACCCAAAACCTATTCCTCCACCACCCCCCCAACCTGCAACACACCCCCTCCCTGCGTAGAACCCAAAAACCCATCGTCCCCCCTCCCCTGGTAAACCACTCTCCCTGGGCAAAACCCAAAAACCCACCCCTCGGCAAAAATCAAAATAACAACCCAAAAATCAAAACAACCCATCCATCCAAAAATCGAAACAACAACCCTCCTTCTGTTTTTTCTACCCCACTGCCACAGAACCCCAACCCCCCATACCCATTAATCAGCTTTCAAGTTTTCATGCCTCCCATCCCCAAAACAACGAAGAGAGAGAGAGAGAGAGAGAGAGAGTTGGGCTGCCAATTATCTCCATATAGAATAATAGAGTTATTTTGGAAACAACATTTTTGTTATTCCCAGAAAAATAGCAAGGAGCCCCTCTTTGGTACATTCATGTATATCTTGAAATGTGTTTGCTACAGTTGTTCTTAGTACATGCATTTGTATTTCTTAATGCGGTGACTTTTGATAGGATAATCTCTTCGCTGTTGATATTCTCTCAGCTTGCAATCTTGTAAACTATTTTGGGAAAATGGTTCATGGAGGTCTGGTGTTGGTCAGATCACTGTGTATCAGGAAGGTTAGTTTAAGATATGAGAGAGAGAGAGAGAGAGAGAGAGAGAGAGAGAGAGAGATCAATTTTTTAAAGTTTTAAATTTTATGTTTATATTTTAATTTTTTAAAGTAATTACTTTTTTATTAATTTTTTTATCAATGATGAAGGTAGGCTCCACTTTGTCACATTACCCACTCAAATTTATGAATAAAAAACTTAGGTGCACAAAATTACTATAACACCCCTGCCACGTCATCAAATTTAATAGATTTTTGGATAGAATTGACGGTAGGGGGCACTGTGGAACATCAAACCTTGGTCAAATGGGCAAAGTGGGTCACTTTAACTTCCAGGAAGTAAAGTGATAATTGACCAATATTTCAAAGTGCATTGTAGCAATTAAGCCTATTATTTATTGGGTCAGGTATGGATGGGATGCCGATAACAATACCATCTACGACATGTCTCCGACTAGAAATTTTTAAAATTCAAGGATCCTGTACCCGCCCTTGATTTTTCCCCAAAATATTCCCTCATTTGGGTCGGGGATGTGGTAAGAACTCCGCACGGGGAATTTATGTCATCACCCATGAATGTGTGAAACCCCCCTCCCCAAAAAACAAAAAGAAAAACAAAATGATAGTAACGTGGTGAAATGGCATCATTGTCATTTCATCACACTTCAGGGGCAAAATAATCCAAACCGCTTCCCTTTCCCAGATGCCCGTAGAGGCCAGTGACAAAGAAAACTTACCAGAACGCACAGAGCTCTCTCTGAAACTAAAAATGGCGTTCGCTTATCGGAAAGAGGTTTACTTCGTGGCTTAAATCACTCCATGTATGACCAGGTATCACAATCTCTCGGCCTCAGCTTCCTTTTCGTATTTTCATATTCATCTTACTCTCAACTTTTATGAATTTTTTATTTCCATTTTTGACAAAAACAAACACTTTCTTGCTTTTTAGGTTTTTTCTTTTCTTTTTTATTTTTGGCAACATGATTTGTTGTTGTTTGAAATATTTTTCTTCTACTTTGTATAAAAAATCTTCTTGTAATGGAACAATAGGCTTCAGGAACATGCTTCCTAATTTTGTTTGTTTTTAGAAATTTTAGGAAACAATATTTCACGTATTTTTGACACAATTTGAATGCAATATCATAACTAATTTTCATCGAAATGTAAATTTAGTTGGAGATTTCGTTGGATTTTAGAACATATGTAGGCATACATGAATAATTCATTCACAAAAACATTGTACATAGGTGTGTATATTACTATATTTGCAAGTTTAGAAGTATGGGTTAGGAAAGAGGATGTTTCGTATGTGGCGGTGAACTATTGGTGTACTATAGTTGGGGAAAGTTGTGAAGGAAGCAATTGGACCAGACTATGCTGTGATAGCAGTCACTTGATACTATGTAAGTGCTCAAATCTTTTCTCTTAAATTGACATTTTACTTGTACCTTTGGCTTCCCAAAATGAGATTTGTATTCATAATAACATCTTCTCATACTTGGATATGGGTTCATGACTTTCCTTTATTGCCTTTTGCAGCAATGAGCAGGATGTTGATTCCCAGAGGCTCGCCGTTTTCGGCTGGTAAAATGTAAACAAGAACAAGCAGGTAATTATGACCTTCATCTGTTAATGAATTCAATTAATTTTTCTTTTGATGGTCATGCGAGGAACCCTATATCATGACTGTATTGTCTGTATTTGATGAGTATCAGAGATAGTATTTATGAGTTTGCTCTTATAATTGTCCCTCATTTCTAAATTTTAAATTGTGTTTCCTCTTAAAGATATTCAAATAACATGCATACAATTTATAAATGGTTATTTTGTTGTTTTCTATGACTGTTAACTGAATGAGTCATTATGCTGAATTACGGATCTCAATTAGATTGCAGATTTGGGATTTTTGTTTTAGGTAAGAAATTATATCATTCAACAAAACGACAGTTTATATTAGAATTATGTGGTTAATTTGCAAGATTTAGCAGAACCCTCACAATCCAATAGACTTTTTATCTAAATTGGCCATGTCGTTGAAACTTGTACTCATCCATCCCCCAACAAATAATTTTTTTTTTCTTTCCATATTTCTCTTGTGATCTTGACCTTGTATTGATTTTCATTCATTTGTACTATTCATTTTAACTTGATAATTCTGGTAATAATTAGTTCCTTTTTAGATGAGTGACAATGTATCCTGACTAAAAAATACTAGTCATATGCTAGCGTTTGGGGCCAAGCTATAGACTAATGTTATTTCAAAGAAAACAAATACTTCAGCAAATATGCTTTTTTTGTCCCATTTTCTTACTTTTATATGCATGCCAAAATTTCCTTAGGTGTGTGTGTGCGCTTGCTTTTCTTTTATTTTTTATCCTCTATTTGTGCCCACTTTAATTCTATATTTGTTCTGTTTTTATTCATGTTTGATCTTTCAGTTGCTTGTAGGGCCCTCTATGGGCTACTAATGAAATTTCCCAACTGAGAAGAAAATTTGACTCTGGCATAGGTACCACATGATATTAGTCTTAGATTTGATATTTAGGAGCATGCCTGAAGCCCTTTTTTCCTGTAACATGTAGCTCATTTTTCCAGGGTTATAGCCTTCGGTAAAAAAAAAATATTGAGCGGAAAGTTTATGAAAATTAATTTCAGTCTAACATTCAAGTTTTGCGAAAGTATTTGGTAGTTCATTGGATATTATTTCATAGATATCATCAAACATGTGGATGCTAGCACCTGTAATAGGTTGAAAGAAGAATTTCACGGCTAAAACTTATCTGATTCAAGGACCATGACTGCATAATTGATTGATTTATAGTGCTGTAAAAGCAGTTTTAGGTAATTTAATGTTTTCTATTTTATGGCTTCATGCATGTATTCCATATGTATTCTGTCTCAAGATGATTGCATAGTTTCACTTCCATGAAGTTTGTTTTATATTATCCCTTGGATTGATGCAAGACAACCCTTATAGTTGAATGCTGGGGTTTTCCTACACTAAACATTGGTCCCTAGAACTGCAGTTTGTAAGATTTATGGATGGGCATTAAGCTAAAAAGTCAGTAAAGCAATATAGAAGTTAAATCATGAGAACAACAAAAGAGTTGTAAGAGAAAAGGATAGGAAAAAACTTAAAATTTTTTACTAGAACACCGTAATCTTGTTTATGAATTAGTGAAATGTCACCGTTGAAAAAGATGTCCAAGTTGCAGAGAAATACTGGTTATAGAATTTAAGTAATCTTTTAAAACATTTGCTTATATATTCCTAAATTCCTATTCAAATATGGAAATAGTTTATGGTAGCTACTTTATTAAACTGAGACAAGAATGACTTTGACAAAATTTATGATGGAACATCTAGTAGTTTGAAGCTATAGCCTAAAGGCTTGGGTGCATTATGATTGATGTTTTTCTTTTGGAAACCTTAGTTTGTTTTGTTTCTGACACAGCTATTTTCCTTCATGAGGTTCCTTTGATACTATTTATGACAGTAGACTAACATTTTGGTTTAGGGTAACAGAACTTTCAACTTCAGTATTTTGAAGCTTGTTGCATTTCTCATTTCAATCACTAGTTGAATCGAGCTAGAGGCTTCTGCCCACATTCTTTCTTTTATTACATCACTATTTAGTGTTTTACGTGCAATGTGATTTTAGGTCATCAGATCATAATTTTGATCCGACACTTTAAGTCCTATGACTTGGTGCAGGCACTTCATATAGCTCAATGCATTTATTTGCAAAGGCATGATAGCATATATTCATTATGGTGATGAGCTGGGGATGGTGCATATAAGTAGATTATTAAATGATGAAACTTTCCTAATTGATAGCAACTCTGAAGAAGCAAGTTATTGCTAACCTAGAATGACTGAAAAGTAACATACTGGTAAGTTAACAAGAAAGATAATGCAGGAATATCTTGGAATTGAAATTTATGAGGGATGGTGAGAGGAATCTGATTTCTTTATTGGGTTGAGACATTTCCGTTTCATTTCTAGTAATGAGAATGATGTAATAATATAATATTCATGTGTGCAAGGCAATGGTTGTCATTATTTATTTCTATCTGAATTTGTCTGCTTAAGGTTCATGTTCCTTGTGGTTGCAAGGGATTCCAGAATATTGTTACTTTTCACAATGTTTTGCATTCTGAAGAACATATATAAACTATACCGTTTGTGACAGAATTATCTTGATTTGGATCCTGAATAGATCATGGAGCAAAGGGACACTGTCTGCACGAAGAAATTGAGTTTAGTGGCTGTGATTATGATGTCAACACCGTACTTATAAAGCAATTAGATTTTGTAGATTAAGGGCAAAAATTATGTACTTATAAAGCCAGACTCATCATTGTCTTAGTTCCTTCCATCTCCCATATTGACGTGAAACTTGGATCTTATCTTTTCAACCCACAATCAAATGCTAGTGTAGAAATCTAGTCCAACCTGATGCGTTGTTAGAAATGCGCACGAGTTGCTGAACTTAAGAAGTGTGCAGTCCATTATTGTTCAACACCTATAATTAAACTTGACATTATACCAAGTATTGGTTAATGAGGCGTTAGTGAATATAATTAATGCTGCAGCATATATAGAATAGTACAAAGATAGCATATCCAGCTCAACATCTCCTATTATATTTCCAAATAAGAAATTTGTCGTGTGATTCTCACTGTTCTGCCATGTGGCATGGAGATTGAAGGAACACAGCTGCTACCATTCAAAACATACTGACAGGGGTCTACTTGAGATCGTATAAGGATTGTTATCAGTTACCAAAGATTTGCAATTACCATATTTGAACAGAATTATTGATTAACAAATGGAATTTCTTTTCAATACTTTTTATTTATTTATATATTTCCCTGAAGTTGTCCATAATGAACTTTTAATAAGCCTATTGCAGTAATTGCATACTTGATGCAATGGAACAGATCTGGGTTAGGCACCTGAGTTTCTTTTTCTGTTTCGGATTTTCCTAGTTAGGGCACTGATGAATCCATTTTGTTAATTGATTACTTTGTTTCTATCTGGAAAAGGGAATTGATATCTACCATAGAGCATTTTAGAGTTTACATGTTTATGAGTTTTCTGATAATGAAAAACTAAACTTAATGATACTGGCTGTTGCTTTAGAAAATTTAATATTTTAGTGTTGGTTAGATTTTATTTTTAAAGTGTTGCATCTTCATTGACTATATAAAATATCATATATAATCTTTTCTTAATCACACAATTGATTATATATGAAATGTGATATTGCTATAGATAATTCAGAAACAAACAAGGAAAGTATTTGTTTTGGCATTTGCCTGTGACAGTGGCATAAATGTTAATTCATTCATTATATGTGTGAAATCCATAAGACACCATGCTAAACTCACTCCAGTCTGGTGCACTTTGTTTTTATCTGGAACTCATTCCTGTAAACCACCCACTGAAGCATGACCCTTCTCTCCATCGGTTAAAAACTCTCTCTCTCTTTCTCTCTCTCTCTCTCACTCTCTCTCTCTCTCTTCCTCCCCTCCTCTTCAGTCAATTAGGTTTTGTTACTGTTTCATATTTGAAATGGCTTTACCAATTCTGAAAGGACTTCTCAGAGGCTATGTGCAGTCACTCTTTAATGAGGTGACAGATTCCTGATCAAGTGTTTTCTCATTTTGTTCCACGATATCTTGCTTGCCAAGAGTCCTTTTAGTTCTACTTTGCTTCCTGCATTGTGGTATTTATTGTGTTGTAAATGAATTTTGGTGTTTCTGGATGATAAAGGAATGCCATTGTTGTTGCCTATCTTCTTAGCTTGTGCAAGTTATTTTGGGAAGTCTTTCCACATATAAATGTTCCATAGATATTCTGGTTGGGGGGTTTAAATAGATACATTGAATGTCACAGTGTGCTTAATTCAAGTTAATTTGTATTTGTATGAGATGCAGCAGATTTACTAGGTTCAGTAATGTTTGGAGAGTGCTTATTTGCTTTTCTAATGTGGGTTAATCTCATTTCCTGCAGGGTATCGTGAATAATCAGTTTTCACAGATTCAGACCTTGAAGAGTGATGAAGATCCTGATTGTGCTTTGCGGCTGATCAATATATACTTGCTTGATGTTGAAAGAATGTTATCAGAATTGACAAGCCTCAGGTACCCCTGTATCCCCAACAGAATTAAATGAAGTTTAAGTTATGGTAGCTAGTTTCATGGCTTCAGTGAATCATCTCTCATTCTTGGTACTGTATTTGCAGTGATTTACCTGATGTTGATTTTTCCAAATTGGCTACACTGGCTCGCAGTATAGAGGAGAAAAGCTCATTGTAATGTCATTTGGTCATTTTGGATTACCATTGAAATTGTCTTAACTACTTGATAAACATTTGAATGAGTTTGCAGGTTTGATCTTAGACACACACACACACACACACACACACTCTGATGAGTTTGCTCTTCTGCATGTCTGATCTTTTACACACACATGACTTATGCATCTGCACATAAATATGTTCTCTGAAAAATGAAATTGTACAGAAACAAATATATGAACTAATAAATATCTTTTTGCAATTTCATTATTTTAGCTTCCTTTTTATCATTTCAATAGCATCATTACCATATAAATCCTAAAATTGCTAGGGTACATGGTTCCATCTAACACTATCTAGATTTTCTATCACATCTGCATAGTGAATTACCTAATGCGGAAGTTGAGTATTTAGTGTTTTCGTTGCTGTTCTGGATGCAACATGACATGATTATGACCAAGGGATATTTCTCTTAAATGTCTGTTCTTCAGATATAATTGTCACCACCAGGCAGAATGTTTTGCATGGTTACTTTTATATGCTTTTATTTATCTCTTTAATGAACGTGTCATAAAATTAAGGATATATTGCAGAGGATCTGCACATCACCTGACGAACTGGTAATAATTTCAACTCCTTGATAACTTTGAAGTGCCCCTCATATCCAAAAATTTGGAAACCCCTTTAACTATGCACACTACATATGCATCAGTGTCATGGAGACGATGTGCTGTCCAATTTATGTTGGAAATCTCCATGTTCCGACACCAGAAATTTTAGTGATACCGATAATCATGAATACTTAATGGGCAATAACTCTCTCTCTCTCTCTCTCTCTCTCTCTCTCTCTCTCTCTCTCTCTCTCTCTCTCTAACGTGCACGCTGATAGACATGCATGCACCTACGTAGTATGGGTACAGACATAGGACGGGTTATGACAAGATAACAGCACAATGACAACAAATCTAAAAAATTTAGGACATGGACATATTTGTAAATAAATTTTTCACTTAGAAAGTCATCTAATCTGGGAAGTAGTATATTATTTTATGCAGACACATGTTTAACGTGCGTCATCCAAGTGTCGTGCCCAACACATGCCAGATACAAACATGGTTATCATTTAGAAGTTTTCGTGCTCCATAAATGCTCTGAGTTCCAAGCGCATGTTCAGATCAAGATCTAGGGTATATGCAAATATGTACCATAGATCATTTTGATTTCATAATGTAGTTGACCTTTTGAGAGATGAATACTGCAATTCTTAATGTTTATTTTTTCTTTTTAAGTAATTATGGTCATTGCACGAAATTTATGAATACTTAGTTTGGACGTCATTTATTGAGTTATTATGAACGTGTTATTTAAAGTATCAGCTGTTCAACTCATATTCTGGTAATTAGTGTTGTAATAAAATGATATCTTTTTGTGGTGAATGAATGGTAGCGCAGACTGCAGTTTGAATTTTTATTTTCAGTTCTGGAAGTTTGAAGGTTAATCTTTCCAATCCAATAAATTGAATCTTTTCTTTATAATCTCTTATTGCAGAGTTGGTGCGGAACATGTGAGAAGTGCGTGTGCTGATCTCATTCAGGCTTGCGAACGGATGCACAAGCAAAAGTTAGCATTCTCTCGTTCATCCATTTGTAATGTGAAATCTACATACTACTATTATTGCATATATATACAGAGAGCTTCAGTTGAGGGATCTTATTTGAGGGACACCCTCAACTGAAGCTCTCTGTATATCAGTCCCCTTCAAGATATACATGGTGCTTCAAGATATATATATATATATATATACACACGAAACATTCAATTGAACCCTGATGTCTGATGATCACATGGTTTAAAGGCTCCATTTGGGTGGAGTAAATTGAAAGAAAGGATTTGGATTTGACAACAAGACTCTCTTTGCAACAAAAACTAGAAAACATTAGAATGGAATGTATTTGAAATAACTAGATGTGGTGCAAATGGATTTGAAATAACTATATGCTAGGGATCATTTGAAATTTATTTCTTTGCTTTCTTTTCTTATTCAAATTTTGGCATACATGGATTGTAATAGTCTAAATAATTTTTTTTTAATCTTATAATGTTATCTAAATCCCTAGACTTGGAATCACTCCATCCAAATGGGCCATGAGCTCTAAGATTTTTCTTCTTTCCTGTTCATGAGATAAATGTCAGCTGCCAGTTTATTAGCTGCTTGGATTAGTATCTTCTTCACAATGTCCTGTAGATTCCCTCAGATTAATTCTGGGCAAGTTTGTCAACATGGATGATACTTTATATTGAATTTTTTGTTCCTAGGTATTCATTCTCTTGCATGTTTAATACTAATGTAGATTATTTTTTCTACAAGTCAATCTAAGCATTCCACATTTCACATAATTTTCGAATTTTATCTAATATCAATCCTTTCCAGCTGTCAATTCTTTTGTGCAATATTCAAGTCAAAACTCAATTGTCATCTTCAAAATTTTGGCACACATCTCATATTGTGGACATTTTCATGTTAGGTGCAACTGATATTGGCAGAGACATGTCCTCGTTTGTGTATTAACTTTCCTTTTATTGTCTACCTTTATTCTGGACATTGAAGGAACTACTGGCTTTTATCTATATGATGAAAATAGAAGGTTCCTTTATCACTTCTGAATAAAAAAATTATTGTTGTGGTAGTTTCTTTTGTCTATGCTAAGCCTGTTTACTATATACATAAGCAAGATTTTGACCCCTCTTTTGATGTTGAAATAAATGTTTTGTTTCAGTTTCCTCCGAGCCCTAGGTTGGATAAAGAATGAATTCGCTCATACCCGAAACAAGCTGGACTCCTTTGTTCAGGTACTCCACAACGTTGATTTTGCCATCTCCCCATTGACTATATCTTTACTAGGCAAGAACTTTGCATATTCTTTGTGCTCTTGTTCTTGAGAATAAATGATTTTCTTCTTTGACTGTATTGATTGTCCTTTTGAGAGGAAAAGTGTGAAGCTTTGATTTGTGAAACTGAAGGTTTGCAATAGGTGCATTAGTTGTTTTGTTTTACAGGTGGTGAATCCACATAAGCGCCCTTTATTTTGTCTATGATATAGTTTTAACGAGCTCTATTTCAAAGAAGAAAAGAAAAAAGAGGAAATTTCCTCCCTAGAACACCTGGTAAGAGAACAAATGTCAATCAAGGATTGAGTTGCAGGTTCTGCCTCTCCAATTCAAGCCTGTAAAATATTCCTCTTTCCTGAAGAACCATCAGCATGGTTCTGGAATGATTTCCATTATTCATTTTTAATTATTGGTACTTTTCATGATTAGTCTAAAAATTTGTTTATATCATTTAAGATATGGATTTTATCTAGTTTCAAGGTCCGCACAAATTTCTAATCAAGTTTATACAAAATTGTGCAATGTTCTTAGGTTTAGTAGTATAGTCCCCCCCTTGAAAACAATTGCTCCCTCTTTCCTCCCTTCGGCCAGTTTTCTCCCTCCGCCACTGATCTGTAGTATAACTTAAGGGCTTCATCTCTGGTTAAATTTTTTAGTGATTCTTTGATTCCCTGGGTTAAAGACTTTTTGATTCAGTTTTGCTAATGGCCTCGTTTTGTTTCTGGATTAATTGGTTATATACCATACTGAGGTATAGTTTATGAGCAATGGACGTTCAACAAATCCTTTGCTAGATTTAAGTCAAAATGGTTCTGTCATGAATTGTTTCTCTTTTCGATATTCACATGGATAAGTAATTTCTTTCTTATTTTTCTGAGTGCTTGCTTCTCTCAAACACAATGGTACAGATGGAGCGGAGGATTTTCAGAGTCGAAGGCAGAGAAGTGAAGTAGAGAGAGCTTGTGTGCAGTCAAATCTCCTCCAAGAGTGTGAGCTTCATAAGGATGTTTGCTTTCTTAGAATAAAAGTACTAAACGAAACTCTGCTGCTGTCTTTGTACTTGTTGCATCTTTTCACTTGGAATGCTTTTCTATAATAAAAGGGAGTATTGTTGCTCACCACATTAACCAAAGATGCATGCTCACCACCATCCTTAAATGGCTCACTTTGACAATCCATCTCTATTAGTCAGATTAGTTTCTGTCTTTATTACTCTTACTCTTTAGAGAGAGAGAGAGAGAGAGAGAGAGAAGCCAAAAAGGGAAGTGCAGTGTAGTACTCTTCTGTTTATAAAATACAGAAGTCTTGCCCTTATTTTATTGTTTTTTGCATCGATAACAAATTTCTCTCTTGGAAACATCTCAAACATCAAGAAAATGTCTGATTCTTTACTGGTCTCTACTGTTTGTTTGTTCAGATATGGATGCTAAACACAGTTTTGATGCTTTCGTTCTCAATAAATCATCCTCGAATTAAACTACCGGACAGATTCTCAAAACTTGAAAATGCATAATTCTATTTGTCATTTTTATTTTCCGAAGCAGTTCTTCAAAAACGATTCTGTTAAATGTTATAAAACGAGCCCTATTCTTCCCCCAAATCGTGTTGAGTGGTTTGAGAATGGGGTTATGTCAGCTGAACAAATAAATAGGGGCATGTTACGTTCAATTTTTTCAATTGATTAAAAATTGAAATCGTTAATGTGCCTTAATAAAAATTGAAGGACCTATCTGAAAACCATTTCGTTTTCAATTTGTTTCACTTTTTTTTTAACTATAAACATATTCATTTTTTTTTGTTTTAAAAAAAATTAAAATTAGGTTTCAAAATCACTCTTATTTATGAAAACAACGTTAAAGTGTTTTTAGTTTTTTCCCCCTTTCTCATTTACCAATTTATATCACCACATAAACATATACATTGCATTCCAGTTACCAAAACTTGGTATTTGGGACCTCTTGACTTGGACTTGACCTCTCAACTCTTGCATTCGACTGAAGATCCAATTTGAGCCTCGAGATCTCTAGATCCAAAATCAACCTAACTCCAAAATATTCACTGAAAAATACTACACAGTCTTTGTAGCATGCACTTTCATTTTATGACTTCAAATTCACAATTTGACTCAAAAAAGATTTCATTTTCAAGTTTTACATAAAACTGAAAACAGTTACCAAATAACTTTTAAATTGTTTTTCGTCTTTTATTTTGAAAAAAAAATTAAAATTGATTACCAAACAAGTTTTATGTTCTCAATTCTTTCTTTTTAAATGAAAACTAAAAACTAGAAACTAATAACTGAAGTAGTTAATAATGGTAAATGATTTTTCCACTCCTTTTTTATTCACCTACACTCTTTTTTGTTTGGAAAAATGGAGTGTAAGTAGATAAAAAGGGAGTGGGAAAATCAGTCCCCAATAATAATAGGGACCAAAGTTTTGACGAAGTTTGGGGTGGATGGTGTGGTGTGTGCAATTTTTTTGCCTTCAAATTATCCTAGGGTTGTCTATATGGACGGACCAAAAATTACAGGGTAAAACCGTCAATTCAACGTTACAAAGACACACACAGCAGCACGTACATTCACGGCGTCGGAGGCCTTATCCTCTTCAGTTCTTCTGCCCCATTGTTTTTCTTCCTTCCTAGCGTTATACTAAAATGGCAACTTTACACTTACACAGCGTCCTACCCAATCCGACGTCGTTCAAATCCACCAAGGCCACTACTTCAACTCGGCGCAGGCTCCTAGCGAACTCAGTCAGGTGCGCCGAGGCAACTCAGGTCACCGGCGAGACCCAGCGAGTCACAGTGAGGAACGGGAACGATTCCCTGGACATATGCCGAGTCCTGAACGGAATGTGGCAGACGAGCGGTGGTTGGGGCAGAATCGACCGAGACGACGCCGTCGAGGCCATGCTCCGCTACGCTGATGCTGGCCTCTCCACCTTCGACATGGCCGACCACTGTAAGTCATCTAATGTCAATCAAGCCCCCAAATTGTCTACATTTTTACGCCCAGGACTTATGTGCATACGTGGGTGTTTTTGATTGGGTTGTCTTGAAATATATCTGACAGGTTGGTAAAGTAGCGCTGCATTAGTCATCCACGTGTGGTTTAACAGTATTGCCCTTAGATGATGTGTGTATTTACAACAAAGGGGGTTATGCTTGTGTGCAAAAATGAAATCAATGGAGGAGAGCTACTACATATGAAAGCTGATAAGATAATACTTGGTTGTATAAAATTTATGTAGAAGAAGAAAAACTGTGTTTGTTTTGTCTATATAGTTAGTCTTTCCCACTTGGTAATTGGAATGGCAGAGTTGTTGCACCATAATTCTTTAAGAAAATTCACCTTTAGTTCCATCAAGAAAACAAGGACCAAAGGAATTCAAAAACTCGGTTGGAGGCCGGTTCAGGGTGTTTTAACCGAAGACAACAAACGGGCTGTGGTTAAGAATGGCAAGGATTCATTAGACATATCCCGGGTTGTGAATGGGATGTGGCAGACGAGCGGTGGCTGGGGTCGAATTGATAGAGACAATGCAGTTGATGCCATGCTTAAATATGCTGATGCTGGACTCACCACTTTTGATATGGCAGATATATGTATAGCACTCAATTATCAATATCTTATAGTGTGTGTGCACTGCTTGCATATCCATCTTGATTTAAGTTGTCATCTTCCCATTTCTGTCTGTCACATTTGGACTTATATTACACTTTTGCTGAGATAATTTTATGATGGTGACATGAATGGTAGTGAGGTTCTCCCTTCATTCAGAGTTATTGAAACTATTTCTTGTGAGTTTGGACCTCAATTGCGCAGTTACAGAGCATTTTTCTACTTGTTTGATGGTGGTAAACAAGTTTATCATTTTTTTTGTAGTCCTTTCGTTCTGAATCCATCCCTGGCAGTTAATACCTCCTTAAAGAAAAAAAAAAGAAACAATTGTGAGTTTATATCCTGGAGTTTATAGTTTGGCTTTCTGCAATTTTGTAGACGGACCGGCTGAAGATCTATATGGCATCTTTATCAATCGAGTTCGTCAGGAGCGTCCGCCAGAGTTCTTGGAGAAGATCAGAGGGTGAGTTGCTTCCACTTAATAGGTTGTAAATTACTGGCCGGCTATTGTTAGGAGTCTTCAGCTATTGCATAGAGCAATCAGTTTCGCATCTTTGCTTGCATGCATTAGGGACTGATTAACGTTTCACTCACTATGTTATACCCGAGTGAGCGTGTAGAATTGGAGAGTTTTACAATTTGTTTTCCCTGCTATGTTGTGTGCTGCAGTCTTACAAAATGGGTGCCACCACCTGTTAAGATGACAAGTAGTTACGTAAGGGACAGTATAAATGTTTCACGGAAGAGAATGGATGTGTCTTCCTTGGACATGCTTCAGTTTCATTGGTATGAATTCTTTTTCTCAATGCATGATGTTGTCGCAAACCTTTTGTCAAGTAGATTTTCCATTTGTTGTTAAAGTATCAATATGTGTTGATATTCAAATTTGAACCTGTATAGGGTCATGCTCCAATTGGAACCAAAGTTTTAAACTTGAGCAAGTTTTGATTATTCCAAATTAGTTGTGTTTTTCCCAAATTGACTCAAATCAGCTTACTTTATTTGTTTCTGAATGGAAAGAAATGTTGCACCATTTCCATTTGTCAGGTATATCCCTCATTGCAATGGCAGTGAGTTTTCATTATCATACTAGTTATGCTTGACGTACGTGAAGAAGGAACATTTTTTCCAATATCAGATTTGTTAGTTGTGCACTAACCAGATATTGAAATATCTTGCTGGAACCATATCTTTGATTTTTTGCATTTAATCGTTGGCAAACCTTATCTACTAAGTCTCACTTTAAAAAAAATAATAATATTATATCAATTAACCCAGTTTAACTTCAATAGTTTCCTGAGACCTGAAGTGCAATGGCCACTGCAGTAGCTTTCAATTTTATGTAAATTGTCATTTGCTTAACAAGGAAACTCCATTTGAATTGACCATCACATCGTGCACATTGTTTGACTAGTTGCTCCACTAATTCATTCCCAGATTTATCTCACCTGCTACCATCTAATGCATTGCCTATGCTTTCAACTACACTCTTTACCACTGTAGTTTATATTCAATGTCATGCATTTCTACATTGAATTACACTTACTTGAATACACCTAAAACTCAAATATTTTTAAGTGAATGGCTTGTGAGGCTAAATTTCTCTTTCTACTTGAGATAGGTGGGATTATGCAAATACCGGTTACCTTGACGCACTAAAACACCTTACAGATTTGAAAGAAGAAGGTAAGTGTATGACCCTAGTAATTTAAAATGAAAATCTTGGCCACATTTCAAGGTTTGATTGCATTACTTCAGCTACTGGTTTGCAGGTAAAATTAAGACCGTTGCCTTGACAAACTTCGACACAGAGAGACTACAGATAATCCTGGAAAATGAGATTCCTGTTGTCAGCAATCAGGTATATGCTTCATACACTGTATTTATTTGAATTTTTTCATATAGATATGATTTGCATCTCCTTATGCTTTATTATCACGTCGGTATTACAATGTAATCAGGTCCAACATTCAATTGTTGATATGCGTCCTCAACAGAAAATGGCAGAGCTTTGTCAGCTTACAGGAGTCAAACTCATAACGTCTCTCTCTCTCTCTCTCTCTATATATATATATATATATATATATATATATCATACAGGTGCACACACTCACACACACAAATGCACAATGCACAGGACGATTATAAATGGTCAATCATCCACCAATCAACATGCTCTTGACATCAGCTCTTATCTTAGCTGGGAACATTTCTATCATAATCATCTCCTTAACCCTGGTGCTAAGGAATTGTACTTATCCCAAAACAAATAGTGATCCTTTAAAGGAATAATCAATTTTGTTGTTTGTACGTTTAATAGCTGCTGTAGACTTTCAAGCATTCTCTTGTATTCCTTTTGATCATAAAGCTTTCTTTTGCAGGTATGGGACAGTGATGGGTGGCCTATTATCTGAAAAGTTCCTTGATACCAACTTAAACATTCCCTTTGCTGGGCCTCCACTAAATACTCCCTCCCTCCAGAAGTACAAACGGGTACATCGTCTTGAACTATTTGATTGCGCTGACAAATTAATTAGTTAAGTGGTCGTTAAGATGTACCCCAAGTCGCTCCAAGTCAGTTTTAGATACAAAATCCAGCAAAAAAATTGGGTGGATGTTGCTTTCACACTTTGCATGATTTGAAGGAACAATTAGAATGATGCTAGTTGGGAGATGGAATGCATGGCATAACGCAGAGTTGTAACTACCAGGACTCATTTTTGAAAGCATATAAGTTACAATACTTATCTGTTTCGAATCCATCTTACTAGATTTGTAATGTGTGGCAGATGGTCGATGCCTGGGGAGGATGGAGTCTCTTTCAAGCTCTGCTTCAGACACTCAAAGGAATTGCTTCAAAACATGGAGCCACAATCCCCAATGTTGCCGTGAAATACATATTAGATCAGGTAGAGCAAGTTCAACAATTATGTCGGAAATTATAGGATTTTTAAACCTCAGAAACTTATTTACAAAGTCATAATATGCGTATTTTGGTTTTGTTCATCTTGTAAAAATTGCAGCAAGCTGTGGCAGGATCAATGATAGGTGTTAGACTTGGGTTGTCAGAACACATCCAAGACTCCAATGCTGTGTTTTCACTTGCTCTTGATGAGGATGATATAAGCAGTATACAAGAAGTCACAAAGAAAGGGAAGAATCTTCTTAAGGTGATTGGTGACTGCGGAGATGAATACAGGCGTGCATGAAGTTCTCACTCCAATGATCTTGTCATACTTTTCTATACAGCACCGGGACCAAAACAAACTTTTTTCTTTAGTTAAGAGTACTGGTGCATTTATATACAATTGTCATGGAACATGAATATGTAACTATGTAAAACAAACGGTTTGTGAACTATTTTGGGTATCCAAGGCATCTAGTTTCAGAAAGATATTTTCCAATCACTTTAAGCTTAAATCGCATATAAGAAAACTTTGCCACAACATTTTCATGCACATTCAATTGCATTACACATACTAACGAACTGGAGGTACAAATCACCCCTATTTTAGGCTTTAGATTATAAGAGAAACATTCAACCATACAAGAAAAATATTCAAGAAACAACGGAAACTTTTCTATGGCTAAATCTAATGTTTTGTCACTCCCTTGGATGCCTTTCAAAAAGATTCACCTGCCAGAAAGAATGAAATTGAAATCACAATTCTACATGCTGAAAATTTTCATTTTAGTCTTGCATACGATTGTGACTATGCATGCCAATGCCATGTCCACTGCCAAATTAACTGACCACAGTTTATTACCGATGTTAAGACTCGAAAACTTACAACATTTAGGAGTCTTGTCATTGCAACAAACAAGAATTTATTAAAACAAAAATGCAAAAACAAGCAGAAAAACATACATGACTATAGGGCATTTGAACCAACTTCTTAGAAAACTTGTGATCCTGTGTACTAAACTGTCGCACCAAGACCTATTATGGCTTTTACAACGTTTTATGAAGAATTACATCCTTTAGGATTCTAGGTTTCCAGCCAAAACATCATTTGGTTGCCTTACTTATTAGGATTTAGAAAATGAGTATTGCAAATGTTATATTATATGACTTATAAATCTCAAATACTAGGATTTTTTTTTTTTTTTTTTTTTTTTTTAAAAAATTGTTGAAATGTCAGTAAATATAACGGTAAGTTGGAATGAAAGCAAAAACCTTAAGAAGTAGAATGAGGTGAAGGTGAAGGTGAATCAGATGGTAAAGGAGGCTGATAGATGCGTGCTTTGGTGAGGATTTCAGCCACAACCCAATGCTTACGCTTGCTCAAAGGCCTTGATGAGTCCAACCGCACCTGATGAAATAATTTGCTTAAAACACAGTTAAAAGTGATCAAATAAATAAAGAGAAGGAGAAAGAGAGAGAAATAGAAAGAGATATACTCGGTCTCCGATGTTGCACAGATTCTGCTCGTCATGGGCCATGAACTTGGAGGTCCTCTTCACGTACCGGTTGTAGAGCTTGTGATGGAACAGCCTGTCCACCGCCACCACCACCGACTTCTGCATCTTATTGGAAACTACCATCCCCACAACCGCCTTCATCTCGCTCAAACTCTAATATGAACAACAGCTTACCACTTAACCCTGGCCTTGGGGACCTTCCTGAGAGTCTCACATCCAACATATAATCAGACTTAGAATCGGGTCAAATTAGACTTAGCCCAAAACTATACAATCAGACTTAGCCTTAAACTATGCAATCAGACTAGCACACACATAATTTTAAATGGTAATTAGTTCTGTATCATATTTCTCAGCGTAACTCCAAATTCGAGTCAAGTTACGCTATGTTGCACCGATACGGATACGGGTACAACGATACGATACGACATGGCAAATCTCCAAAAAGTAAGATACGGGTACGGCACCGATACTGCGATTAAAATAATATATATTTAAAAATAATATAAATGAAAATTTGAAAATTGATATTTCATCCATAATAAGTTCAAAACATTAACCAAACAAATAACTTCATTCAAATCTCCATAAACAAAGCAAAAATTAAACAAAACATACAAAATACAAGTATCCATAAACAAAGCACAAATTAAAACATTAGAAATCACTTCTCAAAGCTCTAACTTCATTCATCTTGGGTAAATATGATGCCTTCTAAGTCCGGTTCATCAAGAGAGAGGTTTGCAATCTCAAGCATTCCGGCATTTTCCAAATTAATACATATACAAAATTTGTAGGCAGGCAGCTATAATCTAATTAACAAAAATTATGACTTCACAAACCAATTAAATTATATACCCAAATCAACAACAATTCCTACCACACAAAACTTATTAAATAATATGGTACCCAAGTCATATAACAACAATAGGCAGCAGCTTATTAGAAACAAAAGAGAACCCAAATCAAATTAACAACAATAGGCAGCAGCTTATTAAAAAATGAAAAGAGAACCTGTTGGTACCGTAACTGACCCTCTTGCTGAAGCCACTGCAGACTCCAAAATGTTCAGTCAGCCCCTACCGATCGGCACCCTTACTGAAAAATGGCTAGACCCATGAAAATCTCCTCTCTTCTTAAGACCTTGCCGAACCAAGGACTAAAATATCCCCAAGCCAACTCAAAACTGCTGAATGGCAGGTTTGATAAAGAGACTCTGCTCTCTCACCTTCTAAAAACCCTAGGCCATGCCTCTTTGCCCTCACCAAAGCCCAACTAAGGCTAAGCCCCAAATCCGAGCCCAGCTCCAGTTCCCTAAGCTCTTATCTCTCATCTTCGGCATCTCGCCGAAGCCCAAATATAGCATCTTGCTCAGGCCGAACGGCAGGGACCTTGTTAGAAGCACTGGAGGCCCGACTTCAAAGACCATGCCAACTTTACTAGAGGTCAAAAACAAAAAAACAAAAAAACCAAAAACAAAAAAAACAAAAAAAAACACCGAACAGCAAGGGGCTATAAAAGAAAAATTGAAGCCCACACTCTTTTCTCCTTCAAGCTTCAGCCCAATCTTTTGGGACCTAAGCCCTTGCTACCCAAAGTCATCATTTGGTTACCAAAGATGCTCGAGCCAAAGCTATGACTCAGCCTCCTTTAGACCTGGCAATATTGCACGCGACCCGTTAACACGACACGAATTTGCATGAAATTATCAGTATTTCGGTTGAGCTTATTGGGTTTGGTTGAAAACGGGTCGTGTTGGGTCGAAAATGAGTTAACTCGTTAGCCACCCGTTAAGGAGGTTAATTTTGTAATTTTGCATAATATTTTTTTTTCTTCTTCCCCTTTTCTTTCTTCTTTCCTTTTTTCCTTTTCTTCTTTCCTTTTTTTACCTTTTCTTCTTCCTCTCGTTCTTCTCTTCTTCTCTTCTTCTCTGTTCTTCTCTTCTGCTATCTTTTTGTCAAGATTCTCTTATGCTCTTCTTATCTCCACTCAACAAACTCCGCTAGCCTAGCCACCAGAGATCAAGGAGGAGGTATCTGGGTCGGTGCACAGAGGGTGATTGATTCTAGAGTTGTTGGTTTGGTTCTCTCAATTAATTTTGAATTTTCTTTCTTCCTCAATTTATGTAGTTGTTAGGTTTTTAAGATATCTGTGAGAGAGATATATATATTGTTTTGGGGTGAAAAGACTGAAATGAAGAGGGAAAGAGGGAAGAAAAGTTAGGGTTGGGGTTTGGGGGGAAAAACAGAGAAGGCGTGTTGGTAGAGAAGCTGTGATTTTTTTTTTTTTTTTTTTTTTTTTTTTTTGTTTTTTATTTTGGTTTATTAACGGGTTGTGTTGGATTTTTGCGAATTGTAACGGGTCGTGTTTGGGTCTAGTATTTGTCACCCGTTAAACTTAACGGGTCTTGTAATGTTAACCCGTTAACTTAACGCGTTGACACGAACACGACCCGAAACCCGTTAATACAACCCGTTTGCCAGGTCTAGCCTCCTTGCCAATGGCAGAACCCGGGTCGTAAGTACTAAGGGCCCGTAAATTTGCTTACCGAAGTTGGAAGGCTCAAGTCCACTTTTCTCTCAAAGGTACCCAGCTACCAATAGTTCCAGAGGCTCACGCAGCTTTTACCACACCATCCAAGTGTTGACGCAACTTCTAGCTTGCCAACTTAGGCACTCTCGTGCCTAGCCACATTGCCTTACGATATGCAAGTTTTGTGTCGCCTTCAGCACCCCAGTGCCTAGCCACATTGCCTTGCACCCTTGTGCCTAGCCACATCGCCTTGCGACATGTAAGCTTTGTGTCGCATTCGGCACCCTCGTGCCTAGCCACATCGCTCTACGACATGCAAGCTTTGTGTCGCCTTTGGCACCCCAGATCCTAGCCACATTGCCTTGCGACATGCAAGCTTTGTGTCGCCTTCGGCACGAGGCACCCCCGTGCCTAGCCACATCGCCTTACGACATGCAAGCTTTGTGTCGCCTTCGGCACCCTTGTGCCTAGTCACATCGCTCTGCGACACGCAAGTTTTGTGTCACCTTCGGCACCTCAGTGCCTAGCCACATTGCCTTGCAACATGCAAGCTCCGTGTCGCCTTCGGTACCCCCGTGCCTAGCACATCACCTTGCAAACATGCAAGCTTTGTGTCACTTTTGGCACCCTCGTGCCTAGGCCCATCGCCTTGTGACATGCAATTCTTATGCTTTCGGCACCTTGGTGCCCAGCCACATCACCCTGCGACATAGAACTTTGTGCCTTCGACAACCCATTCACCTTCGGCACCCTCGTGCCAAGTTCTCTCTCTTCCAAATGTCCTTCTTACCCGGGGACTTGGAGGACTATGAGCAGTGCACTATACAGCTTAGAAGATGAACTATGGTGTTGCTCGGCCAGTGCACTTAAAATTACAAGTCCCAAATCAAGAAGTACATTCTTACTCGCGAACTTGGGGGACTATTGTTGGTACTGTAACTAACTGAGCAACTAGCTAGGCTAGATCATCTACATGTTATGCTTTGAGAGGTCATCACCTTAACCAAAGAAGCATTACCACAAGTCATAACTTTAAGCAAAGCAAGAGGAGTCCCAAATTGGAAAACCACAAGAAGTGAAGACTCCTCCTCACCTATAAAAGAAGACCACTCTCCACTTAGAAGAGGGTCTTGGATCTTGACCCTTGGGCTTCTCATTTCTTATCTTTATATTTAGGTCCACCCCTATGTGCAAATGTAATCATACATTATCATAATGAGAACATACTTCTCCGTGGACGTAGCCCATTCATTAAGGGTGAACCACATATATCTTGTCTTCTTTATATGTATCGCTTGCCCAAATCTTCACACACATGTTGAAGGTCCTCACCTTCACTCATAATCCACCACTCCATCTCTATCTAAGTTGACCTCCCAAAAAGAGCATCAACAGAACCCAAATCAAATTAACTACAATTCCAAGTTCTAACCATACAACAATACCAAGTTCCAAGTTCCAAGTTCCAACAATACCCAAGTCCCAAATCCATATAAGTTAACAACAGCAGATTATTCAAAGAGTGAAGAGAAACCTTGAGCTGCGAAGAAGAAACCTTCAGCTGCGGCGGCGTTGGGTGCTAGCGACGGCTATGTCCTTCTTCTTCTCTTTTGTTTGGCGTATGTTCTGTCTAAATGAAACCCCAAAAACCTAGCCTCTTGACATAGCAATCTCAAATTCTATTTTTGGTTTTTACATTTTAACCCCAAATGTTTAGAAACTTTCAAAATCACCCCCAAAGTTGGCTAATATTTTCGTTTTTACCCCCAGATGTATCGGCGCCGTATCAAGACCGTATCTAGGACGTATCGGGAAGTCAACATGCCATAAAAGTCCACGATATGCCGAGTGGCGTATCGGAAACATATTGATGCCGTATCGACGCTGTATCTGATACTTGAATACCCCCAAAAAGTGGTGTATCGATGCAACATAGAAGTTATGGAACAGATATATAGCTCAATGATATTCAGATCACGCACAAAAAAAATATCTACTTGCATGTAATAATATGAGAAAAAGTTGAAGCTTGAAGCTGACTCATAGTCCAAAATCTAAAAACAAATCCAAGTAACAAGATTGTCAGAGCTAATACTAATTTCTGCTTAGATGCTGCTAACTAAGCTAACAACCCAGCAAGAGCAACTAAAACCTCTACCTAATCAGAATGACTCTCTAAAAAAAGAAAAAAAAAACCCAGTTCATGAATTCCCTTAAATCGAAGAAATAACTAGAAAAATGTTTAAATTTTCAAAACGAGACACAGACATTGCAGGCTAGTGAGCTTAATCAAATAAAAAAAACACAGCATAAAATTGCTAATTAAGTTAATGAAATCTATAACAGAGAGAAAGAGAGCGAGAGAGAGAGAGATTTGAACCTTAAAACTGAAGAGGGATTGGATGCGATGGTGCTCTAGTCGAATTCAGTCTGTGAAAGAGTGAGACGGAGGAGAGAATGAGAAATGTAGGGTTTACCGGGAAGTTCGTTAAAGTGAATGGCTTTTTTATTTTATTTAATTTTTGGGTTATTTACTATAGACATCCCTAAACTTTGCCCTCAATTGCAATTGGATCCGTGAATTTTTTTTTTTTAGTTAATTACATCCTTTAACTCGATAAATAGTTCCAATTAAGTCATGCCGTAACAGAATCCGTCGAGTTTGACCATGTGAATGGCACGTGCTCTTGTTGTGAGGGGTATATTGGAGTTTTCACGATGTCCACCTATGTGTCTTGTTGTAAACCTCACGATGGCCAGCTTCATTTGCAGATCGGATGGTGTGCAACCTCATTTAGTAAACATTCAATTCCAGAAGAAAGTGAACCTTCAAGCGTGTGTGAAAGTTTCTACAAGAGAATCATGAACCAGTTTAGAAGGGTTGAAATTCAACACATTTGTTAACCGTGTATCCTTCTCGGGTAGGGACTCGGGTCCCTGGCTAGAAACCAAGCCTGCAATCTCCTCTGTAGATGGGTAGTCCCTTCGGATCTGCACACTTTAGGACAATATCAGAATAAGGGTAGACCTGGGGCAATCCCAGCTTAGACCCCTACAATGGTTATGTCAGTGAGCAACTCAAGTAGAGAATGAGAATAATGGATGTAAGGTTTACACAGTGAGAATATTTATTACCTTTGTCTGGAGATAAGTGATGGGTATTTATAGGAGGAAAAATGGGAGGTCAAGATACTTATGGGAAGAGATCTTTTCTTCTCTTCAGAGTTACATTTAATGCCTCATCTCAGTCGAGAAGGTCCGGTGAACAGTACCAGTACCGATTTCGATTTTGCGATTCCAATGCCCACCCCTAGCCGATCTTGTTACGAATGGCACGTGGTATGTGGTCAACCCCCAAGTCCTCTGTCGAGAAGGTCCTCGTTGAGTCAATGGCGCCAGGATTTTTGAAATGCATGTACTCGAGTGGGCATGATGTGGCACGAGGTGGTTGGCGGAGCAGGCGGCGTATTAATGGTGTGGCGTTGAGTCCTGCGAGGGGTCGTGTCGAGTCATGTCCCGTCGTTTCAACTGATGCTTGCTGGGATGGCTCCACGTGGACGCATCCGAGCGTGAGCAATGAAGATATGGACGACAGGGATACTCAGTCAAGTGGTATAAGAGGAGAAGGGCCATAAGAATTCCATTTTTCGCCATTGTTGCCTTTACGAGGGATTTCCGAGCAGCGTCAATCAGTGTTCTCACGTCCCTGGTTTGCAGAGGAGAGAGAGAGAGAGAAAAAAAAAAGGTTTGTCTCTAACTTTATCCTTCTTGTTTTCATTCCTTCCTCTTCCCTTTTTTCTTTCCTTCCTCTTCCTTCTTTTCTTTCCTCCCTTAGAGTTATAACTTGTCATAGGCTGTCGTTTGGGTTTCTAATTGAGGTATGTGATGTCGCCTAGATTTTCTTATTTTGGTATATTTTGACCCCTAGCTTCAACCTGTCCCCCCTTGGTGGCGTTTGAAGCGTGTGGGGACGGGTTGTGGGAGATGTCGAGCCTATCAGAGATGTCTGACTCACAAAACACGGGGAGTAGTGGATCAGCCTTTAGGGATGATGATAGGGACAATGTTGAGGTAGTATAGCAGATGTTCGACGCAACCGACCAGATGGGTGAAGAAATGCCTATGGGTCTTAGTGGGAACTTTGAGTATCGAGGATGTAGGAGAGGGAGTAGGAGTGAGGAGGCAGAGGGTACTAATCAAAGTGGCGAGGGCAGTACTCGAGGTGAACAGGGGGCGAACCAGTGACCAGTTGGGTGAAGGGTCGGGATCACAATCCGAATTGGAAGAGGAGGGGTGGTCAAACGACGAGCATCCGAGCAGCATGACCCAATAAAAGACCGAGCACACCCCCCTTATGGTGGGTAACTTTGTGTGCAGATATGCTAAAGCAGGGGGTTCGACTGCCGTTATCATGAGTGGATGAGTCAGCTCGGAGTAGGCCCCTACCAAATGAACTCGAATGTGTACTAGACCATGCTAAGCGTGCAAGCGTTGTGGCAGCGAGTACATAATTCTAAGCCGCAATAAACTAGATGTTACACTGCTTCCTTCTAAAGATGAGCCCGCACCAGGTCGGCTTTTGTTACCTTCAGAGCGCGGTTGGGAAGAGCATTGAAAGTAACCCGTCCTCGCAGAAGACGTGGAAACCACACTGGTTCTACGCCTCGAGTGCATGGGAGTTTGCTGAAGGGGTGGAGCCGAGGCAATCTAGGGTACAGAGGCGCTTTAGAATGCCAGGTCGGGTGGTCTGTTAATTTGCTTAGGGCACCCATGAATACATGGTCGTGCTATACTACCTGTGTTCTCCCCTGTTTCTTTGTCGTGTCATTCTCCTTGTGTGTCTCTTGTATTGTTGTTGATGTCTATTTCTTTCTGTCTTTCTCTTTTCTTTTTTTCTTTTTTGGTGAAGAGTAGGCTGTTATCTAATAGGTCTGGTGGTTCTTGCAGTTGAGTTGGACCGAGCCGAGCTGTCTGCCGTCGAGCAAAAACAAGTGACCGTGGTGCTCGCCTTGCCTAGTACCGAGAGAGCCGCGGATAGGCTGCTTGCCGACGAAGGTTTAGTCAGCTCTGTAGGTAAGTATCGATCCGATCTGTGGTACATGCCACCATTATAAGTAGTCTAAATGATGTGTGTTGTTTCAGCGATGAGGCCGAGTTGGAATGACCCTGCGATGCAGGCGAGGCTAATGAAGATAGCCAAGGGTTCAAGTGGTGGGTCGGCTGCAGGTAGGCCTCATCATTTGGCCCACGGGCTCATGGGCCGTTAGGGGCCTACCCGGCCATTGGAAAAAAGCCCGACTCGACCCGTTATGGGCTTTGAGATGGCCCGGCCCGCCTTGGGCCGAGCTAGGCTTGGGCTTGGGTGTTTGAAGCTCGGCCCGGCCCGATTAAGCCCAAGAAAGCCCGGCCCAGCCCGTCCACAAAAGCTCGGCCCGTTAGGCCCGCATACATATATAATTATGTATAAATAAGAGTTTAGGATTAGGATTATATCACTTAAATCACATATATAATTTGTTTCATTTTATTTACTTTTCTTTACTCATTCCTAGTTTATAATTGGATGATTAGCACATTAATTTGTGTCAATTATTAATACAACAATTATATATATATATATATATATATATAAGATGAACAATATATCATATCACTAAATATAATCATATCACAAAGTATAATCTTACCACCAAATATAATCATGTTTTTCTTGAACATATCACCAAACATTTACATATTTATTTATACCATCCTTTAAAAAAATATTTTTTTGATACTTATTATTTTTTTAAATTATTTCTTAAAACGTATTACGGTCTAATTATGTAATAACCTCAAAAATAATACTTTGTTTTATTATTTTTGTGAAAAATCTTATTAAGTTGTGTGACTTTATTGGGTATTTTATGAATTTGGTTTGATTTGAAAATATTGGAATTAAGTGAGTTTAATCTCAAATTTAGACTAAAATGCCCTTATGATTTTTTTCAAATGAAGTAGGCCCGTTTCGGCTCGGCCCGTTGGGCTTAGCCCGGCCCAATAGGCTTTCTCAAGCCCGACTTATGGGTCGGGCTTGGGCTTTGAATTTTCTAAAAAAATCCGGCCCGGCCCGGCCTGATATTTTCTCTCTCTTCTTTAAAGCCCGGCCCGGCCCGTTGACGAGCCCTAGCTGCAAGGTCACAACCAGCTTGGGTGGGAGGCTCCCCCCATATGTCGGTGGCTCGCAGTCAGGCGGCCGCGTCAGCCTTAAGCCCTGCTCAGGGAGCTCAGAAGAGGCTGGCGGATGAGCAGTTTCTGCGAGATGCGGGGAAGATGCGAGTGGAAGAGGAGCCGAGGCGAGATCCGAGGAAGAGACCAATAGACTCTTCGACCGCAGAAGGGGCGAGGAGGACGAGCGTGGAACCGCTGAGTGGGCCATTGGAGCCGTGGGTGGACAGGGAGCTAATGTTGAAGTCGTACCACGAGGCCACCAAACGGGTGCTAAAGATGGAGATTGTAGAGGGTATGTTTACCGAGGAGATGGGGTAAAGTGGTATGACCATGGCAGCCCTGGAGGACCAAATCAAGGTAAGAATCTCTCCTTGGGCTTGCATCGATTAGCAATTAGATATGTGGTTGATGTTTGTAGTGGCTGATCGGCTCTCTAGGCGACCTTGAAGCTCTTCGTCGCAACCCAAAACGTGGTGGCTCATCGGGATTTGGACTGGGGCAAAAGGGACGAGCAAGCGATGACTGTAGCCGAGCTGAAGCGGACGATAGGAAAAAAGGCCAAGGTGGAAGAAGAGCTGGAGCAGACACGGAGCCGGCTGGAGGAAGAGGAGAAGAGGAATGTTGAGCTGTTTGCGTCGCTTGGAAAACTTTGGGATGTTGAGAGATTACCAAAAAACAACGCCAACAATTATAAAAAAAAATTTATGAGTGAAAAATTAAGCAAAAATAAATAAATGTGGTGAATGATATTAGTGGTGTGAAAATTTTAAAGAACGTGTGTTTTATAGGGAAAATTGAATTGCACCATAATAATAAATAAATAAAGTGTTCAATAATGCTTGAGTTGGAGCATCTTCAATGATGAGGGTTGGTGTTGCTACGATGGAATCGATGTTGGTTCCTCGTATTTCAAGCTGCGAGATGATGAAATTGCCATTATTACTTTAGGAACCACATGCAATCTCAGCATAAGTTGGTATTATTCCTATTTGACCAAATGACATTAGTAAAATGCAATCTGTTGTTGTTTCAGATGAACTCGTATTGCCACTATATTGCCTCCCTAGCACCCTTTTTTCAAGTTTGTGTTTGAATAAAGGCAAAAATATGAAAATTGAGTTCTATAAAAGATCAATACAAAGGCAATACAAAAACTGCATTATAATTTCATTCCTAGACAGAGTTTAAAAAATAAAAATAATTTTTTTTTTTATTTTTTAAAAGGCAATACCATGGCAATATAGGAGCAATACCGTAGCAGTATGATAGTAATACAAAGGCAATACAAAATTGTATTATAATTTCATTCCCATGCAGACTTAAAAAAAACAGGCAATACGATATCAATATTGGAGCACTAAGGAGGCCATACGATGCTAATACAAGGGCAATACACAAGACATAATTGTTTGAATTAATGCGTCTTTTTTATGTCCAATTCAAATACCTGAATCTCTGCCCTAAATTCCAAAATTTGAATGAAACTGAATCAAAAATTAAATTAAAAGAATAACAAAAACTATATAATCCCACTATAATTTCATTCAAACACGCATTTGAAAAAAGAGGTTCCAGGGAGGCAATACAGTAATGCCACGTTCATTTGAAACAACAACAGGTTGCATTTTACTAATATCACATTTGGTCAAATCTAGGAACCAACACCATGTTTATTTGGTCTTCAACTTAGCCACAACATAGACGATAGGGTACATATTCTCATTTGGATCAATGCCCATTGCTACAAGTAATTGCCCTATCAAAAATTGCATAAACAAATTCACATGATTAGTATAAACACATACCTTGAAATATATAAGACATATGCTAAACTATAAAGATATAAGACATACGCTAAACTATAAGACAAGCACATGCCTTGGAATGTGCCTTTCAAATGGCATCCATCAACACAACTAGCTAGAAATCCTTTTTTTACAGCCATCCAAGTATACATACATCCTTTGGAAAATAAGGGGTTTAAGCTTCATCATTATAGTGCTACCCACATTGATTTGCTTAACCTTTTCACAATACTCCCACAACTTAGAGTATTGTGAAGCATAAGTTCCCTCAATTATTTCAACTGCCTTCTGCCTAGCCCTACCAATTATACTGAAACTGATATCCAAACCTATGTCCCTCTTAACATGAGCATGGAGTGTCCTCAAACTTATCTTGGGCTGATCTTGATGAGTCGATTTTATATTATATATTTAACCTCATTCTTAGTATATTTTGGTTAATATGTTGGAAGAATTTTGATACTTTTAATTATATTTCTAATATAGGACTTTCGACTTCCTCTGGAGCAAAACATAATCAAATGGACGAATTTTGGAGTAATTCCAATTGGAGGACGTACGTGAGTCACTTAGCTTGAACATCACAAGGAAAGTATGCATTAGGAAAACCTAACCTTCAAAGCATATATGTGGAAATTCATAAGTAATTGATAGAATTGCATAGGATTGCGACGGTGTTGGCTAAACCCTAGTTTTCTCTAAATTGTTAGTCTTTAAAATAAATCGTTTTTCTTCTTTACTGTTATTATTTCCCAACTTTCAGATTTCTTTTACTGTTAGTTTAATCTTTACAAATTCATAAACTTCAAATCTTTGATAAAATCTATTTTAGTTATTAATTAAGAGTTAGTTTAATTACAGATTAGTCAAACAATCTTTGGGGACAACGACCTTGCATGAGCATTTATACTACAATTACCTTGTATTCTTGCAAGTATTTTCAGTGATTTTAACCCTGTTTGCGCAGGTACTAAAAATCCTATCAGATCTCTAATTACATCAATATATTTCTTTGCAAGAAAAGTCTAACTAACTTGAGGGTTGCTATAACTTTTGCTACAAGTTTGCCGGTCTGTCATACTCCTAATTTACAAAGTTCTTTCTTCCATGAAAGAAGCCCATAAATTCCACTTGCATTTCAGACACTTTGCTTGCATCTTTTTCGCATCATTTTTAGTCACTTTCACTTCATAACCCTGTATGACATCATAATTTGAAATAGCTTCTCCTGTGTATGTGTCTTTCGTTATGAGAGTTAATGTGGACTATTAAAGCCATCTAAGTGATAACTCTCCTTAGGCAAATTATCATTCATGTTACCTTTAGGTATAAAAGGCTCATCCTTTTTTCTTTTTTCCATAAATACAAGCTCTTTCTTTTGCTTCTTTTTATCTACAAATACAGGTACCTTAGGAATCTCAACATTGTTCTGAAACCAATGGTTATCCTCAAGAGCTGCATCATTCTCCTCATCATATATCTCTTTGTCAGGTTCATCATCATTGTCTTCATAAATAGGAACATTATGAAGTGAAGCCTTACCATTACCCTCAGTAGCTTCCCCATCACCCTCAATAGCTTCCACATTACCATCATCAGTCTCATCATCATTAACAACAATATACTCATTATGATCATTGGCCTTTTGAGGGTTTGCAAAATGTGTATGATGAGGCGTATTACCTTGTGTCTTAACAACATTCTCATCAACTTGATTAAAGCACTCATTTGGGATATCAATGAAAAATTCTTCATATTGTGTACCAAGTGATTAGGTGTAAACCTCCTCAATAACATCAGACACGTCAACATCATGATCTACATACACCACTATATGCCTATTGCCAGGGATGAAAGATAACATAGCTAATATTTCAGAATCAGAATTTAACCCTAATAGCCTTTCATGTGCTCCATTTCCAGAATATGTATAATAAAACCCCATGTAGTTTTTAATCCCACATTCATTCATAAGATCATCTCCAACCATGGGGGTGGAAACCCAAATTTTCAGTTTTGAGTCCAAAATTCTTCTCTAACCCATGTATTTTGGGGGGTGGAAATTTGAGAAATGTCAAAATTGGGTGGAATTCCCGTCCAAGTTTTGCCTAGACTGGTATTTTATGTGGAACCCAAACTTTGCTTGGAAGCCCATGTGAAGAAGAAAAGTTGCTGGGCCCCGCGTGACAGCTTTGCTGTCTGGCCAACAAATTTGATGGACATAGCTGGTAGCTCCATTCCAACGGCTAAATTCAAAACCGTGTTTTATTTATTTATTTATTCCAACGGCTATATTTTACATCAACGATCAGGATTAATTTTAGGCAATCCGAACGGTAAAATTTAACATCCAAAGGCTCAAATTTAAACCAACGGTCAAAATAATATTTATAATTTATTTAAATCAGATCCAAACCCAAAACTTATTCCAAATTCTATAAATAGCCATTCATTTGGTAAATAATCCACAAAAAATCATATTTTTTTTTCCTTTCTCCATTTGTTATATTTTTTCATTCTACTTTCATTCATGTTGAGAATGGCCCCAAAACTCCAAAGAGGTGTGAATTGGAAACCACAAGAAGATGAGGCATTGCGCAAAGGGTGGGTTTCTATCTCTGAAGATGAGGCTATTGGCACCAATCAATCAAATGACTCATTTTGGTTGTGTGTGTACCAAATTTTTTTGAAAAATGATTAGGGCATGAGCGGAGCAAGGGTACGATCATCACAAGCTATTGCTTCTCGATTCAAGATCATCAACCAACAATGTTCTCTATAGAAGGCATGTGACAAAGGCCAATGCGGAAATTTCTTGTCTGAATTGGTTTAACAAGGAAATGAGGCAAGGGAGGATAGGAGGCAACAGTTAGAGCTCGTAGAAGAGCAACATGTCTATCAAATCCAACGAGATAATGATGCCAATGAATAGAGGATAATGTCCATGGACCTATCCAAATTTACTCCAAGAAAGAAGAAGTATTGAGGGAATAAGTAAGATGAAATTATTGAAGCCCGGATGAATACAAGTTCGCCCTACAATCCAGAATACAACTCTGGAGACTATTATCCAAGCCTTTCACATAGGGAAAGATAAAGGAATCCAATAAAGTGAGATGAATAAAGATGAGCAATTGTTCAAAACATGATTGAAACAAGACAATAAGAGATGGGAAATAATTCAGAAAATAATTGAATGAAGATAGGAAAAGATAGGGAAAGATAAGGGAATCCAATAAAGTGAGATGGACAAAACTGAGCAATTGTTCAAAACATGATTGAAACAAGACAATAGGGGATGAGAAAGGGTTAAGAAAATAATGGAAGAACACAAGTAGAGGTGGGCAAAAGTTCAGAACATTATTGAATAAGGATAAAGGAATCCAATAAAGTAAAAGCAAAAGTAAAAATGGAAGACAATTATGCCAATGGCTTCAAATAAGGGTTTGAATTATTTCGGGCATACCAAAAGTAGCAACTCCAGGGATTGCTGTAAGAACCCAATCCTTAATTAATATTTAACTATTAGTTTATTAAGGGAAAATGACACTTTTGCCCTTAGACTATTTTAGTAATTGAGAAGTTGACTTTTTGACCGGAGGTGAATTTGGAAATTTTGTTTGCACCGTTGCGTAGAGCGCGACGAAACGAGTCCGTAGACACGTAGTGGGCTCGAATCGGAGTTATAACGAAGAAAATACGGTCAAAATACTCCAAGGGGTAAAATAGTAAGTTTGGAGACCAGGATTTTTTTTAACAACCGACTTTCTCTCTCCTGCCTCACTCTTCTTCTTCGCGACACAGCCCCTCATGTTTCAACCCGCCACCTTCTCTCCTCCATAACCACCGCCACCGTGAACCACCGGCCACGAGACCGGATCCGTTCAAACTGTCATCCTTCCCCAATCACGTCCCGACCAGCCTCAATCGTCACCGACCTCGGAGCTCATCGGAAACTGGAGAAAAACCCGCCGATTTCAATCGATTTTCACAACCTTTGATATCCGTCGTCTGGCTACCAAATCGGACGATCAAGATATGGATTCCTACCTATTTTTCGTGACTTAGCTGCTGGTTGGGTAGGATTTTAGAAATTTCAAGCGTAGATCATTCGATTCTCAACTTAAGTTTCAGCCGGTTTTGAGGGTAGGATTCCGGCCACTTCTGGCCACTTTTTGGGGTAGGTCCAAGAACAAAAGTGGTTCCAAATTGGGTGTTTTATCTAAGTTAGGAGTTTGGGCCGGCGGTTTGGAGTTTTTCCGGCCGCCGGAAATTTCTCAAGCCACCCAAACTGCCGGCGCTTGTGGCAGCGCGTGGACAGTCTGGTGGGGACCACTCTTAGTTTCAAAATGATCCTCGTATTCTCACGAGCGTGTAGAAATTCGCAGATCTCAATTCAGACGTCGTTTGAGTGTTAAGCGGACTTTTACTTAGTGTGCGTTATCCAGATTCAATAGTTTCGAACCGTTGGGTCGTGATCACTTTCAGATATGTTAGTTTAGACCTTGCCAGGATTGTGTAAGATTCGACGGATCGTGAATCGAAGTCTCGGATACTCCGAAATCGCGAACCCTAGGGTTAAGGATTTAGAATCGTCGATCGTATGATCGTGACGAATCTAACCGTCCGATCGAAACCAGATTCATGGGACGAATGTCCTACGATTAAAGGAATGTAATGTGGGCATATGAATAAATTTAAATTGATTCACGCACTTCTATAAGCCGGGGGTCAGGGTTTTATTTAAATATTTATACCGAGCAGTTTTATTAATATACTTTAATATGGTATTTGAATCAAGCACTCGGGCACCAGTTGACCCACATGAGGGACCTTCCAAAGGTCCAGCGACCTCGGACCAACAGTGATTGGACTCTTTGTTTTCATAAATGAATTTATGCAATTTAGTTTCAGTATTTGATCTTGAATAAGTTTTATTCAAATATTAGTGTTTTATAAGGGAGACATGCTTTTAAATATTTTGATTTGCATGCTGCCGAGTGGAATATCCTTTAGGGATATAGGGAAAGAGAATTTTAGTTAAACATCAGATAAATGGTAGTAGAGTCCAGCCTTAACAGAAATTCAGTTATTTATTAAATCTTTAAAAAACTTTGCTTATTATTGTTATTTTCTAAGCCACCTTAGGTACCCAGATATGCAGATGTTGCCTTCGGATATGATGATGTCCACGGACATCCAGGTTGCCTTCGGATTTTATCAGTTGCCTTCGGTTTAGTCAGCATGCTTGATAGTTGCCCCACGAGTTCTTTGGTACCCGGACTCGTGCGGAGCGAGGATTGCAGATCAGGCTGACCACGGTCCCCTGAATCCTGCGAGGTTGCGGGGGGAATTGACGGATAACAGGAATTGACGGAAATAAAAGAGGTACACCTAGGTGGTAGTCTTAAATTGATTTCAATGTTTTACAGAGATTATTGTTGACATAGAGCATGATTGGTATATATATATATATATATATATATATACACACACACACACACATAAATATATGAATACATGGATTTCTGTACATATATAATTAAGGGAAGGATTTAGTTTTAAGTAATTGTTTTTTTTACCGTGAGGTTAGTATGTTTCTTATCTATTTTTTCTAAACTTTGTTTTTGGGGTCCACTCACCTTTTTAATGTTTTGCGCCCCTAGGCTGTAGACGTGCATCCGAGAGCCACCACAGGGCATTTCCCGCTTCCCGCTCTTCCCCATTTTGATGTAGGGTTCCTTGGTTCACAAGCGGTTACTTCATTTGTAAATAAACTTGTATAGATGCTCTGATATTGCCCTGGAACGTATTTAACTGTTGGAACTTACTTATTTTGTATACTGGCAGTTGGTGTATATATTTAAGTGCTTGTTGACAGGTGTAAATTTTGGGAACGTTCGATTTACAGGGGAGACTCTGCCAAATTTTCAGTAGAAGTCAAGATTTGAGGGAAATTAAGTTTTTAACCAAAAAAAAGGGCAATCAAGTCAATTGTGTCCGGCACTCGTCAGGTGTCGATCACGAACAGGGTTTGGCTCAAATTCCAAAGTGGAATTTGGGTCGGGTCCTGTCAATTGCTACCACTTTTAAAAAAATCGTGTGGTTCCATTGTTTTTAATATAAATCGTGTGCTACTTATTTTTACTTTCAAATTCCATGAAATAAAATGTTGTTGTACTTGTTTTTATTTTTAAGTGAAATTCTATTATGTTTTGGAATTTTAATTTTTTTAGGTTAAAATGTTTAGAAAATTAAATCATGAATGTTGAAACAAAATAATGTCAAGAAAAATTAACAAGAACAAAATTTTAGGGGTTAATCATTCTTGAACAATTTAATGATGTTGCGGACTCAAATTATGAGTCTGAAAGGTTTGAGGAAAAAAAAAATTTTAGTCCTAAAAATACATGAATAGTTGTATTTTGGAAAGTAGAAATTTGAGTTTAGCCCCAACATGATTGGGGAAAACCTATCTGGATCTACGTTGTCATAAATATTTGTCATACCTCCCTCATAAGACATTTCATTGTTGACAAACTTCCCGGCATATCTTAACTCCAAAGTGAAGTAACTGAGGGTTGGCGCGGGTGAGTATGGAACAATAGAAAGTTCTTCCGTTAACTGTACCAAATCTTTTGGTATACCAATTTCTCTTCCGTTAACCAACCATTAAATCCTTTAACCATTCGATTGGTTAACCATAAGTTTGAATCAGGTTGGTTCGATAGGCCGGTAGTACCATTTGTATTTTGGTTGAGATGCAGTCGGTACATGGATTTTTCGGTTGAGATGCCCACCCTTAGAAGTAACCATCATCTACAAAATAAAGTAAACATATATGTTCAAAATATTGAAATATAAAAACAATAATCATATTCACATGATTAGTATAATCTAAGCAATACATTAACATATTTTGCAGCTTATATATGACAAAATGGTGGCAAACAATGAATTTATGAAGGATGGACACTGTATATGTACAACCAGACAACACCAATTTTTTTTGTGAAAAGTTACCACATACTGTACTCATATTACATTCCTAAAGCACCACAAGATAACACCCTTTTTTGGCTGAAACTAGACAACACCACAGGTTAAAGGCACAACCTTTTTCTAGCTTAAACTATTCACCCACCATATTCAGTGGGCTTAACTACACGTGATGAATGCATAATCCCCAATTTGAAATTTTGCACGAGGATTTGAGTTTTTACACGCTTCTGATGGTGGGTTGAGACTAAATGACAATAAAGCCTTTGCCAAATTGACGAAATTGAAGGCTTGGACTTGATTTGTTAACGACTTGAAGAACAGTGACGAAATCGGGAAAATTAAAATCACAGTGCTAAAATTGATTATGGACCTAACCCTAATAATCAAAATTGTAACTAACCGCTTAAAATTTTGAATATAAGGTGGATGGGGAATAAGCACTCTTATTTTAATATTATCTTTATAATTTATTTAATACTAACTATTATTTGTTGTTATTCTTTTGCCTTTATTTTATTAAAAAAAATTGAATTAATAGAGAAATAAAATATACAAATTTATAAATAAACCCAATCCTAGACATGTATTTATAAAAAAAAACACAAACACTATTTAAACATAGAAACACACCCAAAATCAACCACAAAGTCAACTTTTTGGGTGTGTTTATAAATGGGTTTTGAGTGTGTGTAATGATGGGTTTTTGGTGTGTTTATATGTTTAAATAATGCTTGGGTTTTTTTATAATTTCAACCCTCATTTTGGGTGTTTTAGTGAAACTCCCAATAAAATATTCATAACTCCCTAAAGTAATGATTGTAGTTGAAATTAAAATAGATTTCTAGAGTGTTTTTTTGCTAAATTTTAACTAAAAATTAAGGACTGTGATTGTAGATACTCTTATGTGATTCACTCACCGAACACAAATATTTCTTCTCATTTTGACCTCATATATGGGAATTGGCTACCTTCTAATTTGGTATTTCTTTTTCCTTTTTTGTTTTTTTTTCCTCAAAACTTATTATGAATCGTCGGATTAAAACATTAAAATCTGGTGGTTCATAAAAACAATGTCTTGATTATTTTTTTTTTTTTTTTTTTTTTTTTTTTATATAGAATATATATAGAATAAGACACATTATAATTAAAAGAGGGCAAAACCCTAATTATAATAGAACAGCCAATTAAAAAAGTTAAAAAAAAAAAGAAAAAAAAACACACACTCTTCCTCTTCGTCTCTCAGCAACACAGTCCCAAACCCAATTGATGCTAGCACCATCTCTTCACTCGAACCTCAACCTCAGTTTCATCTCTCTCTCTCTCTCTCTCTCTCTCTCTCTCTCTCTCTCTCACATTTCGAAGTCTCAGCATCTGCTTGATAGGTTATCGTACTATCTTTACTCTTTCTCTGAGACATGAATTTGAGGCACTTAGTTTCTAGGCAAGCTGTAACCAATGCGTCAAAAATCAGTGCAAGGTTGCGATATGCCTACGGTTTCACAACCATGGCAGCAGACCCGGTACCTCTTTCATTTCATTCCCCAAGTCAGGATGGCTCTAAACCTCTGAAAAACCCTAAATGCCCCAAACCCATTTCTTCATTTAATAGATATATTCACTCTGCTCAAGCTCAAGCGGGTGACCCTAAAATTGATTCTGAGGTTTCAGATGAGGAGGAAGATGGAGTCATTAACGAGTTCTTGTCTCGATTTGTATGGATCATACGCCAGAAGCTCAATGAAGCTTACCCAGATTGCGATAAAGAAACCATTGATGGAATGCTCATGATTATTGTCCAGAAAGTTGTTTCAGAGATGGAAAAGGGCGGGATTGAGCAGGTACTTAGTGAATCGCAGTCCACTCCATCGCAGGATTTTAGTGAGGATTTGTGGAAGACTGTGTGGGAGGTGAGCAATATGGTTTTGGGGGACATGAAGAAGGAAGTCAAGAAGGAAAAAATGAAGGGGTTTCTGCAAGAAGAAGAAGTTAAGGAGATGTGTAGATTTGCTGGTGAAGTTGGTATTCGAGGGGATATGCTTAGAGAGCTCAGGTTCAAGTGGGCTCGCGAGAAGATGGAGGAAACTGAGTTTTATCAGAGCTTGGAGCGTCTTAGAGAAGAGGACAGAAAATCCCAAGAAGAAGGGGAGGCAGCAGAGGGAATGCAAGCTGAAACCACAGTGGAAGAGGAGAAGTCTAAGGTTGTTTCTCTCCCCAAGAGGCGAGGGAAGATAAGATATAACATTTATGGTCTTGATCTATCTGACTCCAAGTGGGTAGATGTGGCTGATAAAATTCATGAGGCAGAGGAAATTATTTGGCCCCAGGAACCAAAACCCATAACTGGGAAATGCAAATTGGTTACGGAGAGAATTATTCAATCAACTGTGGCAGATGACCTGTCTCCACTTTTGGCTGAATGGGTAGAACTGCTTCAACCTAGTAAGATTGATTGGCTCAATTTTCTTGATAGATTGAGAAAGCAGAACACTGGCTTATGCTTTAAGGTACATAACTCTTTTCTGTTCTCCTTCATTTGATATCATTGCTCTGTTAGTTAGATCCTTTTTCAAAATGTTGGTTTTTAGTATCTACTGCTTATTTATGAGTTTTGTATAACTTATGTAAGAGTTCATATATTGTTTGTATGAAAATATGTTTAGGGTGTGGTGAGTTGAGAGGTTTATGCATGTATGTGGGCTTAAAGTTTTAGATTTGGGTTTTAGCTGTTGAGTGTATATGAATCCAAAGGTTATGTAGCTTGTGATAGCGTTGCCATTTATCTTATATTGGCCTTTTCGATGTAGTTGATGCTGAAAAAATTGTTTGCAGGTGGCAGAACTTGTATTGAATGAGAAATCCTTCCAGGCGAACATCCGTGACTACTCTATGCTTTTCGATGCCCATGCCAAACAGAACCACCTAGAAGATGCTGAGAGAATTTTGAAGAAGATGAATGAAAATGGTATCCAACCTGATATCTTAACGGCTACTAGTTTGGTACACATGTACAGCAAGGTAGGCAATCTTGACGGTGCCAAAAAAGCATTTGAAAGTTTGAGGGGCCAGGGCTTCAAACCAGACATTAAGGTGTACAATTCGATGATCATGGCATATGTAAATGCTGGCCAACCCAAATTGGCTGAGTCGTTGATGAGAGAGATGGAAGCAAGAGACATCAAACCCACAAAAGAAATTTTCATGGCATTACTTCGGTCATTTTCACAAAGTGGTGATATTGGCGGAGCTGGAAGAATTGCCAACATTATGCAGTTTGCAGGGTTCCAGCCAACATTGGAGTCTTGTACATTGCTTGTTGAGGCATATGGGAAGGCTGGTGACCCTGATCATGCAAGGAGCAACTTTGATTACATGATGAAAGTTGGGCACAGACCTGATGACAGGTGCACTGCAAGCATGCTTGCAGCTTATGAAAAAAAAATTTACTTGATAAGGCGCTGAATCTGTTGATGCAGCTTGAAAAGGATGGATTTGAGCCTGGAGTTGCCACTTACTCTGTTCTTATAGATTGGCTGGGTAAATTGCAGCTAGTTGATGAGGCTGAGCAACTTTTGGGAAAAATTGCCGAGCAGGGTGAGACTCCTCCACTTAAAGTTCATGTAAGCCTTTTTGAAATGTATGCTAAGGCTGGAGTTGAGAAAAAGGCCCTACAAGCTCTGGGAGTATTGGAAGCTAAGAAGGAGCAATTGGGTTCAGGTGAGTTTGAGAGGATTATAAATGGGCTTATAAATGGTGGGTTTAAGCAGGATGCTCATAGGTTTCATGGGCTGATGGAGGCCCGTGGTTTTGTTGCGTCCTATTCTCTTAATTTGGCCCTAGCGGCATCTCGATTGAAGCATTCGGGCACAAGAGGCCCTTAATGAGATAGTTTGATGGCCATCTACAGATGCTTCACAATCTTTTGGCTGCAAGACCACTGCCAAGATGTTTTGTAGCTTTAGGAATTCATAGCTGTTTGGCCATATGTAGTCAGATACGTGGATTTTTTTTATTTTTTTTGGGTCAAAGTCAGATAGGAGGAGTTAATGTAGTCTGTTTTCACATTATCATCTCAAGTTTATCGATTTTGTGATATTTACCTTGTTTCCAATGCCCGTATGGACAGAATGCAAGTTTAATTTTGATCCAGAATTGATAATAAATTGTTTGAATGCACTTAATGAAGTAGGCTGATTCAGCCTTGCAATTTTTTGTTTCAGCATGTTTTAATAATGTGCCAGATGACTGACATACAAGCATACTATGTATGATGCATGCATTGGACTAGAAAGTTTTATGCAGCAGGTAGTTTCAAAGGTGTCTTTATGTTGAATTGCATGGTGTGGATGAACACAAAACTAAGATAAGTTCCAACAGTAATGTACCATTTCAATGGAACTTTATGGAAGCAACTTGAGTTGTGTAATTTTGGCTGTTATGCTAATGTCAAGGACCCTTGATCATCACAGCGGTTGTTTATCCAGATTTTGATTGCTAGTTTCAGTAGAACTGACATTCTTTATCATTTAACTATTTAAATGCCTTATGCATTCCTTCTTTAGCTGTGAGAATCTAGGAATTTATGGACTGTCTTTTGGAGATTGGTATTACTGCATTTACAGAGGACATCCTGTTGTAAGTTCTTTATTGTGTTTTATTCATTTTAATTTTAATTTTATTCTTGTTTGTCAAATTTTATGTTTATTTTGATTCCCATTCTAGCACTTTTACTTATGAGTGCATGGCAGTTAGGTGTCTGGTTCAGTTCATAGGAGAACTATTTCGTGGGTTCTTTAGTTGTGTTCAGTAAAAAATGATTGAGGGACCAATAAGAGGATTCTGATTTATAGCTGTTCATTATCTTTCTATTTCGGAGATGGATGGGGATGATTATGATGCTAGTTGCAGCAATAAGCTGGTTTTAGAGGCATGATTGTATTTGCAGTGAGCTGTTTGCATGCCAATAATGTAACTTATCTTTCTCCAGATGAATAAAATTTGTAAGACGTGGTTTGCTCTTTGTGTCTGTAAAGTGTTTTACACTTCTGGAATTTAATCTTGTTTTCTGGTCTGAACTGTACGGCCACAGTGATGAAGCATTTTTGTGTACTAATTGGATGGTTTTAAACAAGTTGATCATTCTTTATAGTACTTGGACTGTCTTATGTTTGTGTTTCTTTGTGAATATAATTGTGGAAATTATTTATTATTATTTTGGCGAATTATTACGTCCTGGAGTTAGTTGTGATATGCTCTGTAGATCGTGTTAATGGACCCGCTGAAGATCCATATGTCATCCTTGTCAATTGAGTTTGTCAGAAGCGTCCACCAGAGATTTTGAATAAGGTCAGGCACTGAGTGAGTTTCTTCCACTAAACTTTGTATATTACTGATTGGCTATTGTTTTGGGTTCTTCAAAAATTGCATGGAGCCATCCTTGCATCTTTGCTTGGATTATGAACTGATAGGGAGATTGTAAATTGAAAACTTTTACAGTTTTTATTTATTTATTTTTTTAATGTACTGTATGATGTGATGCAGTCTTATGAAATGGTTCCACCGCATGTTAAGATAACAACTAGTTTTGTAGAGGTGCAGAATAAATGTTTCGAGGAAGAGAATGGGTGTGGCTTTTGGACATGCTTCAGTTTCATTGGTATGAATTACATTTCTCAGTGCAAGGTATTGTAGTCGACTTCTGTATGTGGTGTTTGAAAACTGAGCAAGTTTTTGATTGATTTAAGTCAGTTTACTCCATTTATTTTTCACTGTTTTGTTTCTTCTTTTAAAATAATTTCGTTTGATTTTTGTCATTTGCAACCACAAGACTCCTAAATGCAAAATTGTCGAGTCTAACATCTCTAATTTACTCTGGTTCAGTTTGCTTCTTGCTAACTGCAAAAGTTTCCTGAAAATGTAACTGAACATGACATAGTCCCAAGCATGTAAAGTACAAAAATGGAGCTCTCCAACATGTAGAATTGTGATTTCACTTCTGTTCTTTCTGGCAGAAGCTTTTTCTGTAGGGCGTCCGAGAGGTTGCTAAGATGTTAGGTTTAGCCAAGGCAAAGTTCCCATTGTTTCTTGAATATTTTGTAAACTACTTTCGGTCTCTTAGACGGGAATCTTACCTCAGTAAGCGGCGTCTGGACTGAAAAACTGGCCAAACCGGCTGAACTGAAGTGGTCAGTTCGGTTCGGCTTGGTGTTCCTTTTTTTTAAATAATTAAATCAATGAATAAACTGAACTGAACTGGATCACCTGGATCGGCGATTGGTTTTCAGGATTTGTAAGCCGTTGGTTAACGGGGTAAGATAAAGATGGGTCACTTTGAGTTGGCATTCATTCCCCAACCCGTTAGGCCTCTTTATATTGCTTGATTTAAACGCTCTTGACGGTGATATAATTGTTATCATTCCCAACCCAAAAAAAAACATTTGAACTCACTCCACCTATGTCATGCTTTCTTCTACACAGGAGTGATACTGCCATGCTTTCTTGCATGCACTCATCACACCCACTTACTGTATTGCTGGTGCATTGTAATCTTGTTTCTATCTTTCTCATCACATAAAGTGACATAATCTGGCCCTTTTTTTGTTTTTTTTCAAGGAGGTCAATGTTCTCAAATTTCCCTTGCATATCGTTCGATTTCATTCAACCACTGCTTAACATTGTTGAAGCTCTCTTGGTCTCTGGCATCCTACAAACCCAACAACACAAGACTAATTAGGTATATATCTTATGAAGGAATTCTGTTTCTAATTCAACCAAATAACCAGTTCAATAACTTCAAATATCTGAGAAGGGTTCCATGAGCAATGGTCAAATGCTAATTTGGCAAGGGAAACAAATATAGTAAGAACATATCCAGTGAATGCTAGGCGGAGAATCAGAACTGAGCAAGCAGCTAGGACAGGTGCTATACCAGCTGCAGTCTTTTCAATGGTTTTCTCCAAAACAAAGAAAAAACTTCTCATATACATATTGAGCATTAATGTAATTTGTAAACACTTGTCTTGTGTGGTGAAATTAATCAAACAAATACTTACTGCCAGTTTTGCTCGCTCCACCTGAGCCTGAGGAGCCTGAGGATGCGCAGCACCTGGCGTGCTTTCATTCAGACATTTCCGTGAACACGTGGGGGCCCTAACTCCTGCTATGTGTCCGCCCGTACATAGAGATTAGGGTGACGCGTAAGAGCAGCTCCACCGCTGCACAAGACCCGGGCAAAAGGCCCCCCGAGACAGCCCAAATGACGTCCAGCGCAGGAGAAGAGGCCCGGGCAGGCCCAAGGGCAACTTCCGCCTGGGCTTCAAAACGAGTTTTGTGATGTCAGCGCAAAGTAATTCAAATTTTTTTTTTCCAAAATCCAACGGGCATTTGCCACGTGCCGCTACAGGGACTCTCCAATTGTTTTTTTTTTCTAGAAATCCGACGGTCCTCTTTTTTTTGCTAAAAAAATTCGAACAAATTCTGAAAAATTCTGAAAAAGTCTGAAATTTTAAAAAAAAAATACCAAAAAATTTTGTATTTTTTCCCTATAAATACCTAACCATTTTATTTACTTTCCACACCAAATCTTCATACAATTTCTTCTCCATCCAATATTTTTTACTCTCCACTCACATTATTCACTTTCCACACCAATTCTCAATACAAACTCTTCTCCTTCCAATATTTTTTATACAAATTTATAAATAAACCCAATCCTAGACATGTATTTATAAAAAAACCCAAACACTATTTAAACATAGAAACACACCCAAAATCAACAATTGTATATTTTTTGGGTGTGTTTATCAATGGATTTTGAGTGTGTGTAATGATGGGTTTTGGGTGTGTTTATAAAGTGTTTTGGGTGTTGGGTTTTTTTATAATTTCAGCCCCCATTTTGGGTGTTTTAGTGAAACTTCCTTTTTTTTACTCTCCACTCACATTTTTCACTTTCCACACCAATTCTCCATACAAACTCTTCTCCTTCCAATATTGTTTACTCTCCACTCACATTTTTCTACTACTTTCCATTATAAAAAATAAAAAAAAAAAAAAAAAAAAAAAAACAAATGGCTTCTGTCGAAGTTGGAGGCTCGTGGTCAATTCATGAAGATATTGCGTTGTGTCAATCTTGGGTGAACGTTAGTCATGACCCTATCACGGGCAATAAGATGAAGTTCCATCATCTGTGGAGCAAAAGTCATGGAGAATTTTGTCAAAGATCGGGTTCCATTCGGACCGAAATGGCCTTATCTAGTAGATGGAAACTTCTAAATAAAGAGTTAGGGAAATGGAGAAATGCTTTGACAAAAGCAAGCGATAACATTCGAAGCGGTCAAAATCTATCCGATGAGGTAAAATATTTATAATTGCCATTTTAATCAATTTAATGTAACTTTTTTTTAATTGCATATTATATTTCTTTTTCTTGCATAATCTTTTTTTTTCTTTTTGCATTTCCAATTTGTCTATATGTTCTTGCATAATCAATTTTATTCTTGCATTTCAAAATAGTTTATATTTTCTTGCATAATATATTTTTTTTCTTACACTTCCAATTATTTATTTTTAATAGATCATACAAGCACAAATGTGGTTCGGTGCCATGGGGCAAGGCAAAAAAAATGTCGTGCATTTCCAATGTTGGGAAGTTGTGAAGGATTGTTCGAGATTCAGAATTATTCCCACCGGTCCGCCGGTTGTGTTGAATGAGACGCCGCTCCACGATTCGTTATCAACCGATTTGCCATTGGACTCCCCAATGGAAACGGAGTCGCCACACCCATGTCCGCCGAGACCTATTAGGAGAAAGGCGGCAAAGGCCAAGAGAGGGGGCACTTCGACCAATGAATGTGTACAATTATTGGAGCACATAGCTAAGAACACCTCACTAAGAATGGAGAGAGACTTGAAAAGAGATTAAATGGACGTGGCACGAGAGGAAGCATTTGTTATTCAACAACAGAAGGCACAAGAAAAAGACATGGATGATAGAGAGATGAAAATCATGGCCATGGATACGAGTCATATGTCTCCCAAAACAAAGGCATATTGGAAGCTAAGACGAAGGGATGTGATGAGAAGAAAACTTTTCCATGACGACAGACCTAGTAATACGGATTGGTTAAATGATGAAAACCATTAGGTTGTATTGAAACACCTTTGCCATATGTTGTATTGTTGTATTATCCTTTAATTTGTTGTATTGTTTCCTTTTTATTCAATAAAAAAAGCATTAAATAAAATGACTATTTATTAAAAACATTTGAGCATCAAAACAAATATTAATTAAAAAAAACCTTAATTTATTGCAAACAACACACAAAACAAACCATATATAAAAGCATAATAATAATAAAAAGCATAATTCCAAAAAACACCACACACAAAATAAAGCACAATTAAAAACAAAGCACTAATCTTGACTTCATCCATTGTGATTGCCTTTCATCTCCCACAAGTGCTCAACCAAGTCACCTTGACGTATCTCGTGAACATATGAAGATTGCATTTCTTGATACCGATCAATCATGGGGTTGTTGAATCGACCATCCTGACGTAACGGTTCGGGCTCCATTGGTAGTCCATTTGGTCCAATCGGCATTTCATATATTCTTGTCAACGCCATGTTCATTGGATCATGTTCAAACACCTCTGGAGCATCGTAGTCATACTCATCCTCCACAATCATGTTGTGGAGGATGATGCAAGTCATCATAATACTCCGCAGCACCTCCTCATCTAGCATCCGAGCAGCACCCTTAATAATTGCCCAACGAGCTTGCAAGATACCGAAACACCTCTCCACGTCTTTCCTGTAACCTTCTTGAAAGGAAGCAAAGCTTCTTTCCTTCTCGAATTGGGGATTCGGAATTGTTTTCACGAATGTCGTCCACCTAGGATAATTCCGTCGGCAAGGTAGTACGCACCAGAGTATAAGGTATTGTTGATTTGGTACGTGACCTGGGGGGAATGACCTCGCAATACCTCGTCGAACACCAGGGATTAACCAAGGACATTGAGGTCATTCTGAGATCCAGCAACCCCGAAGAAGGCATGCCAAACCCAACAGTCGAATGAAGCTACGGCCTCCAAAATTATACTTTTTTGGCCCTTCCGATTCTCGTACTCTCCTTGCCAAGTAGTAGGACAATTCTTCCACTGCCAGTGCATGTAATCGATGCTTCCAATCATTCTTGGGAAACCTCGAGCCTCGCCTTTTTGTAGAAGCCGTTGCAGGTCCCTTGGCGTGGGTTTGCGAAAGTACTCCTTTGTGTACAAATTTTCCAATGCATCACAGAATCTCACCAAGCACTCTAGGATAGTAGATTTTCTCATCCTTGCAATCTAATCCACCTGCTCTGCAGATGCCCCATAAGCAAGCATCCGCAAAGCAACTGTAAGTTTTTACTCCGGGATAAGACCCAAAGCTCCAACAACATCATGCTTTTGAATGAAGTATGTGTTGTAATTACAAATATCATGCATGATTTTTTGGAACAAATGTTGCTGCATTCTATATCTCTCTCGAAACTTAGAAGCATGATATAACGAATTTAGAATAAAATAATCCTCTATGAGATTCTTACTCCGAGACTCCTTACGTCTGTCCACATTCGGGGCACGATGACGACGGTGTTGCCTTGATTGATCCATCATACACACCGCTGCTACAAGCATTTGTCCTTCTTCTTCATCGGCGTCCCGATCTTCTTGAGCACGTCTACGCCAGATTTCTTCCCTTTGTTTTTGTTGCCTCTCCAACACCCTCGACAAGTTTGACATTGAGAGTAGAATGTGTTTGTAAAATCTGAGAAATGAAGGAATAGATAAGAGATGGTGTGAAAGGTATGAGTTGATGGTGTAGTTTTATAGAGGGATTTAGAAGATAAAGATGACACGTGGCATAATTTTAGAGGATGAAAATCTTATCTAAAATTATAATTTTTAAAAAATATCTGAAAATCTTATTTGACATGGGACACGTGGCACAATTTTTTAGGGTGAAAATCTTATCTGAAATATGAGATTATATATATTTTTTAAATATTTGAAAATCTTATCTGACATTGGACACGTGGCACAATTTTAGAGGGTGCAAATTTTATCTGAAATTTGAGATTATAATTTTTTTTATTTAAATATCTAAAAATCGTATCTGACATAGGACACGTGGCACAATTTTAGAGGGTGAAAATCTTATCCGAAAATTTAATTACAAAAGATTATCAAAATTAATGGTTTAAAGTATAAAAAAATAGGAAATAAAGTACAATGAATAGTAATTGCCTTAGACTTGCCCTATACTTTGTCCTCATGGGTGGAACCACAAATGCAAAGGCTGACACTATTCATGTGAATAGTGGCAGCCCTTGCTTGCCCTTACTTTAGACTTAGCCCTTATGGGTGGAGATGCTCTAATGGTTATGTGAGGAGAGAGATAATGATAAGAGTGCTTAAAACTTTCCTTGTTCTATGGGATGGGACAGTCTAGTTACATTAAAGAAAAGGATAAAATGCATTTAGGTCATTGTGTATTTCATTATTGGTCTCTATAACTTATTTTTTTCTCAATTTTGTTATGTAAGTCATTTTTGGTCATTGTGGTAATTAATTAGATAGAATTCAAATTTTTAATTTATAAAATACAATAATTTAGTATCAAGAAAAATGTTGCGGGGATTGAAAAATTGTTTTATAAACTAGTTTTATTTTTACCAATTGGTCTAGCCAAATGAAAAAGACCTAGGTTATTTTCGTACCTATTTGATAGAGAAATTCTATCTCAATTTTTTTTTTAGATTTTTACTAAGCTTTGGATTTCTTGTTGGAGGTCCAATTCAAGGTTATAGACATGATTTTTAACAACCCTTGAGCAATATTCATGACTTTAAACGAGTTTTTATTGTGATTTAAAACTAATTAGAAAAAAAAAATTGAAATTTATTTTTAAATTGCGTATAGAATTAAACACAATAACCAACTTAAGAAAAATAAAATAAAATGACGGTGACCAAAATTCAAACAAGGCAAAACAATTGAACTCAATTAATATATCGCATCGTAAAAAAGCTAGTCTCTACTAGTCATTCCAGCACTCGACTGGTAGCTTGATCATCTGTGCTGCCATTTCTTTTCTGCTGGAAACGGTTCTTTTCTCACACTCTATTAACAGCATATGAAATTATGCACATGATACTGAAAATGCCTAAAATTTAAATTTGTTTTACAGTATAGTCTTTCTACTTTACCCGTTTTGTTGAAGCCAAATATTCTCTTATCACTATTTCAATTGGGTTCGGACAACGCCCTCCATGCGTTTGACGAAATGCCGCATTTGAATCACCCTTCACAGAAATACTGAAACCCAATTTTCTTTCATCTTATTTTTGCTTTTCTTTGATGATTTCCAGGTTCGACTGACTTCAGCACTTAAGTCTGTTTTGGGTTTTCGTCGTGGAAAGTTAAAAACAAGAAAGCAGCCATGGATGGTATGTGTAAAAAACTGCTTCCTTGCTTTTGCGTTTATGTGCGTTCGTTCTGAAATTTTTACTTATGTGTTTTGTTGATGAAACTTAAACCTTAATATACTGCGGTAACGGTCTGATTTCCCCCACGTTGTCTCAGTTTTTTTTACAATCAAGATGGTTTCAATCTTATTACCTGTATAAGTAGCAATATGTTGAGACTTCAGTTTACATGGCTTATGTGATGCTTACAGAATTTGGTTCTTGCGGCTTGGAAATAAGTGTTGAAGAGCCCAAAAAAAAAAAATTTAAAACAAAAAGAAAGGAACTCTTAGGAATATACATCTACAAGGGCTTGTTACAATATTAATTTATGAACTGATGAAGAGTTTTTGAATTCATATGCCCAGAATCAGCTAATTGATAACGTCTTTACCACTATCTGATTAGTGATTATTCTCAATTAGTAACAAGCTCTTAATTTGAGATTTACAGCTTAATCTATTGAGATTTAAATTCTTCATGTCCTAACTTTTCACTTTATATTTTTTCTTCTGTTTTCTGTTGATGAGAATGACAAACATTATTCAACCCAAAGATATATTGTCTGAATTTGCAACTGAGTTTTAATGCTTTGTTATTACTTTTTGGTCTCCAGTTGATTCACAGCCAACTATGGAGGAAACTATTTTGGTAGGCGATGATCTAATGACGGGCCCACCATCACCAGTTATTCCACCAGAAATTGCTTCTCATGTGCTTGAAGGTGTTGATATGTGTGATGGGATATTGAGGAATCTATTTTTGTGTAAGTTCTGTGCTATTATTTCTGTAAAGGGATTTTGAGGAATCTTATTTTTTTTTCAAAATTCCAGGAGAAAGTATTTCAAATGCATAGTGTATACTGTATAGGCCATCCCTGTGTTAATAACTGGAATTGGGGATATTTGTTGTTCTTGTCATAACTCCAAAATTCAGTACATATGAATCAACTGCTTCTTTCCAGTCTATGTCAAAGGAGATATACACATGACCATGCTAAATGTTGATTCGAACTTGTGGTGTATTCCCCTTTTATGCCCTAAGATCTAAAAGGAAACATAAGCTGAATCAGTTTTTGACTGTTAGAAAAATTGTCAGAGATTTCTTTGATGATAAAGTACTTTCTAGTTAGAACAATTCTGCCACAACTTGTAGATCTTATCTTGTGTGCTTGAACCATAAATTTTTGTTGGTAGGCAGTGTATTGTAGCGATTTTTCTATGTACTGCAGGTCTGCAAATCAATGATATTGAGCCATTCTGTCAAGATGAGCTTGTTATGTATAAACAGTGCGCTGAAAAAAGGGTGAGATGTTTACTTTGATTTTCTTTTTTGCATCTCGCCAATGCTTATTTCTTGTATCGAGGTATGACCAAGTATTTGATTTCTGCCGTTTTGGTTTTGTTTGCACTGAATTGCAGGATAGGGAACTAAGGAAACGACTTCAGGACAGTGAGCACAAACTGGGGTTATCAATGCCTTTAAATGAAGCAAAGGAAAGAGCTTCTCAGCTCGAAAAAGAGGTCACATCATTAGATAGGTATGTTCTGAAATGATTAGTCATGTGGTAGAAGTAGTTATTAACTGAAGCTCCATTCAGCCTTTCAGCCTTAGTTTTTGTTGTTAGTAGTCTTCCAATATTGTATTTTTTCTTCTTCTTGAAAATATCTTAGTTGATTGCATCATATACCTTCTTATTGCCTCTACCAAGTCTAGAGTTCAGTTCTTAATTATGGTCCCTTGATTCATTGTCATTACATGCTTGTGGAGGTTGGCACCGTACATATGCCGACAGGTTTATAGTTATGTAATTTTCATGGTTAGTTTGATCACTTGGTGCACTGTTTTTGCTGCAGTCATGTTTTAGGGGTTCACAAAAAATTTCAAACTGGAGTTCTCTGCAACTTTTAGTTCCAAATATTATTTTCCTGCTTGTCTGCCTAAGATGTACCTTTCTCCAAGTTTTGTGGACAAGCATTGTGGAGACATAATGACCTAAAAGTTGCATAAGTACCTTGCCAATGTAATGTTTGAAATCCCAAACAGTCTTTTGGTCACCCAGTGTTACGGGTGATTTGTGTTGTTGTCTTTTTGGTTATTAGAACCATAATTGCTTTGGTATCTTGCCTTCAATATATGATGCATAATCATTAATTATCGTTGAAAATCATTCTGCTTCTATAGGCGCTTGATTCTTGCTAGTGGACTTGAAGGCATAGAAGGTTTTCGGCAGAGATGGAGTTTGCACGGTCGCCTTACAGATACCAAGTATGTTATCTTGCAAATAATTGCATTTTCATGAGCAAACTTGAAATTGAAAGGCTTTTTTATTGATTCCCAAGACTTGATTGCTCTCTACTGGAAGCATCCAGAATATTAGGGTGGTAAACCACTTATTTGGTTTATTTAAATAAATTAAGACAGATATGTATCAGTACTACCAGAAACTATATAGCAACTCTTCTAGTTTATAGGTACATTTGAAAACTGGGTAGTGTGGAAACTGCGATGGCCCTCCAAGCTTTAACTGCCACCTGATGTCCCTCCACTCTACTAGAAGTTTTCTAGATTTCCTTTTTCTTTCTTACATGTAAAAAATTTCAGATAATCAGATTGACATAGATTTGTATTTTATGAAATATAATCCGTTAGTCATGCAGCTTTCCAAATTTTCTTTTTGTTTTCCTTTTAACTAAAACTGGAAATTATTCCTGCCTAATTGATTCATATTTGATAAGCCATCATCTGTTTATCTTTAACTTATGCATGGACCTTCATCCTCCATCCTCCATCGCATTGCAATTTTTGCTTGTGATCTTTGACCTGCATCAGTTTCTGTGCAGGAAAAGGTTGGAGTCCTTGAAGCAGGGAATGGAGACCAGGAAAAAGGACTAGCTCGCTGGGCATGTGACTTTAGTAATATGGTTCTTCTGGTCAAGTGTCATGCTGCGTGTGTGGAAATGGACCCATCCATATGCCTGATATGGTTTGGGACGTAGTTTAATGATATACTCAGTTTCGACTTTCCTTCCAAGAATTTTTGAAGTCTCAGCTCTTCGGTGATTTGCTGCATAATGTATCGTGTTTCGTGTCTCTTTAAAAACCACAATGAAGTCTAATTGGAAATTTGATTTTATCACTAGCAGGGTTCTCAATCTTTGCACCCGAATGAAGTGTTGGGAAGGCTATCATGATGATACCAATTTGATCACGTTTTCACCCAATGTCTCTTTATTTTTCCTTTAACTGAATTTCGTTTAAGTATCAACAAAATACATATTATGTAGCGGACAAGAATCAAGATGTACATGCATAATGGGAAACATAAATAACCAAAGGGGTTAAATACCTTTTTGGTCACTGGAATATCTATAAATTGTTAGACATGGAATACGTATTTTGGTCACTGGAATATCTATTTTTACTTTAAATTTGTACATGCAAATACTATACATAAATAACAGGTACACTTGCTAGGTAGACATGGAGTACATTTATAAAACCAATTTAAAGATATAAAACATAATAAACAAAAGGGTTAAATACCTTTTTAGTCACTCGAATATCTATAAATTGTAAACTTCAGAAAACATAGTGACCAATTTGGCTAAATTTTTTTCTCAATGACCAAATTTAAATTTGTGTAAAATCTAGTGACCAAAAAAGTATTTAACCCTAAACAAAATGAAAAGAGTTACGCAAATAGTTATGTTAATAAGAAAAATTACTATATGCACATTTATAAATATACCTGAAATTATTACATTCGTAGCCTTGTAAAGACAACATAAATCGTTTAGATGTACAGAGAGGGAAAGTAGAGAAATACAAGGCTTGGTTGACAGTAAAGTTGATTTGAATTTTCACATTATTTTTACCATTTACAATATAATCAATTACACGTATTATGTACAAGTGAAATGATGGCTTTCCCTTCCCTTTGCCCCTGTCCTTCAATGGCAACCGCAAATAATCTATCAGTTTGTGATAAATAGATATGGAAATCCTCTATTGGGTTTAGTACCTCACCACAAATTGCTTCCACATATATCTCACTGAATGATAATCACTTCTGCTTCATGCATTACAAGGCAACTTCAAACAGCAAGAAATTTTAGCGGCCCACCAAAATGAACTGAAAAGCTCAGATTAAGAGTGATCAACTTCCAAAATCCATTCAGTGCACTCTTGGAGAAGTTGGAATTTCTGATGAATGGCAATCTTCCAAATTAACTCCATCTTGCTACGGAATTTCGTTGCATCCTCCCTGCATTTATATGAGCCAGCACATACACATTGATCCGCTAAGTGTGCAGCTTTCACTTGCTTACACCTAAGGCATACCAGATCCTGTAGATGGTAGAGGCGCTCTCTCTGCCGTACAATCTGAAGAAGGGCATTCTCCATGACCTCTCTGTCATAAGGCTGCCCGCATTGCGGCACAACACAGCGCCACTCCCCAGCTAGTAGAGCTGAGTCACGGCACACGTCCAGGTCTCTACAATCGTTGCAGTAGCTGCAGTAAGAAAAGAAAAAAGGTAGTAAGTGGCTTGAAAATTTTGATATTATTAATGGGATGCTGGAAATCAAAGAAAACTCAGAAGCACTTTTTAAAATTCTTAACAAGTTTTATGACTAGGCAATGCATGAGACCTATTAGAAACCAAATTAACAGTGCCCTCTGTAAAATACCCCCTGTAAAATATTATAGGCCATTGTTTTTTTACTTTTGTACCTGCAAATGACATTTGGTAAGGTGAAGAATGCACAGGGATCACGAAACTCGGCTTCAGGTGCAAACTCCCTCACACGCAAATATTTCAACAGATTCCTTCTCATTACCTGTAGAATTAAGACATAGGAGCAAAAGCATTACTCGCTGACAATAACTAATATTGAACACCAAAACATACCTAAGGTTGGTCAAAATTAAGGCAAGAGTGGGTTGAAAAAGACAAGTCAGTGGATCAAAAAAGATGAGTATAAGGTCTCGTGTTAGAGTGTGTGTGTGTGTGTGTGTGGGTGGGTGGGGTAAGACGAGGGGAAAGTTTGTCTTTTCAGTAAATAGATGCGAAAAGAATTTCCCTAAGATTAAAGAATCCAATTGTTGTGCAAATGTCACTAAGACTGGGCATATGATTCATCAGGACAAGTAAATACCATAACGTCATGGTGAACATTTTGGTCAAGAGAGAAAACACCGCAGACATGCTTAATGAACTCCAGCGCTGCATCCCCTTTGTGGATATCACCAGCGAGTTGTGGCAGCCCAGGAGATGTGTGATGGCCATCCTCAGATTTGTTCAGCTCCTTCATGTGAAGTATGGTATCATGAACAATTCCCAGAAGTTTATCTGTAAAGTATGAGCTGATCTGTCGAACATAAACCGGAACTCCGTAAATCAAATCAAGTACTAACATAAGAGAAGAAAACAATAAGTTGAACAAGAATTGCCAAATATTATCATCAATCATACCTGTCCTTTAAGAAAATCTATCATATGAGACTCAAAAGTCTCAGCAGCTGCAACAGTGATTGATGGCGTGCAATTGCTTTCATTCTGTAAAGATGTTCTGACTGCTGCCTGCTTTTGTTCATAATCCCAGGGAACATATAAAAACTGAGAGACAATATAAACAAAATGGTCCTGCAAAATACCAGAAAGATGATAGAAAATATTAGAAACCTGCAAGATCATGCAGCCATCATGATTACTGCCTGAATTAAAATCTAAAGTGTGATTATAATTATAGTTATGTTCCTTACGCACGCAAATTTTGGCAGATTTATATTCTAACCTGAATTTTCTTGGGTAAGTATTCAGCGATATTCCAGCTTGATACAATATCCATTTGAGCTTCACCATGCATGCTTCCATCAGCTCTTGCCGGAATTCCACCATAGTTATACTATCATAGAAAGCCATGGAAACTCAGATTAAATAAAAAGAAGAAAGGTAAGGTGACTACAAAATGGTTCAAACTTGTTACTTGAAGCTTTAAATGAATAAAATTAAGCTATCTAGAAAACTTAGAGTGATCTAGTTGCATTAAATGTTCAATACTTTAATATCCCGAAGTATATTTAATGGTTTCCATAGTAATTCCAGATTTATCTGTCAACATGACACACAATATATGAGGTGTTAACAGCCCCCAAAAAAATAGAATGCCCCCTAATAATGGAAATTCGTGTCAGTTACGTAAATTATTTATTAGTAATGAGTATCATTAACCTTATGTAGATTAATGGAGAATTTTCAAGTGAGGATGCACTCATTCAAAACAGAATGCGAACATCCTCCTAGGACTAAGTCACAATGCAGTTCAAAAGTCAGAACTGTCTTCTTTAGGTCCTTCAAGGGCCAATCATGAAAGATCAGCCACATCAGAAACTACTAGGTCATCTACATTGTGCCGACCAACAGAGTCGGTCACATCAAAATGAAATTATATGACAATTTTCTATCACATGGATTGTCTTTCAAGGAGAACCTAAAAAATGGATAGTTCTGATCATTTGATTGCATGCTAGAGACAGGATGTTTGCACTTTTCTTAAATGCAAGCATCCACACTTGAAGCTTTCAAGTAAATTACAAAAATTGATAGTTTTCCTTCCAATTCAAATATCCCTTGGTTTGCAACCAAAAAGTTTTTATATACATCCTTCTGTTAAAGTAATTTGTAATTATAATTGCTAAACATTTACTTCCAAAAGCTTTACAAAATTAATAAAATTAAAGTGTGAGTGTGTGTTTGTGTAAACAAGAAGGAGACGAAGAGAGAACAACGACCAAACCTGATCCATGAAAAGCAGGGAATGCCAGAATTGCAATGGTTCAAGCTCAATCCACTCAAATAGTTCTCTGCATATCAAACACAAGGGATTTCAACAAGAAAGAAGAAAAAGTATACAAACAAATGTTCACTTCCCAGACAATTTCACAACATAAGATGCTTATGTTGCCAGATTGTGAATCTGGACCACTGAATAGGTTGATTGTTATTGTGCTCCAGGTTCACAGTTTGGGAAGAAAACATTACCTGTACACACGCACACCCCTACAGAGACAACTCCTAAATGAAAACCAACCTTGCTTGCAGTGTTTTAAGCAAGCTATCACAATAAGCTTTGGCTCCTGACAGATCAAACTTTCCTGTGTCTATAATAACCTTGTAGAAATTCGCAAATATAATCTTGGCACCCAATTTGCGGAACTCGATCATTAAAATTGCAAGCACCTTTGACATGACCTATTGAAATTTAACAGAAAGAAACCAAAAACCAGTTGATTAGGCCCATTTTCAAACACAAAATAGATATATTTGTCTAATCATCAAACTTTGAAAAGAATAAGAACTATCACTAGGCCACTTAACTATTGTGAAAAGGCTAATATTATTTAGTAAACGACATATCTTGCGTTGCAACCCTAATTTGATCCTAAAATATCTATACAATGTTTACAAACAAAAAAGTGATGTTATAAAAAAAACTGTTACCTTGTGGAGTATGCGGTGAAGAGCTGGATCATGAAGTTTAGACTGGGGGCTGCATTATGAAGGAACCAACAAGTATATGAGTCAAAATTAGAGGTGCATTAACAAGAGATGGGAAACGGCCTTCGGGTTGAAAACAAGAAGGTATATCCAGTAAAGTGGGAAGCAGTTATTTTTTTTTTATAGGAGGGACAGCAGTAATTATATGAGACAAAACAGGAGTTGTATGAAACAAGAGACAGCAACCTGCAAAGCCATCGATATAGATGCTGCAATAGTGCATCAGCATACACATTTCCAGATGTTACTGCATTTGCAAGACACCTCTGGATCAACTGTTTCAAGACACGGAGGGTAGGTGCACATGAGGTAGCTTCATCAAAGCCAACATGTAGATCAGACGTATGTACTCCTGAGTTCACATCTGATTCAAATCCTAGCAAAGCACCTCCTTCCATTTCATTCACCTGGTTGCTTTTCAGAAGAGCATTTACAGCCAGATGATGTATCTGCATAGAAACATGATGCAAATTTTAATACAATTGTCAAATTATACAAACTCAGGAAATAATTGGTTGACAATATTCAGAACCTTTAGCTCCACAGTGACCTTCCTATATGCTCCCGGGAAAGAAAAGTCATGTTGATAGACCTGTTCCATAAAAGGCACTCATAAGTAAACAGAACAAAAAATTAAAATTTGCTTATTGAGAGACATTTAATACTGAATTAGTTAATTCCAAGATTAGAAGAGATGGATCCCAATTTCTTTTCTTAACACCTTAATGCCCTTGTATATTTAGTTGTTAGTTTGAGACTAACCTCATCGGCAAAACATGTATCTTCATCATTAATGCCTCCTAGATCTGGAATACCATCATCAGATATCCAAAGCACCTGTAACAATCAACATTCAAGACTCAAGGACGAGGGAAAGTTGCAATGAACCATGTAATGCATTATATAATCGAAAACCTAACATTTACAAGTGTTACACAACCACAAATGATGCAGGACGCATAGGACCTAAATTTATTGCTTCCTAATGTATTTGTTAGTTTTCTAGATTCTCTAGTTTTCCCAATTCTAGTAGGATTTCTACTTTTCCAGATTTCCAGATTTCTAGTTTTAAGTTTCCTATTTTATTTGGGTTAGGATTTCAGTTTAAGCAAGGGATTTTTATCCTATTATGTCTAGGTTTTAGTTTTCTATAAATAACCCCATGTAATTCTTTAAAATTCAGATTTGAATGTTGAGTAAACCTTTTCCTAGAACTCTCTGATTTCGTCCCTTCGATCTATATTTCTTCTCCTCGATCTCCGATATTCTTCTTTGTTCTACTGCTTCTGTCCTTTATCTCGTCTTTTCGATCTCTATTTCTTCTCCTCGGTCTCTTATATTCTTCTCTGTTCTAGTGTTTGAGTGCTTAATCTAATACCTACGGGCTGTACTACATCAACAATACTCCAGAAACTAATACTCTCAAAAGCCAATATTTATTACACTAGCACACTCTCATGTACAGCACCATCCTGCACATGGAAAGGAAGGTACAGCCCCACCCTGCACCTTAAAATGAAAACAACAAGAAAAAAAGGAATGGAAAATTGGCATGGAGGTTTAGAATCCCGAAGCTCTGACAAAGCAAAGTATTGATACCATTTTAATTCAACTATGGGATCCCAAAAGCTTAAGTTGCTAGGGAATAAGTCAATAATGTATATCAAGCTAACAAAGATCTAAACCAATGGTCTTATCTTGGACAGATCTAAATAACGCTCCAGTGAAAAAGAATACATGGCCTCGACTGATTAAACCATCCAAACAATGTAAGAGCTTCAGTCCTACTGCTATGATACTACTTACATCTGAAAACTCAAAGATGTACAAGATATTAGCTGAAAGAAAAACCTGTTGCTGATCCCGTAGTGCTCTTGAAAAGAAGATATCTGCTGCATGTATAAGCCAGTCAAGTTCAAAATTACCCAATGGTACCTGCACCAATAAGTTTGAGAAATTGATTTATTTACTATTAACAAACAGATTAACAGAAAAATATTGTTGGTATGGAAACAAAGTTAATACATGGGCATATCTTGAGAGGGAAATTCTCTCCCTCAACCACTGAGGTGATGCAGCACAACGTTGCATTCCAATTTTTGCTGCCACTTGTTGCCACCCAAGAACCTGTACGAAGCAGTAAAATATTTTGAATCAGATGCTTAATAAAAATAGAAAATGCATGTGAAGAGTGAAGGTCTATTAGGTCTAAATAGACTACCTGATAGTTACTATCGCGAGCATTAGAGGGAATGCTCACACAAGGAAAATCATCAAGAGCTCCTATACTCGACTTCATCAACTGAAAATTTGGGCATTCAATAACAGCAACTGTAGGTCCATGATGTTCATGTCTGTCAGGCATCAAAACCATATAAGGAATTAACCAAGCATCTAAACAAAAAAGGGCATTATTTCCATAATACACTGCAAGAAAATTTGCAACCTACCCAGTTGAATATCATATAAATATAGCTCCAAGTGGAAATCTTGAAAAACGACTTTTAAATAGTACGTGAAAGATAATTTACAAATGTTCTGAAACAATGAGAAAACTTGTGCATTCTCTGATCAATAGAACACTGTCTTACATGCAACTTTAAAACATAATTAACAAATGACTTGTGAAGACAAGCCTACACCCACAAACAACGGTGCATTAGCAACATTGTAAACATAACTAATATTAGCCCTTCACTTTGTCAGGGGCAGTATACAGTTACTTCGGGCCAAATCAGAAAATATTTCAAATTTATAGTGCCCGCAAAACCTATCCTTGTGCATCAGGCAGAAACTTCAATAGGAGGCAACTATCTTGGATTAAAAAAAAGAAAAAAGAATTGCACTTTAAATAGCACAGCGACAATTTTTTTTTAAAAGCATTGCAACAATGATAACCAATATGGAATCAAACCTGTGCTCATTAATTGCACGGTGCAAAATCATTTCAGCATCCTTGGGAAATCCAACATAGTCAACCTAAAATTAGTACATAAGAAAAAGAGGACAAATATATGAGCCATTGAAAGTGGAAAAAACAGCAGGAAATTTTCACCCCAAAAAACTGACAAGTTCACCTTAATAATGATACCATTCCTCGGGGGTTGCTGAATTGATAACGCTTGGCAAGCTTCACGAAATTGTTTCTCAAGAAAAGATGCTGACAAATCTTTATTTTGATAAGGATTTACCACCACAACAGTTATTGTTCTTGACGCAGGAAAATAGGCAATAAATATAGCTCGCCCTTCAGATGTGCTGACATTAAAAACATTAACATTAATGGCTATATGTTCTCATGTGAAGGCTAAGAGACTATCGAAATGATCAACAAATTAAATTTATTAATTTACTACTCATTCCAATATCAGATAAATTTTTGTAGGGATAAGCTTAAAAAGAAAAAGAAAAAGAAGTTGCGTTATTAGCGCTGCAGAAATGTATGCTATGTTGCATGTGAAAACTGTAAAAAATTGTTTCCTAAGCCAAAGTTCAGCATGGAAAAAATGCTTCATAACTTCATACAATCAAGGAGCCAATTTACAGGTAACATACAAAAAAAAATTACCTCTGGTACAAGTAAAAGAAAGAGATCGATTCGTCCAGATATGTGCACTCAGTAGTTGTCTTCATGTGCAGTTCACTCACACTCCAACCATCCTGGACGTTTCTCTTCTTAGCAGTTTTATCCACTTTACAGACACAACCAATCTGAACAATTGCATTGAACTCCAAAGGCACCTTTGTTTCATATATTCCCTGAACAAAGAATTTGAATCAAGCTGACATGTATCAAGTAATCACTATAACATAGCTCTTATTTAAAAAAATGAATCATTTATTGAATATGCAAGTTCTTCCTCCTCATCCCAACAAAAAAACAAAAAAAAACAAAAAAAACAAAAAAAACAAAAAAAAACCCAAGAAGTAATGATTCTAACTATCTTTCCAAACTTCTTTCAAAATCATCACCAATAACAAGATTTATATGTATCAAGATAAAATTTTGAAAAATCAGTGAAATACAGCAGTAAATGATTTTGCAAGAATGCTAAAGTTCACTAAACGATTGCATTGAAACAAATCAAGTAATACCACAAAAAATGATTGTTCAAGAACGGTTAAAATGCATAGCTCTGTGCTGCAATTTATTTCCAAGAAGAGGGATACTAATTCAGAACTATAGAAGAGAAATCTTAAGCAAATTTGGTTGGAAGGCAAAGTCATAAGACCAATTCAGAACTGTAGAAGATAAATCTTCATCAAACTTTGGTTAACCAGACTGAAAAGGAAAACCAAGAAATCCAACTCATTAAAAAAGTATATCATGACCAATAGCAAAGTATCGGTAGCTAAAGAAAAAGTGTCAGTGGGATGGTTCATATGAAATTATGTACTGACCTCAACTTCTGGATCGCCAAGAAGAGCTGCAAGCTTTTTGCTTATTGTCTTAAACCGACCCTCATCTATTATAGCCTATTCACAGTCAGGAAAAAAAGAAAAATGAATATTAAACCTCAGAAGCCTCTCTGACAATAAAAGGTTAAGAACCACATTACAGCTTGAAAACAGGAAAACCAGAAGTACCTCATACAGGTTGTAGGCACGCCTTCCATGAGGAAGAGTCTTGTTGACATTCTTTCCTTGAGGTTTTTCTTCAGAAATTTTTTCAAATAGTTTTTCTATAGGTGCTTTAGAATTGATGTAAAAAACTCTTGGAACGGTAACAGGAATCTTAAGCATGATTCCTTCCACAACAACCCAAGCAGAAAATTGGTCACCCTGAGAACTGGGAACTAGTTGTAATATCTGAACCACAGAAGTTAAGCAGTGATAAGGTAATTATTCGGGGCTTTCCAGTGAAATACATGAATTGAATGAAAAATACCTGCCAGTGACAGCGTGTTAGGGCTTCTTCATTCCTCCTAAAATATGAATTAACACCTTTCCCCTGTGGTTCTTTACGATTTCTACCACCACCAAGCACCTCATTATTAGCATGGTGTGCAGACCTCGCATTATTCAATCTGTCAAATTGGACAACAATTTTCCTAAACGTTAGTTCATAGACTCCATTAAGAAAAACTGTTCTGAGCTCAACATAAGTACAACTCATACCTATGAACACAAATTAACACATACTGACAAGTGCTATAACATCATCGACAGATAACAGAGATGATGAGGTTAAAGTGACTCCATAATTGATTGAAGAGGATCGGATTTAAAGATTATATAGACTATTTTATCTTGATTACTCCCATTGAATTTCCCATTCGGAATCATGCATTTGTTCACAACCTATTACAAACGTTTATAACATACAGGTCCTGACTTGGCATTCATTTTTTAGCCTTCCCAGACCATAGAGACTGACAAACACGATTGACCCTTATGAGATCCTACGGATAATATGGGATGAAAAAGAAGCGATCTAGGTACTTGTTATACTACAAAGCAAACAAATTTTGTCAAATATACTCCAAAGCCTCAATGAAACCATAGGGTCCATTCATATATACACACAGCATATTGATTTGCTCTGGAAATACTTTTGACTTTAGCTGTCTTCTGTTAAGTGAGATATCTATCTTAATACCAGGGAGGTATTAGGCAGATTTCTAGAATTTTGTGAACTTTTAGCACATGTCAATCTGCACAAGTAAGCTTCCTAGGCCATATATATGTAGGTAAAGAAAAGTACCTTTGCTTCTTCCTCCTGTCAAGAGTATCTTTCCATTTCCTCTTCTTTATTTGAAGCCAGCCATGATAATCTACATTTCTATCAATAGCTTCAGACGAGACGGCATTTTGCTCTTGAAGCTCATTTTCTTTATTATTAGTTTGTTGTTGCTGTGAATCTATTTGACCAGCTGTCTCGACTGAATTTTTCTTGTTATTAACTTCATAACATCGGACAATTGGTCTGGGTCCATTTATGGAACTGCTTTTTCTGTTGAAGTCTTCCAAATCTTCAACAATCTCTTCATCAATCGCATGATTAGAGCCGATAGCATCACTGTTCTTTTCCAGCAAATGATCCCTGTTCAATGACCTGAACATATCAACCAATTTGCGCTGCCGAAATTTGTCGTCCTTCTCACGAACCTTCTTATGCAGCCAATCAGGATGAGCTACCCTAGGAACAGGATTTGCGACCTGAAAAAAATTCAACTGATTTCAAGTACAGCTAGAGAAAGACAGAAAAAGAGATGCAACAAACAACAGTTCACAAGCAAAAGAACCTTTTGCATTGCAGCTGGAATGGTGACAATTTTCTGAATTGCTGAACCAAGACGTTGCTTGTAATAGGACCAGTCAATAATGGATCGAATGCCGACATCTGATGAAACCTTGCACCACTTCCGTACATAAACTTCATGATTTCTGATGAGTTGAAAAACAATCTCTCTTTAGAATACAAACAAGAAAATGAAAAGGGAGCTGTTGTTGACACTTCGCAATAGTCATCGTGCAGTCTTCTTTTGTAAAAAGATTAAGGGAGGAGTTACATTTTTCCCTTGTAAAGAAACAAGAGAGGATTGCAGGATGACTACTTTGGAGTGTAAATACCAGCTCCCTACAACAAAAATAATGGCTGAACGTTACCCGCATCTGTTTCAATATTGCAACTGGAACAGCACGCTCACTTACAGGTGTGCCCTACTCAAGTCAACACCACAAAAATAAAAAATTCAGATTCAGATGACCCAGAGTTGAAAAGAAATTCAAAAACCATTAGAAAGGTGATGCCATTTTCTTTTTCTAAGTCATTTGGGTGACCTATCTAAGATGGCTAAGAGAGACCATACAAACACAGAAAACCAAATTGCAAGAGAGTCACAACTTTCACTGTTGCAAAATACTAATCCAGAAAACCTTTTATTGAAAAATTATAGATAGGATGCAAGAAAGGATGGATAAGAAGTCCATAATAAGCAAATTAAATTATCATGAGAAGGAGAAGTGCAGCAAATTATGATCAACATTCACCCCCACATCACAAAACAGACCAATAGGTGCATCATGTACAACCAACCAAACAAGAATTTTAACTTTAGTAGGTGTACCAGTCTTTCAGATCATATTATGTAGTTACTAAACAAGGGACACTTGGATAATGAAAAAATAAATTAAAAGAAGACCCCTAGGTGTCAGAATGGATTGGATTCATCGAGATACTATTAATCTGAGAAAATAAATTTGAAAACTCTCTTAACTCCCTATCATTCATATTCCCTGTAAAGGTTAAGCTCCAAGAATTAAGGTGAAGATAAGGAAGATAAAGAGGAAACAACCATGTCATGATTCAATTGTTTTCTCCTACTTTCCTTCTTTCTTCTTTTTTTTCTTTTCTTTAACTTCCGCTTATCACAATACTTGAACTTAGGGCATACCTTACCCACCCAAATGCATTACTCGCTGTTCTCTCACTTTCGCAATGAAAATAATAATCCAAATAAAGTAGTTTCCATTTACCTTTGGTTCACATGCAACTATATACTGGCAACGCAGTCCTTTATCTTTGACCATTGAATCACCGAGAAAATTAGCAAGACGTCTTGCAGTGGTCACTGCACATGACTTTTGCTCTCCATAGTCTGCTAAAGACTTGCTCATTGTGCTTGACTCTGATATATATTCAAGCAACTCACTGTCTGCAACATCCTTTCCTTGATTCTGAGAGAATGGGGGATAAAAAACAATGAAATTTCAAATAAGCATCTCTTTGAATCTTCACTTAACCAACAACTTTTAACATCCTTGAGTAAGACAATATGACAACGAAAGTCCCTCAAGTACATGCTGGGAAATATTCTAAACAAAGCAATTGCGATGAGACAATACATTAAACATTGACATACATCAAGGAGATCAAGCCAGCGATTGGCGACAGAAGCGACTGCTGAATAGCATTCCTCTAAAGTAGAACCGTGAAGGAACTTATCAAAAAGCTCGGCCTGCAAACAAGAAAGGTATTTCATGCGTGGGAATGACAAGCATTGTCTCGAATTTTCAAGAAGCACAAACATATAACAAGGAGTCAGTCTGATAACAATTGAAGAACGTCAACAATTAAGCATTTAGCACATAAAATGTCCACTTCCAAGTGATCATTTTCACTCAGAATAGCTTCAACAAGTTAGGAGTCAGTCTGATAACAATTGAAGAACTGGAATGCTATCCATCAGGCACCTCTATTGGACGGTTAAGTTCAAGACTTTTTTGTCCTTTTTTTAGGTTTTGATTGTCCACTACATATTTGTGGAAATATTACAATTTACAAGAAAAAGGGATACCTGGAAAACTTTGATGAGCTTCAGCTCACCTCTACGCTTGATCTCAAAACCTTTAAGTTCAGCAAGGGTCCCATCATCATTGAAAACAGCATATCGCTTCTTAATTAGAATTCCTTCTTCTTTAGAAGCCGGAAGAATCATAGCCTACATGAGAGAAATAGTTTGTTATCAAATTACATGAAAGCACTAGTCAAAATAAAATAAAAACATATCACTGTGTTACCTTGTAGGGTCCATCCACTTCAAATTCAATAGAACATTCACTATGAGTTGTATAAGTATTTCCAATAGGATCTGTAAGAGTCTGGTAAAAATGGTGTTGAGAATTTGGAAGGAAAGGCAGAGTTGTGCAAATAAGACAAACCAAATTGCAGTATACAATGCATTTTGCCAGAGTCGTTCCCAGTGCAATGGAAATAAACAATTTAGAAAAATGTTCCAAGCTGACCTGGTATTGATCATTTGTATTGGTCCTTGCTACATCAACGTTAAGCATAACACATGGATATGAGATAGTCAGCTTCTTCTTCAAGTCTCTGAATATGAGTTTCCCATAAATTAGAGTGGAAGGTAGCATTGCATATGAAACATAGACTAACCTATTAGAATGGAAAGTAGCATTGCATATGAAACATAGACTGTTGTTGTTTAAGTAAAATCAGTGGTCATACAAATAGCAATCTGGCTGTTATTATGGTATACATGTAACCAAGTGAATTATTAAGATGAAAATCATACTTTGTTTTGAATGTAAAGTTCTCCGGAAAAGATCCAGGGAGCGCACACCAGATACCATCTGTGTCTAATTCAAGAGGTTTTCCAATTTTCTCAACCAACAAGCGAGCATTCTGAATAATTTTAGCTCCAGTATATGTAACTACTCCAGCCATTTCCATTGAATACCACCTTGCACCCCTGGATTAACATGCAAAAGCATCACAAAAAGGTAACTAGAAGATATCACATGAACAACAGAATCTATCTTACAAGAATTCAAAGACGAAAGTCATTAAACTTACTTGCGCATGACATATCCATAAAAGGAATTAAGTATACACTTATGTGCAAGTTGTAATGAATCGTAAAGCACTACCATATCCTGCAAACATCAATAAACAAAGACATTAGAAACAGGAGACTGTTGGTAAGAATAATACAAAAAAGTGTTCAACAAGCTTATTTCCTTTAAATAATTGTCTTAAAAAAACACAACAAAATTGATACACAGAGAGAGAGGTTTAAAAAAATTCATACTTGTGCTTCCTGGATTTTTATAGAATTCCCACTAGCCTTGGCTTCAGACAACTTCCCCTTCCAAACCTTATTAAGCCCTTTGTACTCATACCTTCTATCTCGAAAGCTTGAAGCACATCAATAGAACATATGATTCAGCACAAAAGAGAAAAGAGAGCAGAAACAAAAGGAAACAAGTAATCACCATGTCGGCACAAAGACATTTTCTAATAACAACTATGTTACAAAAATTTCATGAGTAAAATCTATATATTTCCATTCCAAAGGATTTTTCTACTTAGTTCTTAGTTATGACTGCCCTTATTCAGATGAACATGCAAACTTCTCACCTGCGAACTGTGTCAACATAGAATGAATTTTCCCTCATGCAAATCCCAGCTTCCCGAAGTTCAGTGACTGGCTTGTCCACTACTCGTCTATATGCCTGTCAAAGAGAACCAAAATTAGAATGTTAGGCATTACTCTGAGAAAATATTTGATCAAATATAGTGTAGAAAATACCTTCTGACAGTATTTTTTTAGACGCTCTTTGAGCCTCGATTGCTGCTCCATTTTAGGCAACTCAAGAAAAGATTTTGACAGCTTGGAATTGGAACCATCAACAAATTCAGACTCAATTTGCTTCTTCAAATGATAATAGTCACTGAAATTGAGCAAAATGATGTCCATACACAATAATTAATAAGTCTGTTGATAACTGACCAGAAGTATAGACCGAAGAAGTATAGACAGAAGGGGAAAAGAGGAAAAGGGAAAGATTATTAAACTACACCTTTTCTTTGCCATGAATATTTCTCCACGCCAAACCCATTCAAGTTTGCGAAGACAAGTTTTTCCTGGACGGTTTGAAATCACAAGCAGTGCAGATCTCATCTGTAACTATTGAAGATGGCTGGAAATAACAACAGTTGTTATGATATACATTCATGGAATCTTCAAATGAGCAAACAGAACAGCCCCAACGACAATCTGACAATGCAAATGGGGAAGAGTACATCCTTGCTGAAAATATTGGTGCTGACCATTACAGTTAGACTATAAAATTTTCTATAAAACTTTGATTGGTTAACATGACTCCAATAGAAACAAGATAACCAGAAGCACTATTAACCACCTAGATCAACAACCCTTTTAATGGACACTTTTCTACGAATATAAAAAGCAAATGGCAGTTATAAACTGAAAAAAAGAAAAAAGAAAGATGAAATACATGAGTAGTATAAAATCGATATCTGCAATTACTGAAAGTAATTTATTAACCAACACACCTGAAGCCTATTTGTTAAAATAATGTTGGGATACATTGCAGCAACATCCAGATGATAAATAAGGGGCTTTCTTCACGTATAGGTTCATCTCGCAGCCTCACAAGCTACAAACAAGGAAAGGAAATCACTAATGAATAAATTTCAAAAAAAATATTCATGACCTTATTCAGATTTAAATGAACATTACCTCTTGAAAACTAAGTGAATAACTAAATAGTAAAAGATTTAAATCCAACGCAATAGGAAGAGGGATGTTCATTATCAAATCCAATCAAATTTGATCGGTTTCAATGAATTTGACCGACGAGAATCAGGGATTGGATCCCTAAAATCAAAATCCAACATGATCGGACCGCATGACGGATGTCCCAGTGAAAATCCAATGCAATCCTATGTAGTTGGCTCAATGTCAATTGGATTGAATCGGATTAGATCACATCCTAACCTCAGATTGGATTGGTTTGTACAACCTACAATCCAATCTACATTGGATCGGATGAAAATTGGCTACAGAATACAGAACAGTTTCGAATGGATGAAAATTGGCTACAGAATACAGATTAACAGTTTCGAACCGATGAACATCCCCAAGGAAGTTTACATCAATCACCAAAATAACCTGCAACTTTTTGGACTTGATAAATCATATAAATCATATTAAAAATAAATAAATATTTAAACATACAAGAATGAAAAAAATAACAGATCCGCTTGAAAATAAAAATGATCAGCACCTTTTCCAATATAGAACTCTTCACTTCTTCATAATTGGACACGGATTCCAAGTCCATCTTACCCTCTACTCTTATAGCATATTGAAGATCTCGATCAAGGTTGTTGATCAATTGCTGGAAATCAGAATTCTCAAATTAAGTATACAATATAATGCGATATTTAGCATTTGTAGTTGAGTAGCATTGCTAGGATCACCATGGGGAATTTTGCATGACTTTCAGGAAATATTACAAATAGCAATGGAATTGACAAGAAGTTATCCTACAGATATACACAAACAAATTACTGAAATTAGGATATAAATTTTGAGAGGATCAATTGGATTCAGCCCATTATACACTCACTACTACCAAATTTACAGGCTGAGATCACAGATTATGCACAATACAACCACTTCTCTGTTAGTGGACTAAATAATTTGTAGCAATGAGCCACTTGTTCATAGAGCAAAAAACAAATTCTGAAAAAGAAATGTAATTGATCTTTGTGTTCTAAAGACAAATCCAGTATGGCATGGCACCATAGAAAATGACCATTAAAAATGTTATAATGTGTTTCAGACAAATTGAGTCAGTGAAAATAAATCAAATTCAGTAGATGTTAATGTGGTTATGGATGTTATAGAGAATAACTAACATTGAAAATATGAGCTTCTAGTCATATGCAATCCATCAATATACAGAGATGACGCACCGATCTTTAATTAGAAGTGATGTCAAAGGAATGATAGTCCACAGTAAAAATTTAGAAATGATGGTATGCCAATCGATCAAAACAGAACAACCAGTCGATTTAAAACAATAGAAATAAACATTGGTAGTGATAAAAGATGATGAAAAACATACCTCATAGGCAGAGGCATCAAGCTTAAAACTGGTTGGAAGATCAGATCTAAACACACCACTTTCAAGGCATTCAACATGGCCACCTATATAAGTCTCACTCTCTAAAAGGTGATTTTTATAGAACTTTTCGGGGTCAGATTGGTGTTTGTTAGGGCAGATAACATTTGCCTTGTATGCCTGCATAAAATGCAAAATTAAATGTGAAACCCGGAGAAACTTAACAGCTGAAATATCTGTTTTTTTTTCTTGTAAGAAACAGAACTATTCATTAAGTTAATTGTTGAAATTGAAAATCAAGACTAGTTTTTTTTAGTAAGAGAACTGTAGAGGAGTTTTCTTCAAACAGACACAAAAAAGCATCAGCATGAGTGTATGACAACACACCTGGACCATGAGAAGCATTTCACAAAGGGTTCCACTACCCTTGCGCAAAACCTCATCCGGAGACATTGGAATAATAGTTGCAAGAGAGAAAATGAATGGATGAACATAGGTCATATACAAGTAATAAGTTGCAACAGCATCAGAGACAGAATATGATGCCATCATCTGTGATTACATATTCAACCAAATAGAAAAAGATTGTCAGAAATGTTCTTGCAAAAGAATGTACAAAAGCAAACACAACCTCAATATTCAGACGCACTAGCATGTATGTTCACAAAGTCAAAATTTAAGACAATCCAAATTCATAAAAAAGAGTCGCTCTACCCAGCTCTTGGTATGGCAACCAGATACCATCATAGTGCCCCAGCATCAGGGAATTTGATAATTTATCAGACATAAAGTAACAGTAATCACAATACGGACAAACACACCCACAATTTGATTAAACAAAGAATTTTCTTCTGTGGACTTTTTTACAGTTGTACGATCATCTTCGTATCAATCTATAGAGATAGTCTAAGGTTCAGTATTGAATTTTGAAGGTTAAACAGTGCCCCACACGAGTATGTTTCTCCAACCCCACAGTTGGTTTATACATCCACTACTCAATTAGCCTCTCTGCATACATTAAGCATGGTTCACATGCTAATCTCAATCAAGCTAGTAACTCTATACCCTACTTCATCCTTCACTGAAAGGGACAAAATCGACACTGAGACAAAAAGGAAACATTGCCAAATCAATGAACATGGGCATGTAAGCTGCAGTAGTCTCTACAGTACTTAATGTAGTTGCCAGTTCATATATCATGTCTCCCTTATCAATTATTAACCTTTTCTATCTAAGTGCCCCATGCCAAAGCATTCCTGCAAACAACTGAAAAATCATTTCCACTCATCCATACCTGAGGTTTTTCCATTGCAAAGCGAACCATATCCTCCGGATTCACCTCCAGGGGATGATAACCTAACTTTGCCTTTGTAACAGCCTGAAATAAGATTATATATATAATAGTATTATACTTTCATCTACATAACAAATACTAGGAAACAAATGAACATACTTCTTTTTCATCTGGTTTACACAAGCATAATTGAAGGTGAAGTTATTAAACCCAATACAACCAAACTATAATTAGGAACGTGTAGCATTTGTTTCCTTATAGAGCTATGTTAAGTAAAAGATTTCAACAGTCTATAATGGTACAAGATTATTTTTTTTGGCAACTCTGCTTTCAGGAGATCTTTAAGGGTCTTCTGATACAGCAGTGACAAAAAGACCTTGAGAAATTAGTGTACAACAATATAAATTAATTGCTCCATCTGTTGTGAAACCGTAATAAAGAATAAGAGGTTAACCATGAGAAATTAATATGGAACAACATAAATTTCTAAAAGAGTAACAACAGCAAACACCAATTAGAAGAAGAAGAAGAAGAAGAAAACAATGAGCTTGAATGGACAATCAAACCTTAAGGCCTTGGCTCCCTTGAGGAAGATAACTATCACGTTTGACCCAAGCAAAACAATCAAGATGGCAAGCAAATTTAGCCCGGCATTCCCCCTGGTTCTTGTCACATTGAAATCCAACCTCCTGCAAGGTCAAGAGCAGGGGGGGAGGTAAAAGAAGAGCAAAAATTAGTGCAAAACTAAAATGAGAATATCTCTGAGATCATGCAGACACAAAAAACAAAAATTACATTTTGCAATTTCCAGTAGAACGACAATATCAGTGTCACACAATCCCTTTGTGTGGTGAAATTTTTTAAGTGGTAGGAAGTACAAATATATAGATAACAACATTTTTGAGAGTTAATTCAATATTTTCATGTCATCACTATACCTAAAATAATCTAAACTGGGTGATATTTCATTATGTCTCCACTGCTTATATTGCAATATTTATACATGATGCAAATGCAGAAAGATAAATTACACATGTACACAAAAGTTATAATGATGATGCACATGACCCTGAATAAAACAAAGGGTAAAAAGCTTCACATACATGTCACGCGCAGTTAATGCTTTAAATCTATTAAGAAAAGTAAACTGTTGTTGGCACTCCAAAAAAGGCATCCTGTAGACCCTCATGGTTTTACAGAGGAGTGCAGGATGAATTTTTTGGGTGCCAATAACAGCTCCCGATAGCCAACTCTAGATCAACAATAATATTCAGAGCCCCCTGTATGTCAATCAATAAACATTAATGAACAAATGGCATTAGTATTGTTTACTTAATATTAAAGGAATAAAAATTTCCATAAGCAGTGAAGATGATAATGTTTAAGTTCCAGTCTTTTTGGTAGTTATTTAAGACGTACAACCTAGAAGTCTGGGAACACATTGTTGTTTAAGTAAATGTAACTTGCAGAATTAGCAACATACATCACTCATTTTTAACCCATGATATGCAGCTCTGGTTTCCAGGAAAGGCCAGTCGAAATAATCACCATTGTATGTGACATAAATTCCAGGCTTCACCTCCCGCATATGAGCAAACCAGTGTCTTAGAAGCTCTACCTGCAACAATGGCCATATAATTTGCAAAAGTAACAAGTAATTAGCATTCCAAAACCCCTTGTACAAACTAAACTAATCAAAATATCGTATCTGGCGGGCTGGGATGTGTTTTGTGTGTGTATGGGGGTGAGGCTGGAGTTTCTATGGATGTCAATACCTCATTCTTCACATTTGTCACCTTGAAAAACCCTTCAAATTCTGGTTTGGGAGTGTACTCCAGATCCTCTATATCATCCCCAACACACTGCAGATACAAGAAAGTAAACCTATCAATACATACATTTTTTTTTATAAGAAACTTAAACCTATTGCAGCTAAAAAGGAAATTAAACATATCAATACATACATTTAACTTCTTTTTATGGTTTTATATGAAATTTAAACCTATTAACCCTTCAAATTTCAAATTTAATACGTACATTTAACTTAGAAGTGCAATAAATAAAATATTGACGGTGAAGAAAGCAACAAAATAGCACGTCTAGCATGAAAATACAAGTTTGCAACAATAGGCTTAAATAGATGCAAAACAAATGAACAATTACTAAGCTTCCCAGTAAAGGAAAATAAAGACAGGACCTTGGCATCTTTTTTCAAAGAAAATTTTCTAAAATTCTTTCACATCCTTGCTAAATGAGAATGCAACCAGTTTGTTGGATAAAGTTGAAGGTAATTAACTCCAAAGGTCCCAAAACCAAGGACTTTAAAATGGAGCATCTAAACAACTAAACATATCTGCTGCAAACATTTATTAAAACTATGCACACTTATTTGGCAACATACAAGACGAATCTCAAAAGCTAAATTTGAACAAGGTAAGAAATTACTAGAAGGACATGAATCCTACCTCTCTGTTAATAATCAGGTAACCTTGTCCATCAACCATGTACGAAATCATCATTATTAAATCATATTCAGCATCTGGAAATTTCAAAGGTAGCTTAGTCGTCTCAATATCAAATGCACAAACATGAACTTCAGCGCGCTGCAGAAGATCTGTCCTCATCTCAAGCATAACACCAGTACTGGATACACTAACATCATACCACTGGCCACATCTTACATCTGAGTAGCAAAACAATTTGAAAGGGGTTCAACTTTTTCAAATTCAGAAATTCAAAACAAAAGATAAAGGTCTAGAAAGCGGCCAGATGTAGTGTAAATCACCATTGTCAATGGCAAAGCGGACATGGTAGGGAACATCAAATTCACGAAGATCAATAATACAATCTAGAAAATCCTGAGGCCTTTGTTCTCTACAAATCAAGCAACAAAAGAGTATCAGGATCAGGAAACAAATACAATTTACAGTTCAACGCAACAGCAGACCAACACAAGGTACCTGTTAACCAAATAAGCTATCTACAGGCAATCCAAAAGGAACAAGAATCAATAACATAACCTCACCGTTTTCCTATTATTATTGACTCGTAAGCGTCTGCAGCATCAAATTTGGCATGGTTTCTTTCGACAACGTGTAATAGGTCACTCTTGACATTCATTAGTTGTTGAACATTATCAAATGATAGCTTTAGGTAGGACTTGCGTAGGCCAGACAAATGGTTTTTCTGTCAGGGAGTACAGAAGGATATTAGAAAGCACGCATTGGGAGATATAATTGAATAAGCAATCAAATAAAGCACCACGATCATTATAATATCAGCAAAGATTGGAAAACTGAACAGCAAATCTAAGTAAACCCACTATATTCATAATATATGAAACAACATACTCAATTATAGGATGTTCAATCTTGAATTTAAATTAGATGGTGTTAGACATCTCACCACTACCGCACTTTCATGATACTATTCTAATATATAAAAAGTGTAAAGGATGAACAAACCATAACTAAAAAAATTTCCAGTTAAATGAATGTATCTCAAAATCTTGCTAGCAATTACAGAGTTTGCCAATAGCCACACAAAAAAATAAAAATATAAAGACAACTAATCAGATGCAATTTCTTTAGATGAGTCTGTAGAAATCACTTCTAAAAATGGCAATAGAAAATTAGGTTGTCAAAACATCTAGTTAATGTTGGAAGATGAGACAATAGTCCTGATGCTAGGCAAGAATATAGTTAAGCTTAAGTGCAAGAAACTAGAGAGAACATAACTGCTCAAACATATCACGTCAAGAATGGAAATCCACTGATTGAAATCTTTCCATCACACTTGATACCAAACAATCTGGTGTGGCAAAGTAGCTCAAAATATTCTAATTGGGTCCACGTTTATGTATGAAGTTCATCAAAGTAACTTTTGGAAGGTCCATGTTAAGAGATTTAGAAGCAACACACTAGTCAAAGTCAAAGTCATGTCCAATGCTTGAGGCAAGTTTGGAAACAGTCTAGGAAAAGATAATTTCATGCTCAAGTGAAGTTGTTAGAAAATGAGCCACCTACCCATATCAAGAAATGAAGAAGTAAGACACGATTATGTCGGCATGAAACCAAGTTTTTCCACATTTGACTGAATAGTAAAAGCTTTTATGTCAAATTGGTGACCCAATTGTCAGAAAAACTTGAATTGAAAGGAAATAGGCCAAGGGTGCATATCATAAAATGGAAAAGTTCTAAATAAAAAGACGAAATTTCTCATGGGTACAAATAATTTCTGTTCAAGAAAATACTTGCTAAAAAATAGGAATGAAAAGACACCTTTGAATAGAAAATGACTAAAAAAAAATGTTTCTTGGTTTACGGGTGTAAAGTAAAACATGTGGCTCAACCAGGCATATCTTGATTTAACTTGGAATTGTAGAATGGAACGTGAAAAGAGTTAATAAGGGAAAATAACTGCCAAGGATTAACAAACATTGCCAAATTTTAGAAGGTAGAGTGACTGTATAAAGCTGGTGATGGAGGAAGGTACTTACCAGATCAAGGTCTTCTTTCTCCACTATTTCAATATCAGCAATTTGATTTTCATATCGTCGTCTCAAATATGCTTCAACATCCATTTCCGTTTTCTCCTAAAATAAAATAGTCATCATCACTGTGAAGGTAACTGATGGTTGAAGGAAAAATTTCAGAATTAAACATATAAGATTGATTGAGACCTTTGAGGCTGCATAGAAATAAGGGCGGAACTTGTATTTTGACTTGAAAGCAGAACCATCCTGCAATTAAATTAGAAAATAGGTACATAATTAATCACCATAAAATAAAATTGATTATGTTAAACATCTTTATAGAATATCTTACCTGCGAAACGAAATACAAATCGACGCAACTATAAACCTTACGGGTGTCTTGATCCTCCCAAGATGACTGCAAATGTATAAGGAAGCATCCATCATTTATAAATGCCAATCATTAAGGTATTTGAACTCAAACTTACCACCATGTGGTTATACCATATCAAAAATTAACAAACAAAAACAAAAACATCAACAACAACAACAATAAAGAATAATAAAACTTCAAATTTGATGGTTCATTTAGAAACTCTAGTCAAGCAGCAGCAGGATTTGTAATTAGAAACTTCAAAGGAAATGTTAAGATTGGTAGCACTTACTATTGGTTATGGTTCAGTCCTTCAAACTGATATTGCAGCCTTAAAGTATGGTTTACATTTGGTTAAATTATAAAATAAATAAAAATTATTATAGAAGCGGATTCTAATGTTTTAGTTGATATTTTAAATTCTGGTACTACAAATATTCCTTGGAGTATTTTATCGTAGGTTAGAGATATTCGAAGACTTCTTCTAAAACTGACCATTTTGACTTTCATCAAGTTTTCCAAAAAGCTAACATGGTTACAGATTCCTTATCAAATATAGAACATAAGTATTCACAACCTTGTGTTTGGTTTTCCAATTTTCCTACTAATGTGACAATTAAAATCTACTTTGATGTACTATTGGGTCCCAAGGAGATCTCCTATGTAAGTTTTTTTCCTTTTCATAAAAAAGAAATGAAGTATAATGCAACTGAGTAGGGTAAACAAAGTTGAGTTTTTCAATTGTTTGCAGTATATTGTTTTTGTTTCCTAGAAGGTGAATATTACACCAGTAAGCAAACTAGTCAAAGAATGACAGTGGCTAGGCTTTATATGAAGCATAGAATAAATTGCACAAAATATCTAATACCAAGATAGAGATATTTCAAAAGTCAGCAAAAATTCTCACTCACATAGCCCAAGAATAATAAGAAAATTCAAGTAATTTTATCCAACTTTCCATTACAAAATGGCTCCAAACACAGCTTAAGCCTTCAAAATCCCATATTCCCCCTTTTTCCTTCGCTATCTCAGTAACCAAACAGACCAAGAAAAAACGCAGATTTCTAAAATGGAAGAACAAATGGGCAAAAATTGATTGGTACAGAATCAACTTACGGATGCGAAAGTGAGCAGCCATCCGAGCCGCTTATCGCCTTCGGAGAACAGATCGAACCCTAGCTTCGACTCGAGCTCTTCCTCAGCGCTGCGCATAACCTTCTGCTTCTTGGAGCTCCATGAGCTTCCACGGTCCCGTTTTCGGCTCTGGAAGCCGCTCATTGTGTTTGGCCTGTGAAATGGAAATCCGTCTGAGATTTGCTCTCAGACTTTGAGACTGAGAGAGAGAGAGAGGGTTTTAGAGGGATCAAAGCGTTTTCCCCGCGCTTGCATCTCCTACGCCTTTATATTATTTGGTTCCTATGACGGAAATGGCCCTTCGGTTGATCAAATTTTCGAGTAGTGCCACTGTTTGAAAGTACCATCGGATAATTTGTGGAGCCCGACTGACTTGGACTTTGGGACAGTGTCCGGCCTGATTGGCTCGGCCCATCATGAAACAAATTTATGGACACGCCTAGGAGCAGCAAGAGAGGGCTGTTTTTTGTTTTTTTTTACAAGCGATATTAGAAGAGAAGAATCAAATTAAGAATTTCAAGTGCCGGAATAAATATTCAAGTAGTTACGAGTCCCTTACATAGGGAAGCTACTTTAACGATTTTTGTTTTATACACCCAAAGAATTGATCAGCGCATCTGTAGTTTAATGGCAACTATTTTTCTTGTTTGGTGCTGAATTTGTCCCATGACAAGTTTTTATCTCCTTGTGAAAGGGCAAGAAAGAACGAAACTTAAACATTTAAAACTAAAACTTTTTAAATCGAAAAATAAAATGTAAAAGATGGTGTACATGGTCTCCACCAACTTAAAGGATTAGTTTTCAAATGTTTTCAAATTTTGTTGGATGTATTGAACAAATGTATATATTCAAAATTGAGGTACAAGTTTAGGGTTTCATAAATGTGTAGTTTAATTAGAGTTTTAATTTTTGGACTAAGTAGTTGATTCGAGTTTGGTCCACAGAGCAGTCTTGGGGAAAGATGGATTTGAGACTCAAATGCATATATATATATATATATATATATATATATATAATTGAGCAGTGGAAATCGAATTAAGACCTCATATGCATGAGTAAGTGTAGTTTTTTTTATTTTTTTTAATTTATTTCTATACAAGTCAAACTCAAGACCACAGCTTTGGATGCAACGAGAGGTTATAATGAAGAGTCCTTAATAGCCGTCCGATTCAGTGCATAATTATTATTGTATTGGATTGCAGAATTATAATGAAGGGGTTATAAAATTATTAAACGTAGAGCCGTAGACATTTTAGATCAAAGGCTTTTCAGAAGCTGCAGAGATGACGAAGAGGCCAAGGTTGTCAATGGCACTGCTAGCAATAGTGGTTCTGCCAAATTTTCTATGTGTATGCAACGCGATTGAGTCACCACAGTACTCGGTGGTTCACTCAGAATCAGACTTTGATATCAGACTTTACAGAGAGGCCTCATGGATGTCTGCTCCTGTTAAAGACATCTCCTTTGAGAAGGCCACCAGAAATGGCTTCCACAGGTACTTCCACTTATATACTCACCTTAGCTTTTGATTTTATCTTCTGGGTTTTTAGTTTCATCAAACAATTATGAATTACCACCATGAAATTTTCTATCTTTGAATTTGGTTCTTTATTTGAGTCTAATACCCCATCATTGTGATGGGTTTTCTAATTGTTTGGAACAAAAATTGTGAAATACCCACCATGGGTTTCTCTCTGAACTCACCAATTACCTCCTGATTGAGTAGAAAAATCCAATCTTTTGCCCCATGTGTTTCCTCATTGATATAAGATAAACAGGAAATCATAGCAGATGATGTTATTGATAGCTTTCTGGGAATATCGGTGTAGTTTTCTGAAACACTAAGTTTTTTATGGATAAGTAGGAAAAAATCTGAGAGGTGCTAAAAGAATGCAAAGTTAATTGAGATGGTTTTGATATTTCAATAGAAAGCATGCTATGGTGAATCATTTCTTCAAAATTATAGTTCTAGGATGCCTCTTTCTTGGGTTCAATTAGCTTGGTTATGTTTGCCGATTCGCTGATGTCCTGAAATCATCATCACAACCACCTGCGACATCTTTTAGCAATAGATACATTGCCTTCTACATGTAGATGAATCTGTTGGACAGTCTCCGTTATGTGCCGGTTGATGTAAGAAGTTGATATATGTGGATCCTCTTGCGAGTCCGGTGTACATCAATGGCCGACAGCCACTGAATTCATGGGTGACTGTCCAAAACAAAGCTTTTACGTGTACTGTTTCGTCAAAATAGAGACTCACTCACTGAAAATATATGTAGTTTTCTTGTGAACATTATATTATGGCAGAGCTTCAGGGGCACATATTATACAAACTCAGTTGGATATGCTTTTGCTAATGATAAACTTGGCTATGCATGATATGCCTTTCTTAACTTTGTTCAACCGATGGCTACCGTCTGCACTTTGCCTGGGTTATTTCAATTTTAAACTTAGATGTCGTTGGTCTATGCTAATAGTTTCCTGATTAACTCACAGGCTGTTCCAGTACATCCAAGGTGCCAATTTGAATTTCTCTCGAATTGCAATGACAGCTCCCGTGTTGACAAGCATAGTCCCAGGAGCTGGCCCCCTTCACTCATCGGCCTATTTTGTTAGATTCTACTTGCCTACAAAGTTCCAAACCACTCCACCCACACCCCTCCCTGAACTCAGCTTGGAACCCTATACCTGGGACAGTCATTACGTTGCCGTCAGGAAGTTCTCTGGATTTGCAAGAGATACTAACATAGTGCAAGAGGCGGAGAAGCTTGCTACCAGCTTGAGCAGGTCTCCATGGGCAAATTCTACATCAGAAGAAAGCAGCTATGCTTATTCAATCGCGCAGTACAGCTCCCCGTTCCGGCTTATTGGGCGTGTGAATGAGGTTTGGGTGGATGTCAATCCATCTGGGTTAGGTGGCTATAAATACAGTGAAATAGCTACGTCCTGAAATTCTTCAATTACTCAATGTGACTGTAAATTTCTGTAACAACATTATATGTGTTTGATAATCTGCATGTAATATGTCTCTGCGTTCCATTTTTTTGGAAGTATGAGCCAGTGAAAAATAGTACAACATAACTTCAAGTCCAAAAATATAAAAACATTAGTACTTCGTGATTTCCTATGTCGAGACGTGGGAGAGATTATTGACATGCTACCAAATATTTGGCGGCAGGAATTGAACCCTTCACAAATCTGTTTCACAAGTTTTTTCTATGGTATTCCTGGCATCTCCAAGAGATGAAGCAATTTACCTCAAATATTTGACTCATCAAAGTGTGTTCGATATTTTGTCACTTAAGAGATGAGACAAATAGTTATAGCAACTATTGTCCTATGTGTTGCACAGACACCAATTAGCTGAAGTGTCGGAATGTCGAAGACTCGAACACGGTCAACCTATGGGCAAGACATGGCAGGGGTGATTTTGAAATTGTTTTTAAAGAATGGCTCAAAACACAATTATTGAAACTTGGTATGATAGTAGTTGACCCTACATATGCAAGTAGTCTGCTATTATTATTGTGTTTGATTAGTAATATTCCACTAGAAAAAGTACAAATTATGTAAAGATTATGAGGAAGCAGTTCTGTATGTTTGGATTGACCTTGGAAGTTCATTTGTTGCTGCTTGTACCAAAAATGGAAAATGGAGCTTCACTAATATACCCAAAATAGGGATTGAAATTATTTATTAAAAAAACCTCACATGGAATGCACTTTAAAAACACACCCAAAATCCAATTACTACATAATAAATGAGTGTTGAGGTTCCTATAAATTACATGATTGCCATTAATTAACTTAAAATAAGCTCAACACAAAATACTAAAAAAAAACCCAAAACAAGCCAAGCAAGCCCGAAATACATTGTTAATACCATATCATAGAAGTACATTGATAATATCATGTCATAGAAGTATATCGTTAATACCATCTCATACAAAAAACTCAAAAAACCCAAAAAAAGGCCCAGCAAGACATCCGATATCCTTTGTAGAAACCACCTTTAATTGTTCACAGTTTCACCAGAAACAATCACAAAGACAAAAGGAAATACATTTACAAGAAGGATAAAAAAAAACACTGTTAATACTATGTCATAACACTATCTTCTTATGCATATCATAAACTTCAAGTGCATAGCTATATATAAAGCAAAATATAAAGCATGCTTTGTTACTGAAAATCTGTTAATATTATGCCATAAAAGTACACTGTTAATATTATGTCATAGAAGTGCACTGTTAATACTATGTCATAGAAATCATCTCAGTTGCAGGGTATGAACAGTATAACAACTATTCATACCACTTACTGGAAGTTAACAACTACGTCGTTTCATTTGCATAATAGGTACGATAAAGAACCCAAATAGTACCAAACATCAAAACCAAGTTAACACTAAATAGTGTTTTACACATTAAAATTACAAAGAACCTAGATCACTGAGAATCTAAATCCAAGAACAGTAATTATCAATTTTCTTGTCTTTTATTCAATTTTCTCAGTAACCAAACATTGGATAGCATACATAGATAGAGCTAAACAAGTCAACAATAATGAGAAAAACAAGCATAATGAATTCTAAATCTCTAATTCCAAATATTATATCATTCTAAAATAGAAAATGCAATATAGCAATGACTCATAATGACTAATTAAATATTTTACGCCAAAAACTCACTCCAAAATTCTGACTACCACCAAATCTAGCATCATCGATGCTCCAAAGAATGAAGAATCAAATTGAATCACCATATCACCATTGCCAAAATCTCAATTCAATCATACACTAAGAAAACACTGTTAATACTATGTAATAGAAATCAACTCAATTGCAGGGTATGAACAGTATAACAATTGTTCATACCACTTATTAGAAGTTAACAAATGTTCATACCACTTATAGATAACAAATTGTATACTACAAATCAACTTACCAGCTTTGATCATTCCAATACCACTATCAATAATAGTCAAGGTATTGTTGTTTTTCTCAGGGATAAAGAGCTCTGGCTGACCATCAAGCTTGCTCTTGTCAATTATACTCTCAAATCTAATTTTGTCAAGAGCCTACAAACAGAGCATGACATAATGAGCCAAAGGAAATTTAATTCAAACAAAAACATTATCGAAAAAACTTATTCTCTACATAGCTTTTCCACATCAATTCAACAAGAGACAAGAACACTAAAGACTTTTTATAAAGAAATTTGAAAAGCTTGCAAATAAACCTTCTAAGGAAATACCTGATAATTAATTATTTTAAATTCTGAGAATATTTGAAAGGCTTACCTTAGTGATAGAAAACCATTATTCTTTCTTTCAATCAGTCCTACCAGACCCGAGCCTGTGAACTTGTTTTTCTCCAAGTTTCTGCAAAGATCAAATCTATCACGGTGCTTTCTAACAAATTAAGCATTTACAGTACTTTAGACATATAACTAAATAAATTACAGGACAATCAAATTCTGGAATTCATACAAAATTTTTGGAATTGGTCCTGTTAAGTTGTTGTTTGATAGATCCCTGAAATCATGAGCAGCTCAATTCATTTACATTAAACAGAATTATCTACCTTCTCATTACATTAGCAAATGCAATAAGACCACTTACAAAGACTGTATCATTGTGAGATTGGATATAGAAGCAACTATCTCCCCTTTTAAGCCTCTTGAGGACAAGTGCTCAAAAGAGAAACCAAAAGCTATGACAGAATCAAAAATCAGAGCAAAGGAAGAAAAAATAAATTCTAGGCAGCAATGTAGTTGAAGGTTTGTACCTTGCACACGTCTCCAGATCTACGATATGCAACATTTGGCTTTGGAAGAATCACCTTCGTCGGCGTCAGCGAACAAGTGACCTGGGTTGAAAATCGGGAACACCAAATGGATCTGGTAATTTTGGAATATGTAGTCGGTGAAAATCAGCAATCTGTCGGAGTTAGTGCAGGTGAAAGAGAAATCGTCTTCATCTTCGTTCTTCTCGCACTCACCACCGGCGTCGGCATTTTGAACACCTTCGTTCTCTTCCATTTCTGGCTTTTCCTTCTCTTTATCTAAAGCTGCAGTTTTAGGGTCATTGAATTCGAAATCGCTACTATAACTAGCGACTTTGAGCTTGGAGTTGAAATATACAGAGAGCTGCTCGTATTCAAAATTTGTTCTTCAAATTCCTATCATAGCTGGCGAGTTTTGGGTCTGTTTCAAAAAATTCAAACGAAAAGGTCAAAGCCGTAATCTAACATAGAAATTAAATCCAAAAATCGACAGCTGTCGATTTTTGGGTTTATTTTGCGTGTGTTTATATACATTAAATAGTATAGGGTATATTTATAGTTTTATGTCTAGGAATGGGTATTTCACTAATTTTGTAAATAGAAAAAAGCGCAATAAGGGTTTAATTTGAGGAACTTAATTTATTTCCTCAAAAATACCCGAACTCAAGCATTTATGTCTTTACAATATAGGGCTTCTTCACTTCATAATTGGGTCATAATTTGGTTTAATTCTCAAGCCCATTATTCATCTCCATATCTGACTTTGACCTATCAAGAGGTTAAAAGGTAACGGTCTTTTCACAGGTGGCACATGCTGATTGGAGAGGAGACCAAAATAAACTATTTTTCTCAGTACTTGGAGCAAAAGCAAGGCAATTAGGTTCGATCAAGATTTAAACAAAGCTTAAACATGAGCTTTCAATGGTGCTTTATCCATTACCTTTGCCTTTTCTTCTCCAGTTGAGATTAATTAACAAAAAGACAGAATTCGTAATGATGCTATTTGAACTCAGAATTTTGTTATTTGTTCATCATCATCGGGTTCAAATATTCAGCCTATAAATAGAAAGCTATGTAGCAGCATTTGAGGACTCTCTCTCCAACTTAGACGCAACGTCTTTAAATACTACAGACTTCAACCCGATCAACACCTAATCTTAAATTGAGTTCTTAGTTTAAACAAATCTCACTCCCAAAGATCATCTCGTCGACAATTCTTGCAATCATCTTCTTTATTGCTCTCCCAAATACTTGGTAGGTTTTTGGTTAAGTAATTTGATGCATGTTAGGGTATATGCCATGCTTAATATGAGTTTTTCTTTTTGTGATTAAATTTATGAATGTGCCTAAGGTAAACACCATTCTCTTAGGGTTTTGTGTGATTGTGTGAAGTTCTCATTGAACCTAAGGTCTTTTTATATGTTTATATTTATGCCTCACGCCAAAGATAAATTTCGTTTAAGAAGAAGTGGATAATTGTTGTGACATGAGTTAATCATAATTTTGGAGAACTAATCATCAACATAACTTGGGAATTTTGATAGTATGCATTCTAAGGTTTGGATAAGAGGAATTGTGGTGAAATTGTTGTCTTGGTAAGCTTCTTTAAAATCTTTTACAAACTTATTTAGTTCACGTTTTTCTTCGTTATCTTGTCATTTAATTTTCTTGTTTTTAACGTTCTTTTAAAGAAAATCTTTCAAAACTCCTTTATTAAGTTTTAGTTGAGTCATTAGTTAGGGTGCCTGGAGTAATTTAGGATTTAAATTAGTTTATAATTCACAACAACTTGAAAATTAATTCAGTCTTTGTGGGAACGACCTTGTACTTGCCTTGACTATATTGCATTAACCTTTTGTGCTTGCAAGTTTATTTCTTGAATTTAACTATCTAATTTTTAGGTAGTAAAATTATACATCATATAGCTCAAAGGGCCGGGAAATATGAATTACTGTTGAAAGAGGAGATTCAAAGAAAGAATATGCCCAAACCGATTTATTACAAAAGTCTGATCCATAAGGTGGAAATTGTTGAGGAAATGGAAGAAGATAGACCTGATCAGATGCATGTTGAGGTGTCAGCTCAAAACTCCTATTACTTGCAAAGCACCGACCAGACCAAGCAAAGCGCAAAGGAATACTCCACCTCCTAGGGGTGGGCATGGTCTGATTCGGTCCCGTTCTCACCTCAAACTCGAACTGAAATCGGTACTATTTAACTGATTCAGTTCGGTCCAATTTAAGCAAATTTTTTTAAAAAATTGGCCAGTTCGGTTCTGACCGGTTCTGGTTCTGAACTGGATTATTAATTTTTTTTCCAAAATTTTATTATTATTATTATTTTATTTTATTTAAATAAAAATTATAATAAATAAGTTATTTTTTTGGCTTAAAAATTAACAAATGACCCAATTCATACAATAATAAATTTTTTGAAGTTGAAATTGGAAAAAATATTAATTATAAAATTTAAAATATAGCATTGGATTTTAAAATTTTGTAATAAAATAAAATAAATGCAACCGGTTTGGTTCGGTCCGGTCCAGTTTGGTGCAGTGTAAAACCAGAACTAGTTCCAGTCTAGTTTGTTGACTTTTTTGGTCAATCGGTTTTTTTTCTGATTTTTTTTCACCGGTCTGGTTCGATGTTCCTGTCCCGATGCCCACCCCTACCACCTCCCACTGGAGGATTTGTTCTCTACAAGCAAAAATACAAGTCTTATTCTTTTGATCTTTCCAAAGCAGACAGTATTTTTGATGAGCTATTAGGGAATAAAGTGATCCAGTTCAATATAAAAAAAGTCTTTCCTAAGCCTGAAGAAATCAAAGGCAAGTCATATTGCAAATGGCACAATTCTTTTTCTCATACTATTGTCAATTGTGTACAATTCAGAGATCAAATTTAGGATCTGATAGTAGAGGGCAAGATCCTTTTGGATAAGCCTGCAAGCATGACAATTGATACTGAGCCTTTTCCTACCAATATGATCGGGGTAAACTCGCATTTCCTCTCTCTATTTAGTTTTGCTTTGATTTTGCTTTGAAAGAGAGAAGAGGGAAAAAAATGTCTCATTTTCTGCAAGTTCGTTGCCTTGATTTTGCTTTGGCTTTTGCTTAGTTTCAATTGATATATCATAACCAACAAAAGTGCTTTGGCATAGAGAAAGGATTGAGTATGTAACATATATCGAGACATAGAGAAAGGAAATGCTAGTTTACATCATATGGAGATGCTTGAGGGCAACCGTCGCAAGATTGGCAACTGACCCACAAAACATTAGTTCTAGTATCAATATGGACATAAAAATCTATCGGAGGAGATCTCAATTGCAGTTTTGTAAAGTAGAGCCTGTGAAAGAGGAACAAATACCATGAAAGGCAATAGAATTAGTAAGAATCCTCCAACCACTAAAATGACTATAAAAGAAAAAACACAATACTGCTAAATAGTAGAATTGAAATTGAGCAGAAGCCAAAGCAAAATGAAGGCAATAAACCTTGCAAAAAATGAGAGGTTTTTTTCCCGCTTCTCTCTTTCAAACCAAAACTAAATAGTAGACGTTGACCCCAAGAATGATGCCAGCCTTACTAAAAACCATTCAAACAAAGCACAAAATGTGACAAATTACCCATTGATGAACTAATCAAAGCTTCCCTAAAAAGGTAACTCTACGATAAGGGTAGGCACGGTCCGGTTTGGATCGGTTTTTGGCTCAAATTAGAACCAAATTCGGTATTATTCATCCGGTTTGGTTCAGTTTGGTTTTAACAAAAAAAATTCAAAAACTGTTTGGTTTGGTTCCGGTCCGGTTCGTTTTTTAATTGGATTATTAAAATTATTTTTTTCAAACTATTTTTTAATACAAATTTCAACTGAAATTTTATTTTTTTGACTTGAAAATTAATAAATTATTTAATTTCATATTAAAAAAAACTATTAAAGCTAGAAAAGAGAGATGTTTTGAAATTGAACTTGGATAAATATTAGTTATGAGATTAAAAATATAGCATTGAATATAAATAAATATTGAAATTATATTTTTTTTTATTTGACCGGTTCGGTTTGGCCCGATCCGATTTTTGAAGACATAGAAAAGGATATGAAACCTATCCAAACCGGTCCAGTTCGGTTTTTGACCGGTTGTTGACTTTTTGGTCAACTCGGTTTTTTTCGATGCCGTTCGGCTCGGATTTTCGGTTTGCCGGTTTGAATGCCCACCCCAACTCTACGATACCATTAGAGGACTAAAGCATTCTTCCATGCCCGACTCTATCCTAGAAGTGTCAAATGGATCGAGCCGCCCCTAGCACAGTACGAGTATGGCCCACTTAAGTAAGGCCCACGGGCCGTGCTGGGACAAGGTAAGTCCAACGGGCCGGCCCATTTAAAGCCCATTTATTAAATTATGCTTATTTGAGAGAAAAATAATACATAATATTTTTACATTTATATCTTAATATCTTTCTTTTCTCTAATTATATATATATATATATTAAATTTTAATGTTTTCTTTATATATAAAATAATAATTTTATTTTTCTAGTTTCAATTTTTAAAACCCAAACAATAATCTTGCCATTTTCTATGTAAATGTACTTTAAATAAAGTTACTGACTTCTTCTTTTTCTTTTTCTTTTATTTTTTTTTATTATTATTTTTATAACTTATAATAAATCTTATTATTATATACATAATTGTAAAAAAGATTTAAATAAACTTGTAAAAAAATAACCAAAAAATGCAAAACATAAGTCAAATTTGGATGGGACCAACATAGTCTGTTTCTTAAATGGGCCGACTCTAAAAGAGTCGGGCCAGGCCAACACGGCCCGTTTGACACCCCTGTCTATCCCAAGCGCTGAGTTGACTCAACTCCACTCGGTGGCTATTAGGAAAAGCTCTCTTCAAGGTGAGGGTAGCCGGAAAACTACACACCACCACATCTGCCAGCATCATGCGCCGGTGATTAGAATTCTAGTGGCAAAGCCCATTTTTGCGGGTCTGTGTCAGAATCAGACCAATAAATCAATGGCAACAAAAGATTTAAGAGCTTAGAGCTTCCAAGAGCTGAGAAGGCTTGTAAAGTTACTATTAAACCCAAAAGAAAAGGAAGATGGCATTAGGAATTAAAAAAAGGAAGAAAAAAAACTGATTCTGGTGACTAGTGTAACTAAATATTGAAATGATACGCTTCATTCTCTCATTTGAATGTCCAGATTTTCTTCTTGTGCGAAATTGTTAGATCTATATTTCTTACATCTAAAAGGCTTGTTTCGTATAACCCATATCTTGTACACTGCTCGTTCATTGAAGCATATTAGTACAAAAAATGTTGAGGATTTAGAATTCTTAGATAGGTGTCCATGAATTTGTGAAAAAAAAACAAAAAAAAAAAAAAAAAAAAAAAAAAAAAAAAAAAAAAAAAAAAAAGATTAGGTGGTAGACTTCCTTTCATTGACAGAGGTGGTGGTTGTGGTAGTGGTGGTGGTGGGGATGGCGGTTGTGGAGGTGGAGGTGGAGGTGGAGGGGTGGTGGTGGTGGTGGTGATGGTAGAGGTTGAGGAAGAGGTGGCGGTAACAGTGTGGTGGTGGTGGTGGAGGTGGAGGAGAAGGTGGTGGAGGAAGATGTGGTGGTTGTGGTGGTGGTGGAGGATGTGATGCTAGCGGTGGTTGTGGTGGTGGTGGAGGAGGATGTGATGGTAGCGGTGGTTGTGGTGGTGTTGGATGTGGAAGTGGAGGTGATGTCATTTTAAAAAATTAATGATGGTATTTTGGGAATTAAAAAAATTCATTAAAGGCTCATCTCTGCTTTTTTTGAAAACAACTTTGAAAAGCAACCCAAACATGCTTTTAAAAGCTATTGTCAAATATTTTACTTTTACCAAACACCTTAAAGTGCTGAACTTTAAAGTGAAACAGGTTTTTGACCAAAAAATGCAATGCCAAACTGAGCCCTAGTACTATTAATTTCTGCAACAACAAAAGGACAGGAACTATCAGAATCCTAACAATTTAAATTACCTTAGAACTAGAAGATGAAAGAACAATATTACAAAATTAAATGAAATCAAAGGCTTCAAGAGTAAATACAAAATTCTCTATTCAAGAACACAAGGGTTGATGATTTAGAGTTTCCTAACAAAAACAAAAACTAACAAAACTAATCGCATAGATCTCTTTCTTGGCAAGTAGTAGAAGTAGAACCGATCTCTGAATTAAGCATAGCCAAATAATCCTTGGTGTAAAATTCTCTTTTATTCATCTCATCTAACTTACAAGCCACATTCTCTTTCAAACATTCTAGCAAACCCTTGTACTTTTTAAGTTCATGTAGTCCTAAATTTTCATCAATAGGCTCATCCCACCATACACAGACCTTTTCTCCATCCCCACCAACCTCATCTTCTTTCTCTTCTTCTTGATGGGCTTCTGAATCTTCATGGCTATCCTCAGCATCAACGGATCCAATATCCTCTTCATCATGATTGGCTTCTAAATCTTCATGACCATCCTCACCCTCAACGGGTCCAATGCCCTCATCATCATCATCATCCGTTGTACATGAAGCTTGTTCGCCAAGAAATCGATCAATGACAGTTTCCGCGGAGGGGTGTCCAAAGATGAAGGGCTTGTTACCAGGCGAAAAGGTGATAATCGCAATCTGGGCACCAGACAAGCAGCACAGGTCAGTGGCTTTGCGGAAGAGTCCCTTGCGCCGCTTTGAGAAAGTGGCCTTTAGGTAGTTCTTGTTGCTTATTTTCTTGATGTCGATCTTCCTTTTCCCCATTATAAACTGGGGAAATAAGATAGACAGAGGGTTCGATTTCCTCTATATAAAATGAATAAATAAAAGTGCTGAAAAAGAGGTTGTGAGCATATATACATACAAATTCTTAAGTGCCCTGTCAATGCTGGTTTCCTATTCTTTGGATTGTCTCCCAAGTCAACACGCCATCCTTCATTAATATTCGATTGGAAACAATTATCTACAATATTAATTCATAATTGGAAACAATTTTATGAGAATGGATTCATACGTAAGGTAACTAAAATGCTAAAATAGGTAAATAAATTTCTATCAAAAAAATAGGTAACTAATTTTGGAGTGTCCCCCAAGCGAAATATAATTTGAGTTGGGTTTCCTAAAAAATTTATGATCTTATCAATTTGTTGCAATTAAGTTTTTTTTTAATTTTTTTTATAAATAAAGAGGGGGGCAATTAAATTAATATAGGAGTTGATTTTTAGTTTTTTTTCCCTACTCAAATTGCAGAATTTGAATTTGAGTTTGAGTTTCAAATTTGAGTTTAAGGCTCTTTGTTTAATTCCTGTCAATTATCTCAATCACCACTCATCGAGTGTTTATTATTTATTTGACTTTTATTTCTTTGTTTGGTTAATTCTTTTATTTTCTTGCTCGATTGTATCCTTGCCATACTTTCATTTTCTTGTGTAAATTTTGGGGTTTGCCCCTTTAAATAACTCTTTTATTCAAAAACCATCTATCTAAGGAATCACTCTTGTATTCCTATTTTTCAACTTATTTCCAGGGTTATAAGAACCCATTCTTCATAGTCTTCTTCCACATTTAAAATATTATTCTGCTTAGGGTTTTCATCAAGTCAATTGACCTTTCTAGGCCCTGAGACACTTTGGCCGACCTATGCTACATAAGAACTTCCAAGCTTTCAACCAAAAGCTAGATATATGCAATGCCAATGGAGTCTAACCTGGTGAAAAAAGACCTTGACTTGCTGATAAGTGGTTTTAAGTTCGAACTCCTATGACATCTTAGTAACACTCATATCCCTTGTAGTTTAGACTATCGTTTGTTTTCATAAAAAGCTAGATATACAACTCATCTCATCCAGATTTCATCATTGAAAGGCATGTATGCATACAAAGTTCAAACGTTGCATATAAATTCAAGACAAATAGATCCGAATATGCACAAATAGTTCACTACTAAAAAGAAAGGATAAAAATAAATCTCACAATCATGATATTTAGGGATCATCTAAATACTAAATAAAAGAAAATACAACATTCCACATTGCAGATCTCACTCACTCGGTGTGAATACCTTTCTTTTTCTTTTTCCATTGAAAATCCAACATTCGTGAAAATAGAGGTCTAAGCTGATCATGAAAAGAAAACAAAAGGAAAAAGCATATATACATGAGATCACTTGACCGCATGAAAAGGTCCCATCTGAATTTTTTTTTTTCCCAATGAAACTCAACACTAGATATATTAATCTAAGATTACAATACAATCAGATCTTCTGGTTCCTCAAATGTACACAAAATATCTCTATAAGACCTATAAACCTAAGAAGTTGCAAGTCTCTTCGTGTAGGAAAAAACTGTTGAAGTTGTCAAAGATCCTAGTTGATAAGGTTCCTTTGTTTTAGGGGCTTATTCCCTGAACGTGCTAATAACCCTCCTATACTTGAGGGACAAGTTTGTTATTTTGTTTTGAGTTAGTAAATTACCACGACTCTAAGTTGTTGTAGTCGTGGGGTGTTATTTCACTTTCCTGTTATTGTAAGGCTATTTAATAGTCAGTTATTGTCTTTCAATTCAATAAGGATGCTTATGAGTTTTCAGTGCAATATACCCTGTGTTCACAAAACCTCTCGATAATCTAGTTAGTTTCAACATTTGGTATCAGAGCAACATCACGGGGCCTGACCAAAAAAACTTGCAAACACTGTTGCTTGTGTGAAAGAACAAGAACATGACATCCGAGAATGGCTTTGTGCAACCTGCCATCCCGAGACTCGATGGGCACTATGATCACTGGAGCATGCTTATGGAAAACTTTCTACGTTCCAAGGAGTATTGGAACCTGGTGGAGACAGGGATCCCTGCAGCCGCAGGAGGAGCTGACTCCAGTGATGCGCAGAAGAAGGCACTGGAGGAGCTGAAGCTGAAAGACTTGAAGGCCAAGAACTATTTGTTTCAGGCCATTGATCGTTCAACCCTGGAAACGATCTTAAAGAAGGACACGGCGAAGGACATATGGGATTCTTTAAAGCAGAAGTATAAAGGAACTGCACGTGTGAAGCGTGCTCAGTTGCAAGCACTTCGAAAGGAGTTCGAAGTATTGCATATGAAGGCTGGAGAAACTGTCAATGACTATTTTGGGAGGACACTCACCATAGCCAATAAGATGAGGGTGCATGGAGACAGAATGGAAGATATAGTGATCATTGAGAAAATTTTGAGGTCTATGACTTCAAAATTTGATTATGTTGTCTGTTCGATTGAGGAGTCGAATGACTTGGATACTCTATCTATTGATGAACTTCAGAGCAGTTTGCTTGTGCATGAACAAAGGATGGGTCGACATGTGATGGACGAACAAGCTCTCCAAGTTACCGTTGGAGTCCAACAAGGAGGAAGAAGTGGTGGTCGTGGCTCCTATCGAGGAAGAGGAAGAGGAAGGGGTAGATTTGGGTTCGACAAATCTATCCTAGAATGCTACAACTGTCACGAGCTAGGACACTTTCAGTGGGAATGTCCTAAGAAGGCTATGGACTCAAAGGCCAATTTCGCAGAAACAAATGAAGAAATGCTACTAATGGCGCTGGTGAATGCAAAGGAAGCTGAGATGGAACATATTTGGTTTCTTGACTCAGGTTGTAGCAACCATATGTGTGGGAAGAAGGAAGCATTTGTTGAAATAGATGCCAATTTCCGAGAGTCAGTCAAGCTGGGAAACAACTTCAGTCTTAGTGTGCATGGCAAAGGCAAAGTACGAATGGAGGTGCATGGGATTGTGCATGTGATTACAGATGTGTTCTTTGTACCTGAATTAAAGACTAACTTGCTGAGTATCGGTCAACTACAAGAGAGGGGACTTGCAGTGCTAATTCAACATGGAAAGTGTAAGATATTTCACCCTGAGAAAGGTCTCATTCTTGAAACAGAGATGACACACAACAGAATGTTTGCCTTGGTTGCACACTATCCGGCAAAGGAACAAAGCTGTCTCTCCATGACAACCACAGATCAAGCTTATCGCTGGCATTGTCGATATGGACATCTAAGTTGGAACGGACTGAAGGTGCTACAACAAAAGAATATGGTTGAGGGGCTGCCAAAGCTCAAAGCTTCTCAGAACGTGTGTGAAGGCTGCCTTGTTGGGAAGCAACATCGTGACTCTTTTCCTAGGGAAAATGAATGGAGAGCCTCAAAGATCCTTCAAATGATACACGCTGACATTTGTGGTCCCATAAACCCAATCTCAAATAGTAAGAAGAGATATTTCATCACTTTTACTGATGATTATAGTAGAAGAACTTGGGTTTACTTTCTGGTGGAGAAATCAGAAGCCTTCACTGTGTTCAAAATGTATAAAGCCAAAGTGGAGAAGGAAACAGGAACATTCATAAGAGGTTTGAGGACGGATCGAGGAGGTGAGTTCACATCACATGAATTCACAGATTTCTGCAATGAGAATGGCATTCATAGGCAGTTGACAGCTGCCTACACGCCTCAGCAGAACGGGGTTGCTGAACGGAAGAATCGAACCATCATGAATATGGTTCGATGTATGCTGTCAGAGAAGCAGATTCCAAAGACCTTCTGGCCTGAAGCAGTGAATTGGGCAGTTCACGTGCTGAATCGAAGTCCAACCCTTGCAGTAAAAAGTAAAACACCTGAGGAAGCATGGAGTGGGCGCAAACCATCAGTGGAGCACTTTCGGGTCTTTGGTTGCATCTCTCATGCACACGTACCTGATAGCAAAAGATTGAAGCTTGATAACAAAAGCCTCAAATGTATACTGTTGGGGGTAAGTGAGGAGTCCAAAGCCTATAGATTGTTTGATCCTATCTCGAATAAAATCACTATAAGCCGAGATGTAGTGTTTGAGGAAGATCAACAATGGGATTGGGATGACAGTCATGAGCAAGCTATTTTAGCTGACCTTGATGAAGAAACAGGTACTGAAGATAAAGGAAATGAAGAAGAAGATCAAGTGAATGAAGGAGAATCTGATGTGCAAGAGTCAGAGGGTGAGAATTCCCTTGAATCTGAAGATACCACAAATGAAGGCAATACAACTCAAGAGGGAAGAGCTCGAAGGCCACCAATTTGGATGAGAGACTATGACACTGGTGAAGGTCTCTCTGATGAAGAAGGCATGAACTTGGCTCATCTAGCCTTGTTTACTAATGACGATCCTACTAGCTATTGTGAAGCCGTGAAGAGTGAGAAGTGGAAACAAGCAATGGATAGAGAAATAGAAGCAATAGAAAAGAACAATACATGGGAACTGATTGACTTACCATCAAGGGGAAAAGTTATTGGAGTCAAATGGATTTTCAAGACAAAATTGAATGAAAATGGGGAGGTCGACAAGTATAAGGCTCGGCTCGTCGCGAAGGGATATTGCCAACAATATGGAGTGGATTATTCTGAAGTATTTGCACCAGTGGCACGAATGGATACAATTCGAGTAGTTATTTCTATTGCTGCACAAAGAAGTTGGAAGATTTATCAACTCGACGTCAAAGCAGCTTTCTTGCATGGAGAGATCAATGAAGAAGTTTTCGTTGAGCAACCACTTGGATATGTACAGAAAGGAAGCGAAGGCAAGGTTTATCGTCTCAAGAAGGCACTATACGGGCTCAAGCAGGCTCCACGAGCATGGTACAGTCGAATAGAGGCATATTTTATCAAGGAGGGCTTCAGCAAATGTCCCTTTGAGCACACATTGTTTATCAAGACAGCCAAAGCAGGTAAAATTTTGATTGTATGCCTATATGTTGATGATCTCATATTCACTGGGAATGATGAGGTGATGTTTGAGCAATTTAAGAGATCCATGATGCTAGAATTTGATATGACTGATCTCGGAAATATGAGATACTTTCTTGGCATTGAAGTAATACAGAAACCAGATGGTATATTTATGTGTCAACGTAAGTATGCACAAGAAGTGTTAGACAGGTTCAACATGGGTCAGTGTAACTCAGTGCATAACCCTATGGTTCCTGGATTCAAACTCACTCGTGATGAAGGGGGAGCCAAAGTAGACAGCACGCTTTATAAGCAAATGGTTGGGAGTCTTATGTACTTAACAGCTACACGACCTGATCTTATGTACACTGTAAGCCTAATCAGCAGGTATATGGAGCATCCTACTGAGACTCATTTGTTGGCAGCTAAAAGAATTTTAAGATACGTGAAGGGAACTATTGATTTCGGGGTGTTCTACAAGAAGGGAGGAGATGGAGAGCTCATTGGCTATACGGATAGTGACTATGCTGGTGATCAAGATGACAGAAAGAGTACTTCAGGCTATGTATTTATGATGAATTCAGGAGCAGTATCATGGTCATCGAAGAAGCAACCAGTGGTCACTCTCTCTACTACTGAAGCAGAATTCATTGCTGCTGCTTCAAGTACGTGTCAAGTGGTGTGGTTAAGAAGAATTTTGAGTTGCTTGAATTTGAGGCAAACTGGTCCAACAGTGGTTTATTGTGATAACGTCTCAACCATTAAGCTTTCAAAGAATCCAGTAATGCACGGTCGTAGTAAGCATATAGATGTAAGGTTTCATTTTCTTCGAAATCTTGTTAAAGATGAAGTAGTGGAGCTGCTGCAGTGTTCTACTCAGGAGCAGATTGCAGATGTAATGACGAAGCCACTGAAACTTGAAGTTTTTCAGAAGCTGCGAGACTTGATGGGTGTACGTAAATGGCCTGGAATAAACTGAATCTTTAGTATTCAGTTTTAGGGAGGATGTTGAAGTTGTCAAAGATCCTAGTTGATAAGGTTCCTTTGTTTTAGGGGCTTATTCCCTGAACGTGCTAATAACCCTCCTATACTTGAGGGACAAGTTTGTTATTTTGTTTTGAGTTAGTAAATTACCACGACTCTAAGTTGTTGTAGTCGTGGGGTGTTATTTCACTTTCCTGTTATTGTAAGGCTATTTAATAGTCAGTTATTGTCTTTCAATTCAATAAGGATGCTTATGAGTTTTCAGTGCAATATACCCTGTGTTCACAAAACCTCTCGATAATCTAGTTAGTTTCAACAAAAACAGTTTCCAGACCAATAATTAAGAATATATGCCCCGAACTTACCTTTAAATTACGGTAACACTACAATCATCCCCCTGAAAATGGTTTCTGAAAAGCTTGAATATCTGATTAATTCTCAACCAACCAAAAATTCTATCAAAGTCCAACCCATTTCACCTATCTGAAAACCCGGCTAATTCTGAAGGGCAGCCCATAATCCTTGGGGATGAGGCAAATGGTCAGGGAATTCTTGGGTTGGGGAAGATGTTGTTGAGAGCTGGTTGTGGGTATGGATTGTTCTTGAGAGAGAGAGATTTGGGGTGGAGTGGATTGGAGTTGAGGTGGTGGGTGTGACTTGGGGAATTAGGGACTTGAGGTGGGGAAAGTGGATTGGGTGTGGAGGTTGACAAGGTGGTGAGTTGTTGAAAGAAAGAATTCCCTGGCCATTTGCCATGTTTAAAAATGTGTATTAAACGTGAAAAATACATGCGTACTTATATAATACGACTATTGTACGTTTGGTTTTTTTAAAAACGTGAACTTTACCGTGTTTTTAAGTCGTTTGCAGAACACAAATGTATTATTGAAAAATACGTACGTACTTGTATAATACATTATTAAAAATGAAAGTACTAAAATCTTTATACTAATAATAACTTTGGAAAAGTAAAAAATCAAAAAGGGACAGTAGAGACTCGAGTAATGGTCTAATAGTAATAGATAATGCTCTAAACAACTCTTATTGATAAACGTAAATCGGGGAAAAAAAGGATCCCACTATATATATATATATATATATATAAAGAGTATAGCCGCGTGGCTCTTAGGCTCTGGAGAAATTTAATTATCTTTAACATATTTAAATATTCAATAAATAAATAATAATTAAAACATAATTACTATAATTAAAGTAATTCAAAAATATTAAGATATTACTTAAGAGTGCTGCTATTTCCACCAACTATCTTATTTCCTCACTCACCTTATCTTCAAAATTTTAAAGACAAATTTATCGCTTTGTAAAATGACTTCTAAGGACCATCCTCAAAACTTGACATGTGTCTATTGCTATTAAATCTGTACTTTTAAATCATTTAAGGAATTTTATACCAAAAAAATAAAGTAAAATAATACATATATATATATATATATATAAAGCAAAAGGTAGAGAATGGTAAAACATTCAAATACTAGAAAATGTCTTGGTTAATGCAAACATTAAGAATTAAAATTATTAAATAAATGAGGATAATATGGTAAATTCACACTTAAAAAAAAAAAAAAAAAAACATTGATCTTCTTTTTATGGAACAAAACTACCCATTATCTTTTTTAATTCTAAAAAATAAATTAAAAAAAAAAAAAAAAAAAAAAAAAAAAACAGGCGCAGTAGTGCATACAAATTGGCTAATATAATATAAAGACATAACATTTATAAATAAAAAAAAACTATCTCCCTCCCTCACCTCCCAGCCCGACCATCCCACCCCCAAGGTCCACAATCACTATGTCCGCCAATCCTTCCCCCTTCGTCCCACCCATCACTGCTCATCACAATTATCAGAAACGCCAATAGAATCCAATGGCACCACACAGCTTGACAAATACTAAACCTACAAATGCTGTGCTAGTTTGAAGGGAATAGGGGCAGTAGTAAAACTGGTAAAGTTGACACCTGGATACTCAAAATTCAAAACCCATAAATAAAATATAAAATATATAATATGTATAGTTATAGAAAATTAAACATTCAAAATTCAGCGCTGTTAGTGGAGGCTGATGCAATCCGTGAAGCCTTGCAATATTGCTCCAGGCCAGGTTTTGATCAGGTTGAGGTCGAGACTGACTCCTTACGATTGGTCCAAATGTTGCTGGGTCAAAGGAGGATCGAAGTGGAGGTGGAATGGGTTCTTTTTTATATTCAGATTTTGGTTAGGTCCCTTCCTTAGGTGGTGTTTCTTCAAACGTAAAGAAACTAATTTTATATTTTCAAAATTAAAACAAATGAAAAAAAAAAATCTTCCGACGAACTTTCGGGCGAAATTTGCCCTTATTAATTTTTAAAAAAAATTAGGAAAAACGAGTATCGTCGTGCGGCTATACTATTTTGAAAAGATAAATTTAAAAACTGGGTATAGCCGCGCGGCTATACTATATAAAGAACCTACCAACTAGGCTCCACGTGTCAAATATATCCGCGCGGCTATACTATATTATATCGCCGCGCGGCTATACTATATTATATCCGCGCGGCTATACTATTTTGTAAAAAAATTTTAAAATCCAAGTATAGCCGCACGGCTATACTATTTTGTAAAAAAATTTTAAAATCCAAGTATAGCCGCACGGCTCTACGATTGTTTGGGAAAAGAAATTATTAAACCCGAGTATAGGCTATACTATTTATATCATAGAATTAAAAAAACCCCTCTTCTCACTTCTGGCACCCCCACACACAACGAAAATTGACTCTTCGAGACTGCCCAGAAAATGAAAGGTAACCGACTCATCTACCAACTAAGAGCAACTCCACCCATTTGCCCTTAGCCATGGCAAGGGGGGAGCTAGGGCAGCCACTATTCATGTGAATAGTGGTTGCCCTTGCAAATAGTATTTTGTGTTTTCACCCGTTGCCATGACTAAGGGCAATTACTATTCATTTTTTTATTTTTTTCACAAATTTTTTTTTACCTCAATAATTAATTTGGATAATATTTTCGGATAAGATTTCCGGATTCCTATGTGTCAATACTATTCATATCTCATAATCGGATAAAATTTTCAATTTCAAATTTCAGATAATTTTTTTAAAAAATGGGCTAGTATTTATAGAAAAAAATTCATTAATTTTTGGGTATTTTTTAAAATTTTTTCTGAATTTTTTCCAGTATTTTATTACAAAAAAATTGGCTGCCGCTGGATTGGAGGAAAAAATCAAATCGGAGAGCCCAGACGATGCCACGTGGCAACAGAAAAAAAATCAAATGAGTGGGCTGACGCGCGATGACGTCATCACCAGCCCTCAGTTTGGACCTTGGGCTGAACTAGCCTTCGGGCTAGTTCGATTTCATGGGACCCACAGCCAGCCCGGGCTTGGGCTCACCGCTGGAAACCATTTTTTGCAAAAAAATCCCTCTGCCCGAGGCAAAGGGGCCTCGCTGGAGTTGCTCTAAGGCACGTCAAATTGGTCAAACCCCGAATGTCCCTAGTCTGAAAAAACTTGAGACTTGTATAAATCTAACGGGTGGTTTGAAGGAAGCATTCTATGCCGGGTTTTTCTTTATTTCAACCATTTTTTTCAAACTCATGGAGGAATCCATACTTTTGGGCCAGATTGAGAGGTAGCTATTACAAGCCAGAGACATAATTTAAATAGGAGCAGCTCCTATCTACTGAAGATCGCCACATGAGTGATATATAATTTTTTTGTTAAGACATGCCAACTATATATCAGCATAAACACCAACAAACAACCGAAACCATTAATCAATTCCCTCTATAACAAATGAAGAAACTTAAACCTACTTATCCACTCAAGCTCCGATTAGGCAACCCCAGTCCGTGGCCAGTAATTCAAAGTAAACTATTAAAGATGCTGGAATCATACCTCAAAAATATTGACACTAGTATATCCAAGTATTCCTTGAAAGCTGAACCTATTATTATAGCCCCCTGTAGCTCCTTCATGATATGCTTAAAATTCTGCCATGACAAAGGATTACCAGCAGATATTACTAAGAATTCAACAGTAGTGAAATGGCAATTCTATTTCAAACAACATGTAAAAGATGAATGAAACTAGTAAAACAGATACAAGAAAAAATAAATTTGACCAGGGATTTTAATATCATGAGAAACAAAATATATCGTCCTTGTCATTCATGTGATTCGAACATGAGACTCCTCCAACTAGCTAGAAACCAATACCACTAGAACAAAGACTAGTTGGTAATTTAATCCGAGATTTGGGCCTTAAGTCCATCTCCTAGTCTCACACCCTTATTTGATAATTAATATCTTTCATTAACATAAATAGTTATGTTAAAACCCTTGGAACCCTTGGGACCTATTTAATCTTTTTAAAGAAGACTCAAAGATGTGAGCCACATTAAGTCCCCAACATTTTTCACAAACAAGTATCAAATGTCGTCCATATCAAATAGACCTTAATGCTGCTATAGCAGATCCTCATTTGCGATGTAAAGAACAGTTAGAATGTTAATTGTTATAGCATTATTTTTATTCACCGTTAATTATAGTCGAAAACATATATCAATTAAAACATTCATAATTTAACTTTGAACAAAGTAAAATTCTAAGACCGTCATGCTAATTTACTGTGTAATTACCTGGTACATACAGGAGGAGGTCCACTTACAGAAAAAAATTAAAATCCAAGCTGCAGATGATGAAAATATACATCAATCACCTTAGTTTTCCTTGAAGGAGATATTCTGAAACTCTGTAAGAGCTTCGAGGCTAAAATTGAAGCTGTCAAAGCAGGCAATGGGGGCAGCATAGTAAAATGGACGTTGGAATTTGAGAAGGCAAATGCAAATGCACCCGATCCAAAGGACTATGCAGATAAGGCAATTAAAGTGTCCAAAGGCATTGATGCTTATCTTAGCAGGACTTAATTCATTTCAATGTCCCCTAGGTAAGGTTTCTAGGTTCGAGTCCTAACATCTGTGTAGTGTGTAAGTTTAGTATATTATCGCATTTCTCAACGAGGAAGGTCCTTAAAAAATAAAATAAAAATCATTTCAATGTCTTTTCTATAACCAACTTTATATACCAAGCCTTTAAACAAGATCAATAGCTCAACTGTGAAAAGGCCCATAGCATTTTCTGCAAAATTCAAAACCCAATTATATGCAGAAGTCCATAGATAGAATCCTCTGACAGCTTCTGAAGACAAGTCCTTTATAAAAATGAAAAATATATGGCATTGAGGCTATGTAAAATAAGTAACACACATGGAAAATCCCTGTCGAAGGGTAGTAATTATGGTGTGATTGGGTTAAATGGCAGTAGAGGATTTACTTTGTTAGGCAGGGAAGGATTGTGGTAATGTCGTTGGGCTAGATTCATAGCAAGGGGTGTTGTATCAAGGGGTTGGATGATGTTATGCACTGTCTCATGTGGTTCTCCTTGTCCATGCAATTCGCTGGGGACAAATTTGAGTATGCACTGTCTCTAGGCTTCAAATTTATTTATTTTGTTCATATATAAGGTTTTGTGGATCTCAACTCTCTCTCTCTCTCTCTCTCTCTCTCTCTCTCTCTCTATGTATATATATATATAGATGAGGAGTTGATCATAGAAACAAGATAAGGAGTTGATCATAGAAACAAGATAAGGAGTTTAACTCAAATTAGGAAACTTCAAGATTAACCTCTAATAGACACTCCATTAATCTCAAAATAATATGTTTCTAAAGAAATGCACCTTTCATTACAAATTATTATTTTCACCATTATTTCTTGTAATCGAACGGAGAGCTTGCTTCTTAGACCGGAACTTTTCTCCTTCCGGGCTTATATAAATCTGCACAACGAAGTTAAGGCATGAACAACGTTAGTTTTAGCCCACGTATGGAAGCAATTACATATATATTGAAGAGTTACATATGGGAATTAATTATATAATATGGAAAGAGTAGTGTACTAGTACTTGTTTTATTACCTTGTCAACGAAACCAGTAGTCCGACCATTTAGGCGCATTGAGGCAGAGACCCGCCACTCAATAGGCAACCAATCTGGCCTATCAATGTCAATTGTGACCGAACCAGAAGGCCCAGATCTTTCTCGACCGCGTTTTGGTCTTTGTAGATCTCCTCTTTCCACAACTGGTGGCTGACCTTGATCAGCCACACTTGGTGGTGGCTGCTGTTGATCAGCCACACTTGGTGGTGGCTGCTGTTGATCAGCCCCAGCTCGTGGCGAACCTTGATCAGTCGTGGCTGGTGGTTGATCTTGATATGCTGCGGGTGGTGGTTGATGTTGATCATTGGTCAATGGTGGTTCCTCAGCAGCCACCAGTAGTTGGTCACCTTCTTCCTCCTCAGGCAATAAATTTAGGTCAAAGCGACCATCTACAGCCTGAGCTCCTTGGGGAGGTGGTATAACTTGTTGAGCTGGTTGAGCTCGGTTAGGCAATAATACATCACTGCACCCTGGTGTTCAGCAACCACAAACATCATAGTCAATAATACATCATGCTTCATTTTCTTAGGAGGGCTATATGGACTTTAATTTGCTCAGGAAAACTTAGAAAAGTGATATAAAAGGATAGAAAATTTTCTCATGTATATGGGTGATATGCAAATATGTAGTGTTATGTGATAAATAATTAGCTAATAAATCAAAATTGCTATCTTTGTGCCTTCTATGTATAGAATGTTATATTACCATATACGTACATTGAGGCTATACATACAATGTATCGAGTGCAACTTTCACATAATATATCTCTTTATAAACAAGTATTGGAATAATAAAAAAAAGGAAAAAAAAACAAACAAAAAAAATCTTTATTCACCAAAAGGAAAAAAAAAATAAAAAAACCACATTTTCTTCTTTTTCCATTTTCTTCCCCTTTCAATTTTAAAAATAATAAATCTTATGCTTAGTTGTCATTTTACGAAGGATATAACTTTAGCACTCCCATTCTATCTTTTGGCACACCCCACTCCAACTGTGAGTATACAAAAATTATAGTACTCAATTTGGAGTTTCATAAGACAATTGGGTGTGCAAGAAGGCTCTACCCTTTTTCCAAATTAATTTGTAGATTGAGTTCAAACTTATGGTTACCCATCCTATGAATTTGGGGGCTTTTGAAAATCATGCTCAAGCAAAGAAGTCAGGTATAAAAAGATTATTTGGGCTTAAGAATTGAAAAAACCTCACTTTGCTTTATAATAAGCAAACACATGAATTAATATTTGGACATTTAAGAAATTTTGAAACGCAAAGATCGAGATGATTCATCATGATTCACATAGGAAAATACATTAAAGAAAAATCTTTCGATTAAATATATCAAAGCTCGCGATTAAGCAATAAATTACCACAAAATTATCGAAAGCTAGGGTTATTGATAATTGTACCTCCCAAAGATGCCTTCATTTCTTGGCTTTCAGATCTATTTGATGAATTCGCCATCGTCTCTTTCTATGGAAGCGAAGTCTATTTGGTAATCAGAAATACTTTAGAATACTCAATAGGAACCAGCTTGCGATAGCTTCGCACACATACCAGGAAGGTGTGCTTAAGTTAATTTATACATGAAATCGAGAATTCTAGAAGGACAATTTGGGAAAACAAGGGGCTTCACCCCTTCTGGTATTAGGCGTTTTGGTAAAACTTCTCTGGCGCAGGTTTCCTCCACCAACACCTGTTATGGACGTTACCTACCACTTTTGGCTCCACCCTTTTTTTGCATGTAATGACGTGTCAATTTTGGCTGAGCTCCAATAGGCTACACTCAGTGTTTGGAACTTTTTATTTATATTTATTTATTTGTATCTTTCCCTTTGTACGGTGTTTTTCTTTTTTTGGTAACTTATAAAGATGGTGTTGATTCTAGCTTGACCCCAGTGCAAAAAAGAAAAGAAAAGAAAAGAAAGGGTTTCACTTTGTGTATGGTGCTATGTTTGACAGGACCTACCCCGAATTCCTCGGAATCCACAATGGATCCTATGGTATTTCCTACATCAATCTGATGTCGGTCCCACTTACTAAGAGGGACGAGACTTTCTACTGAAATTTTGGCAAAGTCTCTCTTGAAAAACGGACATGTCCCAAAATTTTCAACATGTTAAAAAACAATTATATAATCTCAACAACAGCATGCACAATGTAAATTCATGCAGTTTACATAATAGGCCTCCGGCCTTACATACAACCCTAGCATGGGTGATAATAGAGCATATCTAAAGAATTCCAGTTTACAAACTAAACGAAGTTTGACATAAATAAAAATAGATAAAGATTATCCTACTGGAAGTCGAGGCTCAAAAGTACAAGACTCGGCTCGGACGCTCAGCTCAAATCAACTACTGTCTGGGGCGCAAAATAGAAAATTGTGAGTGGACAAAAATAAAGTTTTGTTATATTTGAAAACAACATATAATAACCCCACAGTTTAGAAAATGATGCTAAAAACAACATGCATTCAAAACCGATGTAGATATATATAGCTAAGCCAAAACCAAAGTGAAATTTGTATTCTCGAAATGGTATACTAACACCCATCCCGTTTAAAACCTTTCCCATTTTCCCCAAACTACTCTCTCAAAATGTGTGCCCATTGGCACGGCGAGCGAGGAAGGATCCTCACCGACAAATAAGAATGAATGTATATGTACATATATATATATATATTATATATATGTATGACCACTACCAAACTTATACCGGGGAACAATCCAACCGGGGAATTGTTTGACTAGACCATACGGAAGAATCCTCAATTGACCATGTGGCTAGGGAACAAGCCGTCCAACTGAGGGACTGGCTCACCAGCACGTACAACAGAATCCTCAATTGACTATGTGGCTAGGGAACAAGTCCTACGCTTGCAGACTAACCCCGCTAAGGGTCTACAAAACACCCCGTCAAGGGTGCTCGGGTTTTGACATATCCAAGTATTTCAAAATTCCAAGTGTCCAATTCAATTATTCCAAATTTGAGGAGGTACATAAGGTAGTGTTTATAACACTTCAAACTGACATAAACCACCACCCAACTCACATTCCCTAATCCCTTTCCAACAAAACCCATGTACCCCACATACATCCAAATATAGATAGTACTCTCCAAAAAATAGCATAAATCAATTCAAGATAATCACAATCCACAAATATCCAAATATATTTCAAATACTTCCATAAAAATATTATACTTCAACAATTAACTATACGATAAACTCAATAATCAAATAAATCATTATGCATAGCTTTCCATCTTGAAAATGATGATTATTATTTAAAAACAAAGTCCACTCACAACTAATCCAATGTTGCTTGACCCTGAAAAGGTCCCTCATGTTGAGTACGCTGGGCCGGAGTACCTATTTAAGCATACGAGGACTAGACTAAAATAAAATACTTCAAACGAAAATTTTAAAATAAATTTCTAGTTTTCTCGGGATTCCAAGTGTGTGAACGACTAAGGAGAAGTTCCTAAGGTCCAACTACGTGTTTCGAATGGTGGAATAACCTCGGAAGACTCTTGGTCAACCGAGTGGTCAAACATCCCAAATTTGGTCAACCGGGCCTGCGGGGCCCAGGACCTCTGATTTCCGATCCAAAAGTTCATACATGTTTAACAAGGTTTACTAAACTTGTCCTACAAGTTTGGTCCAAACCGAGCAATCGAATCGCTCGCGATCGTATGATCGAATGGTCACTGTATTACACAAACTTTGAGTCATTGAATCGGAGTATCCGGGACTCCGATTCTCGATTCGCGAATTCCCATACGATCCTAAAGGTAAATAGATCAACATATATGGAAATGGAGTTGATCCAATGGTCTGAACATGTCGCACCCAGATAACGCATAATATGCATAAATCTGATCGACAGTCAAACGGTAACCAAATTCAAATCCGAGCATATCCTCGTGCTCGGGACAACATGGGAAACATTTTAGTACCAAATGGATCACCCAAACCTGGCCCAGGAGCAGCCACATGTGTTGGCAGTGCATGGGTTTCTTGAGAAAATTCCTGCGACCAGAAAATTCTCGAAACCCCCAATAATACCTAGACCTATGTGATTAGGACAACTAGTGGAGCAACTTTTATTCTTGGGCTATGACCAAAAAAGTGGCCAGAACTTGCCGGAATTTCTAGCAGAAAACTGGCCAAAACTTTGAGTTGTAAAACGAGTTTCAAAACTTCAAAATCATTCCTAACCAACCCAACCATTAGCTAGATAACATTCGATTTGAGCCCACTACGTGTCTATGAACTCATATCGATGCACTCTACGCAATAGTGCCATTCAATTCCCCAAAATTCTACCGGGTTAAAAAGTGACCAAAATGACCCTATCCTAATGGCAAAATTGTAATTTCATAATTAAATAATTTAATTAATTTATATAGATTAAATAAATTATTAGGATGTGACAATGTTTCTTAGTAGCTCTTATTAGTATATCTATATACAACAATAGTGCCAACTATGGCATGGCTCCAATGTAGAATTAAGTTGCTTCTCCCATTAGTCCCAATTGGATACAATATTACTGTTTAAGTCATTTTTAGCTTGGCATATAGTAATTGTAATGCCCTCAAATTTGTTATGAACTCGCCCTAAGATTTGCTCAAGACATAAACTACTCAAAGAGGTGTCGATTATCTCTTACATGTGTAAAACTCCAATTTCCAAATAGCATGTTCTGCTCGAGAATGCATTTGTTAACCTCTCTGAAATGAAAATGTTGGTCTTGATCTCGTTTTGTTTCATACACATAATCATCGAATGACCAATCTCTAAAACACGAACTCTTCAATGACAAGTTGATAAATCGTTTCCTCTAATATGCGTAGAACCTTTAATGAATCCAAACGATCGGAAGTTGATCTCCGATCACTAAAATCCTCATAGTTACCTCTGAGATGATTTTCAGCCCTAAGATAACCCGAGCCTCAACCTCGGCTAACGCAATAACGAACGGTGCAAATTTTTGCACTAAGTTTTACTTAATTCTATCTTCAGTCTCAATTGTCACAGACGTTCAATTCTTAATCCTTTTCTTGGCTTTTAGATCTATTTGATGAATTCAACATTGTCCTTTTCTGTGGAAGCAAAGTCTATTAGGTACTAGGCATTTTGGTAAAACTTCTCTGGCGCATGTTTCCTCCACCAACACTTGTTCTGGATGTTACCTACCACTCTTGGCTCCACCTTTTTTTGCATGTAATGATGTGTTAATTTTGGCTTTGCTCCAATAGGCTTCACTCAGTGTTTGGTAATTTTTTTTATTTTTTATTTTTATCTTACCCGGTGTAGGTTTTTGTTTTTGTTTTACTTATAAAGATGGTGTTGATTCTAAATTTATTCCATATCTAAAAATAGAAGAGAAAGGGTTTCACTTTGTTTCTGGTGCTATGTTTCTTAATATCTTGTATTAGTATATCTATATACAACAGTAGTGTTAACTCTAACATGGCTCCAACATAGAATTAAGTTGCTTCTCCCACTATAGTCCCAATTAGATACAATATTACTATTTATGTCACTTTTAGCTTGGCATATATTAATTGTCACGCCCTGAAATTTGCTATGAACTTCCCCTTGAGATTTACTCAAGACATAAACTACTCAAAGGGGTGCTGATCATCTTTTACATGTGTAAAATTCTGATTTCCAAATAGCTTGTTCTGCTTGATAACATATCTATTAACTCCTCTTAAGTAAAAATATCAGTCGCGATCTAGTTTCATCTTGTACACATAATTGTCAAATGACCAATCTCTAAAACACGAACTCTTCAATGACAACTTGATAAATAGTTTCCTCTAATATGCTTAGAACCCTTAATAACTCCAAACGATCGGAAGTTGATCTCCAATCACTGGAATCCTCACAGTTATCTCTAAGATGATTTTCAGCCTTAAGATAAGTTGGGCCTCAGCCTCAGCTAACATAATGATCAACGGTGCAAATTTCTGCACTGAGTTTTACTTAATCCTATCTTCGGTCTCAATTGTCACAAACGTTCGATTCTTAATCATTTTCTTGGATTTTAGATCTATTTGATGAATTCGACATCGTCTCTTTCTATGGAAGTGAAGTCTTGGGTAATTAGAAATACCCTAGAATACTCAATAGTAACCAGCTTGGGGCAGTTTTGCACACATACCAGGAAGGTGTGTTTAAGTTAATTTATACATGAAATCGAGGATTCTAGAAGGACAATTTGGAACAAGAAGGGGCTACACTCTCTCTGACATTAGGCGTTTTGGTAAAACTTCTCTGGCGCAGGTTTCCTCCACCAAGACCTGTTCTGGATGTTACCAACCACTCTTGGCTCCACGCTTTTTTGCATGTAATGATGTGTTAATTTTGGCTTAGCTCAAATAGGCTTCACTTAGTGTTTGGTAATTTTTCTATTTTTTATTTTTGTATCTTACATGGTGTAGGTTTTTGT